CCAAGAAATTCAAGTCCGAGTTTCTGTCTCTGACATAAAACAAGCGACTGTTTAGGCGCCCCTCCTCAGTTGTCGCGACCTGGGGAGGGGTTACTCGTTTCCCGCTGTCTTGGAATTATGCTTAGGCCAGGCGCATGGTTGCCTGCACTTGGTTGAGTTGACACCAAACTTCCAGTGGTACCAACAAAACTGCCCAGATTGTCTGGACATTTGTGACCTATTTTGTGACTTGGATCGTGATCGTTGTGGTGACCTGCTCCTGTTTGTATGACCCATTTGCATTCTGGTGACAGCCTCAGTGAGACTCTTAACACTCGCAATGAGTCCTTCTATGACGGGGTCTTTTACTGATTCTACTTTCTGAGTGTGATTTATTGTGCCTGATCCAGTTGGAGGACCTCTTTCCATTATTCTATCAGCTATACGCGCTAAATGAGATAATGAGGTTTCAGGATCTTGTGCATCCAAACAGTGTTGGACGTAGCATGGGAGAGCTTGTATCCATCCTTGTTTTAGGACTGCTTCACCCACTGTGTTATCACCCACTAAGACTTGGAGGTGACGTAGAAACTGTGACGGCGACCGATCACCTAGTGTTTCACCTTGAAAAAGTCTTTGGATTCTTTGACTATCTGATAATGATAAACGGTTCATTATCTCTCGTCTTAAGACGGTGTACGGTTGTGGTGATGGTGGATCTAAAATCAAGTCACGGACTTCTTTGGCGACTGAAGGAGGAAGGATAGAACACAAATCTCTATAGCGAATCCCTTCAGATTTGATATTGTGTCTCGTGAAATAATGCTCGAGTTGAGCAAACCACAACTCAGGATCACTACGATCAAATTCTGGAAGTCGAGATTTCGTAGTCATAACAGTGTCTATCTCCACTGGTGACAAATCCTCCAGATTATGGGTTTCTTTTAAGTCTGACATGAGGTATGTGACAAATATAGCAATAAAATTAGCACGAAAAAAAAATGGTTTCTATGACACGAATAACTTAAGATAATAAAAAGAATAAACTATTTATATACCCAACTTAGTTTACGGATTATCAGGTCTACTTTTACGATTGAGTAAAAAAAATAATATTAATAACTAAAATGAGGTTAATTTGTGTTCGAAAAGGGCTCACCAGTTTCGTGCCTATAGGTAACCCCCGTACTATTGATAGAAGAAACCACAGAATTATGGAGTACGTGTTTATTTCGATCTTAGCGCAGTGACAGTCGAGCGTGGGATTATCTGTTCAGACAAACAAAGGCTTTCAGCATTCAATATAAGATAATAAGGAATATAACGCTTATACAAAATAAGGAAGTGAATGAATACTTGAACAATACTGTTTTGGCATATGCTTGGTTGTTTGGGGTCAACTCTTAACCAACCAACCTATGCTGTTACAAACTCCTAGCTATGTATTGTGCTGTACGACAGTTTCAACACTACATCGAAGGTCGTGAATTCACTCTTTTCACTGACCGTAAACCACTTACATTCTCTCTAAGCTCTACTTCAGTAAAGTACTCTCCCCGTAAGTCTCGACAACTGGACTACATTTCGCACTTTACTTCAGACATTCAACACGTCTCTGGAGCAAACAATGTAGTTGCAGACGCTTTATCTCGCATATCTTCCTTGAACAGTTTCCAAGGAATCGACCTTCTTAAACTCGCCCAGCTTCAAAAAGAAGACACTGATCTTCAGCACGAGTTATCGTCTACAACCCTTAAACTACGCATCAAACAGATGGGAACAGATAAAGAAACCTTACTTTGTGACACATCTACAGGTAGGGATCGCCCAATCGTCCCGAAACATTATCGACGCAATGTCTTCAATACATTGCACAAACTTTCTCATCCAGGCGTTCGTGCAACCATCAAGCTTATAGCAGAGCGGTTTTGCTGGCCTGGTATGAATAAAGACGTGAAGCAGTGGGCACGCTCCTATGTAAGCTGCCAGAAATCTAAGGTCACCAGACACAATAAACGTCCCTTAGGCTAATTTAAAACTCCCGATGCTCGTTTCGACCATGTTCATCTGGATTTGGTAGGACCTTTACCAGATTCAAATGGATACTCTTACCTCTTAACCTGCGTAGACCGTTTCACTCGATGGCCAGAAGCAGTACCTATCAAGGACATCACTGCTGAGACATTGACCCGCACCTTCGTCGAACGATGGGTAGCAAACTTCGGTTGCCCTTCAACCATCACTTCAGACAGCGGACGTCAGTTTGAGTCTGAACTTTTCCGTCGTCTGACCACACTATTAGGAATGACTCGCTTCCGAACGACCGCCTACCACCCACGAGCAAACGGGTTGGTAGAACGTTTTCACCGACAACTAAAAACTTCACTATCAGCTGCAAACGTTTCACAGTAGACCGAGGCTTTTCCACTCGTCCTACTAGGTATCCGCAATGCAGTGAAAGTTGACATTGGATACACTGCAGCTCAACTCGTTTATGGAACGACACTTCGACTTCCAGGAGAATTCGTGGATTCTTCATACTCTTCAATGAGCATGGATCTAACCTCCTACACGAACAGGCTTACAAACACAATGCGTTCAGTTAAACCTGCTTCCACACGACCACAATCAACCAATGTTTTCGTTCAACCTGACTTAAAATATAGTACACATGTTTTCGTTCGTCGAGACGCACATCGACGACCTTTCGAATCAGCATACGAAGGACCTTTCAGAGTTCTTCAACGCGAATCTAAGTACTATATAGTCTATAAGAACGGAACAAACGATAGCATCAGCATCGATCGCTTAAAGGCAGCGTATTTAGAAGGAAATCCCATTCACGTCGATTTTCATTCGGTACAATCGCACAACACGACACCTACACTCATAATTCCTCAACCAACACTAGCGATGACACTCCGAATGTGTCTGAAAATAAACTTAAAACGACACGGTCAAGAAGAAGAGTAAGATTTCCAGAACATTTAAACGACTATTGCAGGTAAAGCACTAATCGACATTTTATATTATCTCGATCTTACTTTTTACGATCTATATTAATTTTAAAAAAAAACAATTTTAATATGCTCATTTATTTTTATTTTGAAAAAGAACAAAATTTTTTTAACGCTATTACATGTGCTTGAGTTTATTTTTCATTTTTTTCGCCCACATTGCGTTTCTACGTACATACAAGTGTATTTCGACTTGCACTTACATTTTCATTTTTTCTTTTCCAGGACGGCTGGAAAAGAACGATGCAGTTTACGAGGAGCCGAAATTTTCATTGTACCTTTTCTTTTTTACTATGTTGTACCTCGGTCTCATATAGTAAGGAAAGACGACCAGACGCTGCTAAATTTAGTAAGCTATCGGAAGAGTGTTTACCGACGACAAACTCGTTGGGTTTAAACTTCTGACTGGCCACATCTTAGGGTCATCACTGCCCCACTAGGGGGGGAGTGATCTGTAGCGGTAAATAAATCCCCAAACTAAATAACTGTAAGTTTTCGACATTGGATGCTGACAATATGTTTTAGTGGACTCATCTAGCTGAAGGCGCTCGGTCATGCATCCGCACCAGACCACGTGTGGTAACGCTGTGATCAACATCTATCGCAATCGCTAGCCAGATTAGATCAGAGAATTCCGATATATTGGTTATCGCCAAATACACTTTCCCTATCTCCTCGACTCTGTCTTTTGATTTCGCTCGGTGGGAACAAAGTATATTAGGTGTTACTGATAGAAGCGTTGTCAAACACTGAATACCTGTATCATCCTCAATATGGAGAACAGAAGTTAGTTTTCTTTAGCTATAATAATTGTTGCTGCCGCATGTGACCGTAACTGGCCACATATTCGTTCCTAACTAATATTTATTGTTATCAGGCAGAAAGATTTGTAATTTTCTGCAGTATGATGGATCACGCTATACCATCAACCAGTCAAACTAATACTGAGTGTCCAGCGGCTGTGGATACCAGTGATGTCTTCGAAATGATTATGAGACCCAGTACAACAAGCCTTTCTCCAGCAAAATTATGCACTGACAGTCTATCTGGAAACAATCAACTATGTGAATAAACTCACTATGACTTGAGATATCATCCCAGCTTTCAATGGATGTACAGCGTAACGCTGTCGGACGTGGCGAATAAAAATTAAAAACAGCAAACTTAACTACATAATCTAGTAATTTAATTGAAAATACATTATGAAATGACAAAATCTGTGGTTACTAGAACGCACAGATGATCTTGGGCGATACATTAAATTTACATGGTTAAGTTGCGGATAAATTCACCCCTGTCTTGACGTTTGTATTGAAGATTTTGATTTCCATGTTAATTGACGATTGTTTTGAGGTCCATATGTTCTTCAGTTGCAGGAATGAAGCCCTTGCCTTACCAATAATCGCCTTCACATCTATATCAGATCCTCTTTGTTCGTCGATGTTGTCCAGTTACGTGAAAGATTCTACCTCTTAAATAGTTTCCCCAACAAGTGTGACTGGGTCTGGTGTTCTCTATGTTGTATCTGGGGATCTTGGATTCTCCCATGTTTATGTAGAGGGCTAGTGACGCAGAGGATTTCACCTCACTGTTTGTCCTGACATGAATTTTTTGATATTTATGGAATCGAAGAGCCAAGCAATCTGAGAAGCTAAAATCGTCTAGTTGTATGTAAGCTGTACATTGTATTCCATACTTCCCTCCAGATGTTGAGGTCTTTATAATATAGTCAAATAACAAAACTAAAGCAATGACGAGTACAATCAGCCTTGTCTAACACCAGTACAAACTTAGAATGCATCTGTCAGCTGTCCTTCATTCACAACTTCGCAGTGTTGTCCTTTGTATGAACTCCGGATGACACTGACGACTATCCTCTCCCTTAGGACGGAGGGCGGGTTTTCAAAATAACTTCTAGAAACCGCAACCGACCTGATTTCCGGAATAGCGAAGCTTTGTACGATGATCTACTGGTTAAACCAAACATTGTTTCCGTCACATTAAAAAAAACAAAGGTGACTCGATCATAGTTTTTAAATTACTTAGTGACAAATTTTTATTTAGTATGGATTTATTTTTACCGTCTTTCGAAAAAGAGAACTTATGAGGACACTCTAACAATTTCCACCTTTCCAGAACTAGTTACTTGCCTACTGGCTATTGACATCTAGAAACTCATTAACTCAACGCATGATTGAATCACCGTCTGTCGACCCATTTGAAATAAAGTTACATCAAGTAAGGGACCGCCATCACCATGTTTAACACGGGCCACTCAGCCTCCTTTCCTTTCATAACTGAAACTGAAAATTAAGACATTGGTTCTGCAAACAAGGTATTGTATATAGTACTACCACGTTGCAATTTCAAATAATGTATGTGGAGGCTACTTTGAATGGGTCGGCTCAGGCGTTCTGTACACAAAAGGCTCGCCATTTTCTTTAAGCGTAAAAATGCGCACGACTGTTGAATCAGATTGTTGCTTGGTTTCAGTGACCGGTGTTGATAAGACAGCGATTACTAGCAATGAGACTGAGATTCTCCTGAATTCGCAGACCGATCATGAATCGTGTTCTCCTTCGGTACAGTCATCTAGTAGCTGTTCCACAACATCACATCGCTCACAGGAGTATCCTCCTTCTCATAATAGCATTTGTCATACCAGTGGAGAAAAAAGCAAATGCAAAGATAATGTTGGAAAGTCTATTAGATTTTCTGGTGTTACTGTGTATTCGTTCGCACGTCAACAAGGCTTTTCATCGATTCCTGACAATGGCTGGTGCACCCTTGGTATGGCTGAAAAACATTTCAGTGTTTCTCAGCTAGATCTTCGGCAGCATAGGATTTTACAGAAACTCCGACGCAGACAACAAAAACTGCTCTCCCCAAAATGTCAGTTTGTTGCCAATATATCTGGTCGCGGACGTGGCAAGAATAAGATTAGAGGAAAAGGTAAGCGTGCAAATGGACTATGTAGTCGTAGTCCCGGCGATTCATGTCGTGTACCAATGTTGTCACCACCTCCACCACTGTCTCCGCAAATCAGTTACGACAAGGTTAATTCTGTCGATCAAACAGACAACGCTATTCTTAGTTCTCACGCTACTCCTCCACCTTGTTTGTCCCCTCCTTCACCAAGAAGGTTTCTCCACACTTTGGATGAATCTTTAGTCAACAACAATATATGCAACTCACTTGATTCTCTGGATACAGACTCTGAAGCTTCTCTTGATTATGTTCCTTCTGTAAACTCATCTAAACGTACACAAAATAATTCGCGAGAAAAGTTGATGCCTATAAAATCAGCTGCAAGAATAAGACTTTTGAGATCATCTGGTAAGTATTTACTTAGCGTTTGTGATCTATCTCTTGTTTTCGCATGTTTTACTATGATAGCTTTTAATGTTGTCATTTACAAAATCTCATATACGTAAGATGATTTAGCGGAGCGATTTGAGTGACTGTCAAGCTTCTGACATGTTAATAGTAGATTTCGGCTTCATAATTTATAAACTTGGTAAATTTCCGTTGAAGAAATTAATTGTACAATTAATGTCGACTAATTTGTCACTGCTGAAATTGATCGATTTTACGTTGTTGATACTGTTAATTTATTTGTTCTGCACTCACATACAGGTTTTGTGTCAAGAAAATTAATGCAACAGAAATGTACCACTTTGCTTCGGTGCTTTTAGTTTTACCAAATCTGTGAACTAGTGATTACACTTCGTGATAATTTGTGTTATCAAACCCCTAGTCCTATGTAACCATGGTCAGGCTTAAAAGATAATTTGATTCTTTTGCTTTTCTGGTTGCAATTCTTATTTAAATGTCGAGCAATCATGGGTCACACACTGATCTGTTTGTGGTGTTACAGAAATGTTTACAGTCCTTGCTCATAAATCATAACGCTTGAGACTAATTACATGAAATTGCGTTCAAACTGGAAACTCAGACTAGAGTTTTGGCCATTTAGATGGTGCTTTCGAAATACTAAGATAACTTCTTGTGATCTACTTCCTTTCTTCAAGTTATAGTTTTAATTTTGCTAAAAATATGGTCCACCAGGGTTCTTGGTACCTGTGTGGTTGCGCCACAGGATTGAGCTGTACTATTCAGATTGTAGCGTTAAAGCCTGTACGGTATCTGGTTCCCCTGCTAAACGGGATTGAGCTGTACTGTTTGGGTTTTTACGTGAAGGTTCGGATGGTGTCTGGTTCTCCTGAAAACCAATGTAAAATTACCCTGGCCCACAAGGGTATATTATATTACTGTGAAACTGCTTCGGTTTGGGCATCCGGGCAGTATCACAGCCCTCACACATATCGAATAAGATTTGTGTGGCGCATATGTATTTGGTGCCTCTTTGTACCAATATCTATGTGTTGAAATAAATAAATAAATATGAAGGTTCGATATGGATAGACTGCTGAAAAGGCAGGTGGAACTCAGCCAAAAATGCTCAGTGTTCTGTCCATCGGTCTAGTTAGTTTTGAAATGAGTCACTGGTTCGTCTTTTTGTGCGCTAATTTCATCAACTATCAGAGTCATTATTTTTGATAATTCTGCAAAGTCTCATCATCAATACCTCTTCGGTCCATATTACTTTCGTTGCTTACCGCCCTTCATTTGGTAAAATTAGCTTCGATTTGCGTATGAGTCGTTTTGATTCATATATGGGATCTACCAAGATACATTTTTTACTATTGATCAGTTTGAAAACATTTATCATAATTAATTGGCCTCCAAAATAAACTTATGGATATCATCGTATTGTAAATTTTATGATTTCGGTGGGACTCAGCCATTTATGTACCTAATACACGGTCGGAATCTTAACCCCCGAATGCCCTGGTACGGCCGAGAGTGGGGAGAGTCCGCTCTCCCTCTCGAAATACTCTCACATGGCCGCGCGTATATAGCCTCTACCAGGGAAGTTCCACTCATTGCCTTCTCGTGGCGGGGGTGTTGTTTACGAAAATGAGAGGACGAAAAGCGAATGTCCGGCGCATTAACCGGATCACAAACCAATGGTGCACATGGGCTCCAGTATCCTGATTTTATTTATTTGAACACATGAATACTGGTACAAGAGAGCGCCAATATATATGCGTCACACAAAACAATGAGAATTCGAAGAGAAGTAGAAAAAAAAGCTAAGGAGCTCAAAAAAAGAGAGCAATAACGAAGAGTTTGGTGTAAGGTAATGTGATAGTAATGAGGGAACGGAAAGGTGCAATCGGAAAAAATCTTTCAGGTAAGGGCGACAACCGCTTTTTATGAAGAAAGTAAAAGAAGGTTACAGCAGGATCGCCACTGGCTTCTATTCTGAGTCATATCTGATAACGTCTCTAGCCACTGTGTAGCACCATCTCTCAGATCCCAACCAGGGAGTCGTGAAGGACCGACAGAAGCCAGTCCTTTGCAGCTTTTTTTCATGCCACAACATCATGCCGTGCACTGACCACCTCTCCGCTTCTTCCAACCAGTCCCAGAGTCGGCAAATAATGCACGACGTGGAATTCTCTGGGACGACATTCGGAGAACATGTCCAAGCCACCGAAGTCGGTGTTTCAAGATGGTGACACCAATTGAATTATCTCGATTGGCGTATGAACCAATCGTTGGTCACCGGCTACCATGGGATTGCATCTCCTTACGATGCTCCACTGCCTTGTGGGTTAGACCTTTAGGTCAAAGGCTCGGGTAGTGGCCCCCTAAGAAAACCACCTGCTTCCGTTTTGGGCACCCGGGCAGTATCACAGCCCACACACAAATGATGAACTCTTTATGTCTATGGAAATTACCTTTCTCGCTTCGAAAAACAGTAAATTGATTCAAATTATTATCATTACCATTATTATTATTATTATTATTATTATTATTATTATTATTATTATTATTATTATTATTATTATCCACATTATTCACCCTCTTTTATACTTATACAGCGGCTCGTCTTTGGTGGAAATCCGACTGTATCTAAACGTTCTCGAGTCACTGTCCGGTTGAAAATTGTATGGTACCACCGAATATGAGTACTGAAGCAGTTTTTCTGAAACCACGTGCACCATTCAAGCTGGCTGCCTTCAACGTTCGCACACCAGTGCAGGTCGGACAACAGATAGGGCTGACTATGTCTTTGGAAAGTCTTAAAATTGATGTTTGTTGTCTATCCGAGACCCGTATTCAGGCCTCTGGCGAAGTACTACAAATTCGCTCTTCATCTGTCACTTCAAAAAGCTTGTTTTTACGTGCGCTTATCCGGGGACCCTGTGGCATCTTCGTCTGGTCTTGCTGGCGTTGGTGTCGCACTAAGCGCTAGAGCTGAGGCAGCACTAATCGACTGGATCCCCATTAACAGTCGGTTATGTGCTGTTAGATTAGAAAGTTCCATCAAAGTGAGAAGAAATCGGCGTGAGAAACTATGTCTTTTCGTCGTCTCCGCCTATGCCCCGACAGATTGCAGCCCGGATGCAATCAAGGATGAGTTTTACCACCAGTTATCTGTTCTTCTCCAGAAAGTGCGTTCGACAGATATTGTAGTACTAGCCGGAGACTTGAATGCTCAGGTCGGGCGTCTAGGCACAGAAGAGAGTCGTTTAGGTGGCCGATGGGGACTCGTTGGTCGCAGGTCAGATAATGGGGACCGTCTACTGCAACTGTGCACAGACCACAACCTGTTTCTGGCTAGCACTAACTTTCGGCACAGTCATTGCCGATGTGCCACCTGGCGTCCTCCCTCTGCATCCCAAGCCTGGACTCAGATTGATCACATCGCGATCAGCTTCCGCTGGCGTGGTTGTGTACAAGACTGCTGCTCCTTTTGGAGTACCTATCTGGACTCTAACCATGCCTTGGTCTGCGCCAATCTTGCCTTACTTTTCAGTGGACAACGAAGTGACCGCCATCAAAGGATTGATATTAGCAAGCTGGTTGCAACTTCTGTTGCAAGTAAGTATCGAACCGAGCTAGTTTCTAGGCTAGCTACCACTCCACCGAAAAGTATAGATGAGCATTGGTTGCAATTGCATGACGCCATGAATATGGCGGGTACAGTCAGTTGTGGGTTCGCGAAACGTCCCGCTTATAAGCACTGGGTTTCTGCAGGTTCCTTACAACTCATTGAAGCCTGTCGATCTACTCCGGGTGACCGTGAATTTGACCATAAACGAAGGATGTTACGTAAGGAAATTGGGCAAAGCTTGCGTAAGGATCTTAACTTTCCCACAAGCAACAGCAGTTTTCAATTATTTCCTATGAAAGTGGAAGCTGACATAGCACTTTGATTCACTTATGTCTGCTGGTAAGGTAGCCGGGTCAAGCGTTACTCCCTATTCCTGAAGTTGGAACTTGTTAGAAACGGGTGAGTGCTAATAATTTGGTAGTAACATATGGTTTTTCTTTTTTCGAAACTATGAATGTCACTATGGTATTTCCCTTAAATTACACATATTCTCCTCATACCTTCACTTTAGGTGTGAAAATTGATGAATCTGAACGTCTTGTGTGCTCATTTATACGGGCTATGCGCTCCTGTGTTGGTTGCAACTGTGGTCCGAAGAATTCATGTATACCTGGTCAGTGCTCATGCGCAGATGATGGAATTCCTTGTCAGGTAAAGTTATCCGTCTATCAACCAAAGGACGGGTTTACTGTGCAGCAGTACGTCCCGTCCTACTTTATGGCAGTGAAACTTGGCCGGTAAGAGTAGAGGATATTCGTAAGTTACTAGTATTCGATCATAGGTGTCTTCGAAACATTGCTCGTATATCATGGGAGCATCGAGTAAGTAACACAGTTGTTAGGAAACGGGTACTAGGTAAGGATGGCAAATCAATTTATGAAGTAGTGAAACTTCATCAGTTGAGATGGCTGGGACACGTGTTACGTATGCCCAACGACCGACTACCTCGACGTGCGATGTTCAGTGGTATAGGAGTAGATTGGAAGAAAGCTAGGGGCGGCCAGACCAAAACATGGCACAAGTCCATGAAGTCACTGACGAGTGGTCTGAGTCATGTTGATAGGTATAGACTACCTGGTTGGGGACCGCGAGATGATAGCAACCGATGGTTAGAGACCCTGAATGACATGGCTCAAAATCGTTTGCAATGGCTCAGGTGCATCCACTTCTTGTGTTCTCCCAAATTCTAATCTGAATTCTTCATGTTCCTTTTTTTCTCTTTCCAAATTTATTTCACTGGATTATACTCTTTAAATAACATCTCCAAACCCTAATCTTCCCGATCACTGCTTACACTCTTGCTACCTCTACCACTACGGGATTTGGATCGACAACTGCATCTCTGTGTTAAGGTGGTGTGGCAACTCGAACTGATGTACGTACGTACGAAGTTCTACGTTGTTACTGACTGACTGACTGACTGAATGTAATCTAATTACTTATTACTGAACTGTTGGGGGCGATAGATCCCCAAACTCATATTTTTAAATTTTATCTTATCGATTAACTTATTGATTAAATGTTTAAACATTTGTATTTGGGTCAATTGATGAACTGATCGATTAAATGTTTGTATAGCAGTCAGTTGATGAACCTATCAATTAGATGTGCAAATAGGTCAATTGATGAACTCATTGATTAGTGTTTAACATTTTTTCTATGACAATATCGATTGTAAATATTGTATAAATACGTGTGAGTTGTGTGTTTGACTTGACTTGTTATCTGTTGTGTGTCTGCAGAATACACTTCTACACCTTACCCAGACTTCTTGATCGAGTTAGCAGAGTTGGGGGACAACGAACCAGAATAGCTATCGAGTCGCTGAGTCATTGATCCTTCGTTCGTTGATTAAGACGCATCAGTAATAGCATTCAAGCGAATAACAAATCATAACATGAACTTAACCTAGTTGCTTTTACATGATAGATAGTTTGACCTATCATCACAGTGTTTATATGATTTATTAGTTTGGATCACGTTTAAAAAATATATATGAGCATGTTTTTTTCCCCCTCTATTTAAATTATTCAACAGAGTAGCGTTCACATACTGCTTTAGTTATGTAATAAATTCATTTGTTTGTTTAAAAGCAACATATTTTAACCCTGTAAAACCATATTAATTGTTAATAATCTATAAGAAATGTTAACTGATAATTTAGCCCATTCCTCAAATATCATAAAGGCCAAAAAAACTGTAGTTGTATTAAAGACATTAAACATACGAAGCTTATAATTTGAGAGCATTTAGTAAACTACTTTACGAAAATACTTTTATCATTATGGTCAAATAAAATAAAATCCCTATTCTTATAATGATAATAGTGATTAGTGAAAAAAATTGATAATATTCGGCTAACATGTTTTTGTTTTTCTTAGTTCAGTTTTACTTTGTAGCTGAGTTAATATGTTTGTTTTTAAGTGGAACTAATCTTATTCAAGTTAAAGGCATTAATATTACTATAATCATTGCTTCGGTTTGGGCACCTCTTGCTTCGGTTTGGGCATCCGGGCAGTATCACAGCCCTCACACACATATCAAATGAGATTTGTGTGGCGCATATGTATTTGGTGCCTCTTTGTACCAATATCTATGTGTTGAAATAAATAATAAATAAAATAATCATTGTAAATATGTATGAATTAACAGTCTATAAATACTAGTTAAATGGTAAAACAATAAATTTGCCATTCAATTTCAACTTAATGAATTTCAGGTCAAAATTTTTGTCTCATATTCTTTGTATAAACCTGTTTGTTAGCGCAATTCAGCATTCATACAATTATACTTCATTTCATTATACTTCATTGTATTATTAAGAAATTGCTAAGCACTTAAATAAATACTTCACTACTTCTCAGTTCAACATGAACTTGATAAACTGTTTTATGGTGTATTATGGAAAATGTGCTGTATCATTCACAATAAACTTATACTGTAAACAATATAACTGTATCCTATAGAATTCACTATTGACTTCCAAAATTAGCGTGGCTTTAAGATTATTTACCAATGATTAAATGAAAAAAAATTATCTCAAAAGACAACAAATATGTTTCTAACTTTTATTCGGTATCAACTGGCATCGGATCGTAGGAGACAGATTATTAATTCGTTGTTTTTCGTTCTGTCATAATTCAGGTTGATCGAGCATCCTTTCCTTGTTCTTGTTCAGCCAACGGTTGTCACAACCCAAATGGTCGTAATGAGTTTTCTCGTGAACAAGTCCGTACACATACTCAACATGTATTGGCACGTGTAAGTTGATAGGATATTATTCTGTTTTTATCAGACCTATTTCGTCGTTAGTACGAGTTTCGTGTTTAAGTATTATGATTGGGATTGAAAAAAAGGCTCTGTAACATCTAATATTGTGTACTTCAGTTAATCTGGAGTAAAACTAGGAAACCTAACTGGGTAGTTTTGGCGATTAAATAGGAACACTGTATTTTTTATGTGACCAATGAAAATAAGCTTGGTCGTGTATTGCGATTCGTAAACTGCTGTATTCAATAACGCGGAGACTTCGTCTGAACCCTGTTGTGATTCATGTATTCTTGTAACTCTAGTTAGTCATAATCAATATAGAGCCTGATACAAATTCACATCAGCTCAAGTCCCAATATCATATCAGAACGAAAAGCTAAAATTCAACTGATTGGTAACGAAGTAGTTGAATTAATTGTATCAACGATAATAGTGAAAAACACCAAACATTGAAATTATGGTAAAAAAAATGAATGAATTTAGCCTATGAGAAACCCAGGATTTAATGGAAGGTAAGAAGATGTGTACCACTGTGAGTTATTACGAGTCATGTCACTCAACACTAACTGCTAATCGTGGCAAACAGATGCACCCCTGTCAAGTAGAGTGCATCCATCAACTTAGGCCACTCCAACAATCATTCACTTTATGGGCTGATGCCATGCTTTGGTTCGACCGCCCTTACGTTTCTTCTAGCCTATCACCATATCAAAAAACATCCCGTGTCGAGACAGATGCTGTTTAAGGATACGTAACGCATATGTCGATCATTTCAGTGGACGATTCACAGTTTCGTCAACTGATTTGCCATATTTGACTAGTACCATATCCCTAAACGTAACATTGCCTACGAAATGTTAATAATGCTTCAAAGGTACCTATGGTCAGAAAATTTTCATCTACACAGTCGCCCCTGATAGTGTGTCGTCTGTTGGATACTTTGTTGCATTGGGAAATGCTAATTTTTATTCTTCATCCAAACATAGTGAGAACTTCATCGTCTGTCATGTCATTATGAGCTTATCTTTTCATCCCAGTATACATCAGAATTGTTCTGATTAGCTAAGAAATTTTTTAACCGTCAGTGCTATTGTTTCTGTGTATGCAGGTTAAACAATGTAATTCTGTCATATTCATGTTTATTCTGTTTGTGTCATATCTGTTATGTATGTGACGACCTTGTATCCGCGGTCCTGCTGTTTGTACGGTAACCACTGCAATTTGCACGATACAAAGTTAAAACATTACACCTAGTACAAATGAGGATTGGTTGGTTCCATTCCGTTTACTCGTATAAATATTTACGAAGATTACTTGACCACGGAAATCATTCTCAAACTAATCAAAGTCTTTAACTTGAATAAAATGCTTTGTGACACTTAGACTTGTTGTATACATTGTTTTATTGTATTTTTTACACAAACATTTGTCTCGTTTTATTTTTTTCATGTTTATTTGTTGTTTATGTATCATAATAATGTTTCTTTTCAATTTTACTGCTAGTTGGCCAGTGATAATTCTGTTCAGCCTGTTAAATCTCCACTGGATATGTCAGAAGCAGTGCTTAGTACTCCGAACGGTGCTTGTTCACTCTGTTTATACTGTTCCAAAACAACTACAGTGTCACCAAATAGTCCTATTTCTTTGTCCGGTAATAAATATTCTGAACCAGTCCAACAATTGAACTTATCTTTAGACAATCAGTTTCTTTCAACTTCATGTACAGATGTAACACACATAAAGGACTCCAATATATCTCCTATAGATACAACCGAAGATAATTGGTCGGATCATAGTCCATATTCCAAGCCTTTGAAAAGAAGTCGTTTAATTTCAAATCATGATAACAGTGCTGATAATCAAGTTGTACAAAATTCTGTCGTCCCATCTCTTAGCTTTTCTGGCTCTCCATTGATAATTGATTTAGTGAGCATTTTGTTTTTTCTGTTAATTTATTTAAGCCGAAAATTGTGTATTTATACATAAACATGTTCAACTATAGAAGTGTTGTGTTGTTTATATCGACAAAGGGGCGAAGTCCTAGCTTTTTCATTTATATACTATGTAACACGATACGAACGGCAATGTGTTTGATGGTTGAAGGTATTCCCCATAAAACCTTAGGCCTTATGTTTAGTCCTTATTGACACGTTACTAAGGCGTACCTGCAGTTTTAGTGTAGCTGATACTTCTTGACAGATTTGAATTCGCATCACTCAGTTCACAGTCTGAGGCGTTACCACAACTATTCGGTTCGCGTATGCTAGTTTTTTGCAAGAAATTACTTTTAGTATGTAATTAATCATATCCTCCGTTCATTTTCACAATTGTATTATTGTCCATTGGTTTTGTCGCCTCACAAACTTTGATCAAATAATTATGTGATAAAAATCCGTGTTACATGTGTTAGTTATCGTAATGCAACTTGTTAAACAATTTTTACTAAGGTTAGTTATTACTATTACTTAGTGGTTACCAAGATGAAATTAGATGGAGTAATGATGCGGAGAAGATGCGAGCCAGTATTGTTAAAATTACTTACAGAGTAAAACATTTATTTTCTTGTCAGAATTATGCGTGTATCATCCGAAATTTATCAAAAATAAAAATCAATCAAATCCATTGATAACTGGAGATCATTTTTCATTCGATCCACATGAAATCTGGCTTCAAAAATAGTGTCCTAGTTTTTTCGTAAAGGCTAGAGCATTACCCCGGGTGCCCAAAGTGAAGCAAGTGGTTTTATTACAAGGGTACTTCCTGAACCTTGAACTCAGAGATCCTATCTACAAAAAAGTCAAACAACATCAGGAGATTTTGTCTCATGGCAGCTGGTGATCAGAAATAAGTTCACTCGCATTAACTCCTTCAAGATCCTGACGACTAAATAAATTCGGTCTTCTTCAACATCCGTAAGTGAACCTTCCGTACTCATCAACTCAGTTCAATCTCCGGACATTCACTTTTCATTATCTCATGTAAAAACACCCCTCCTACGTGAACTTGGTGAATAGGACTTTGTTGGTAGTGGCTATGAATGTATGACTACATAAGAGTATTTCAAGAGGGCGATTGAATTTTCCTCATCCCCAGCTGCAGTTGTGGATTTAAGGAACTGTATTAATTAATAGGAAACGATAAATGGCATGTTTCATTTTGTAACCAGTTTTAATCTCTGATAAAACTCTAGTGATAGTTTCAAATATCAGAAGGATTCTGTGAATTGTAGTCTAATCTTACGGCATTCTATTGAAAGATTCTCACTCTACTCACCATAGTTTGTTATTACGGCAGATGAAATCGTTCTTTAATTGTTGAATATTATGTAATTGCTCATTTTTACTCAATTGGTTATCGTCTACTACTCTTCGACCTAGTAGATTTTTCGTTGAAATTGACATATTTACTGGATTCGGTTATAACGATAAAACTGATGTTTCTGGGTAACAATTTAATTATATACTTTTCGAATATTAGACGTTTCTTAATCAATGATTAGGAGAATATGTCTAATTTTTTTAAAAGTGGTTACAAAATAATTTTATGGCGAAATTGTAATCCCCCAAATGCCCTGGTTCGACCGAGAGTGGGGAGAGTCCGCTCTCCCTCTCGAAATGCTCTCACATGGCCACGCGTATATAGCCTCTGCCAGGGAAGTCCTACTCACTGCTTCCTCGCACCACGGTTGTTGTTTACGAAATTGAGAGGACGAAAAGTGAATGTCCGGCGCTTTAACCGGGTTGGTGGACACTCCATGTCCACCTAGGCGAGTTGGAAAACCCTGATTGTAAACCAATGATGCACATGGGCTCCCGTATCCGGAAGGAACCAATTATTGGTAACCGGCTACCATAGGACTGCATCTCCTTACGATGCTCCACTGCCTTGTGGATCAGACCTTCAGGTCGAAGGCTCCGGGTGTGGCCCCCTAAGAAAATCACCTATTTCGGTTTGGGTACTCGGGCAGTATCACAGCCCTCACACATATCGAATGAGATCTGTGTGGCGCATATGTATTGGATGCCTCCTTGTACCAATATCTATGTTTTAAAATAAAATAACATCCTATAAAAGAAAATTAATGTCAGCTTTCCAGTGAAAAAATAACGAGTCTAGAACTTCAATCAAATTCATCTAGAAACATATAACAGATTAATTTTTCACTTTTATTTCTGTTGGCGTTGACGGCATTATAAGTTGTACAACTGTATGAGGCCGGTCACATAAGATTTCTGTAAGTGGTTTTTGGTGAGGTAGCTTATATTTAACACTGGCACTTGCACGGTAGTCCGTGTAATAAGTTTAGCTGCACTGCTTTTAGTGGAGACGTTTACTAAATCCGTTTTGTGCGAATGCACGTTTGCTGTAGATGGTGATTGAGGGAATCACCTTACTGGCTTCACACCCCAGCACAGTTAGCAATGAGATTTCACCTCCAAACCATAATTTTATAGCTTTTATTCTTACCGCTCTCTAATTGACTTGAAAGCATTGTAGGTCATAAAGGAATGGGTGTCTTCGTCAATGTAACTCGGTTGGATTATCATGATATTCAAGCCTGATCACCACATCAAGGTAAAAACTACAAACTTAGACTAAACGTCTATCAGGTCCTCCCTAGCTTCCAATAGTTTCACGACTGATAACGGTCTGTAATTGTGATAAATCTCCATCGACAACGCATCTGAATTTATTAGTAATTCATGTTTTCATATCATTCGTTTTTTGATTTAATGTAATATTCCCACCATCTGTTTGTTATGAGTGTGGTTATTTTCCTTAAAATTGCCATTCTAGACGTTGTCACCAGATGAACAATCACCCAATAACACTCCAAAATCTACTCGTAGTCGGAATCGATTGACAAATAACGAACAAACACCCCTTAGTAAACAATCAGGTCCGATGTATATTCCAAAAGTTCCGGAATGTGCTTCACAAGATGATAATTATATTACAACTAGTGATATTCCTGAAGCACCTAGATCATGTTTTACAAATGGAATTTCAAAGGATGATTCATTATTGGATATTTCAGTAATTAATAACAATAATAATAATAATAATATCAATGAGGATTCTCAATCTGTGACAATAATTATTCATCGACGAAGATCACGTTCAGCTGATACCACAGGATCATGTGACGGTGATAATTTTCCCATGGAGATGAAAAATAATCATCCAAAAAATGTTGGTAGCATTCTTAAACATATCTTATCACTAGATTCTGTTGTTTGCGATGTGACTAAGTCCAGTTCAAGTATTAAGCAATTATCTGAAGTCCCCAATCAGTTTGAAAATGCGAAATCAAATACTTGTTGGCCTGTTACTTCTATTATGAATGCCGATAAAGGTGATTTGTTTAATGATTGTTGTTATGCGATTATTATATATCGTTTTCTTGTGTTTTCATCCACAATAATATTTTTCATGCAATTCACCAAGCACAGAATCCTGTACATAGTACTTTGAGCCACACTTTATGCATGATAGCTAGTGAAACTATCCGGTTACCTAAATTGGAATAGATGAAACAGGATTCGGATCTGTAACCTAACAGTTAGATCCCACTAGCCACAATCCAAATTGTTCAAATCACTTTTAATGTTCTTTTCTTTAAAATGATTTTTCAGTGTGTGCATTTTACGCTATTTATATTGTTTGCTTAAAGCTGGGATCACCGGCTAAGCAGTAGTGATGTTAGATGCAGGGTACTGGGGAATGGTGGTAAATCAGTTGATAAGTTTGTGAATCTTCATCGACTGAGATGGTTGGGCCACGTGTTACGTATGCCTGAACACCGATTACCACAACGCGCAATGCTAAGTAGTGTTGGGGATTGTTGGAAGAGGGTTAGGGGTGGCCAAACCAAAATGTGGCATCAGTCCTTGAAGTCACTGACAAGTGAACTGAGCCATGTTGGTAAGTGTAAACTACCTGGTTGGGGACCGCGAGATGATAGCAACCGATGGTTAGAGACCCTGAATGGCATGACTGAAAATCGTTTGCAATGGCGCAGATGCATACACTCTTTGTGTTCTCCCAAATTCTAATCTTCTGAATTCTTCATATCCCTTGTTTTTTCCCTTTCCAAATTTATTTCACTGTATTATACTCCTTGAATAACATCTTCAAACCCCAACGTTTCTGATTACTGTTTATACTTTTACTATCTCTATCACTATGGGATTTGAACCGACAATTGTATCTTTGTGTTAACGTGGTACGGCAATTTGAAATGATGTATGTACGTAAGAAGTTCTACGTTGTTGTCGACTGACTAACTGACTAACTTATTATTATTATTAGTATTATTATTATCCAACTTATAATTGTTTTCTCTATTCTTCATATTATAGATTGTCTTTTGTCAAAATCAGCACCAAATAGTCCATGTTTACAAAAAAATGATTTTCCATATGGTAGAATTTCTTTACGTCGTCGTGCTATTCCACGTACTCCAATAATAACACCATTTAGAAAAGTATTAACACAATCTAATAATCGTTTTCATAAACAATTTAATTTATTATCAACTTCTAGAAATAAATCAAATTTATCCATTAATGATAATCTATCAACATCTAATTTACAGTCTTGTTATAATGATAATACTACTACCAGTAGTAGTAGTAGTAGTAGTAGCAGCTGCTGCTGCAACAACAACAACAATAATAATAATAATCTTATCACTGAAATTCCTTCACAACCATCATCATCGTCAGCAGCAGCAGTAGCAGAAGCATCAGCTTCATCTAGTGATGTGAAAATTCAATCCATTGTATATTAATCATTGTTATTATTGAATAAATTCAACAGATAATAATATATATGTACAAAGACTGTTAGCACTTTTCTCTCTCTCTCTCTCTACATTTTCATTTCTATCTTATACTTTTTCACATTGTATGTTATACTTGTGTGAAAAATAAATGAATTCTGATTCATAATGATTTAGTATCCAATGAAGTTTCTTTATAGACATTCTTAATAATTTCAATAATTAACATCATAAATCCAATGAAATCAGATGATTAAAGTATTACAGTTAATTCTACAATAGAACAAAACAATAATCATTTAATCATTTTAAATTATTCTCATAATGATCTAATTACAATTGATTTATGATTTTAATGATTGAATTTACATCATGATGGATTATTTAACAGCATTACACATAGTTATCGAATTGATTTTATCTTATTTTATTTAATTAGTAATACTACTATTACCAATAATAGTAGTATTTTTCGGAGTGGGGGTGGTGGGTGGGCAGGGCGGTTACTATAGAGACAATGAGAATTGTATCTGATTATATGTTTATTGATCATCTTCAATTCTCTTTATTTCACTAAAAATTTTTTTCTGTTTCATTCTTAAAAAAGAAATTCATTCTAATCATAACTGGATACAATAAACATATCTTGTCCTTTTTTTCTTTCTTCTATTGCTTTATTGAATAATACTTTTTTTTAGTTGAAACACGTTTGTTAAAAACATTCAACTTTCATCCAGTTGAACTCCTTGTTCGAGTTCTTCTTTATTTCATTCTTTCGATTTTGTTCAATTGGATAGTATTTCATAATAAGAGTATGACTAATATCTAAATAATCAGGAAATACGTTACTCTTTCTTTTTAATTTTCTCTTTTCTTTTTTAGTTTCGAATTTCTCTTTTTTTTTACCTTCTTTATTCACTTTCTCTCTTCTTAGTTTTGTTATTCAACTTATTTCTAATTACTTGATATTAGTTTCTTTCCTGTATTATCATCATCATCATCAAATAGTTTTTATTTCATTATCTAATCATCATCATTTTGAATTGAATACTTGTAAAATATATAGAATTAATGTGTAGTTTTTGTATTGTGTATGATGTACATTTATATAAGCATAGATACATACACATAGTTACTTAAAAGAAGAAAAGTAAACGATGGTGATTAATAATAAAAGGAATTATTCTATTGTCTTATTCTTTTTCTTTTAATAGTAACTAAATTCTTACAGTTACTGTTTATGTTTTTAGTGAATTCATTTATTGGTGTGTGTGTGTGTGTGTGTGGTGTATATTTAAGTTGAATAATAATAAAAAGTAAATTGTGTTAGATATATGAGCATGATCAAGTTGTAGTTGAATAGTAATTCAATAGTTAAAGAACTTTACGTTGTAATTTCGAATCTCACTAAGTTGTGTCATTCAATGACCAAAATGCCAAATGAGTCTTATTAATTACTAATATTACAAAATTGCATAGTGTAGAAGATAATAATTCGGAAATATCTCCAATTGATCGTTATAGTTTGTGAAATCCAATTTTCTAATTGTCTATCTATACAGGGAGTTTGTGGTGATGATTGATAATACCACGAACCGACTTAAACTAGACAGCGCTTAAAAAATATCACTGGAAAGCTGTTTTTTATTTTAGTATAGGACTCCTCAACCCATGCACATCCACTTTGGTCTCACTGTAAATGTTTACTCTTTGAACCACTGAACCACCAAAACCTCAATCTTCAATCAATTCACGACATTTGATATCTCCCTTTGCCACTCATCTCTAGTAGGATAAACAGTCAACATGACTAACTTGTCAAACATTAGATTGTGAAGTTGTTACTTGGCCATATGCATAAGGTTTCTCTATACCATTGAATTCGTATATCAACTTAATATCTTACTAGATGTTCAAATTACTTGTTAGTAGTAGTTCACAGATTTATTATTTAGTGATAATAATTGAAAATCTTCAATGTGTTTTAGCCGGTATTCTAGTAAATATGAATTGGATTGATATAATCATATTTGGATTATACACATTTTGTCTATTTCATCAATTAAGTAGTATATTCAGATGGATAATTAACTATTCAATGTCTAATTTTGTCACATATTTCATAATCCATCTTGTCAAGCTTGTACGTAATGCTTCTTTTTAGCTTATCAAAACATTCATATTGTCTGTAATCCTTTAATTGAGCTATTGAAGTTATCCATTAGTGAATTCATGACAAACTATGATATCAATCGCGAATGGATGTGCTTTAAAATCGATTATGGTTGCGTAGATTCAATTACTCTTTCTTTAGATCTTCAGATTCAATATTCTTTTCATTTCATCTTATTGAATCATAATCTCAATATTCAATCTTCTTTATTATCATTGCTACTACTACTACTACTACATGATTTCGATCTCTATTACTATTCATCTGGTTAGTTTTGTGTCGGCATTTCAGTTTAACCTGGGAAGTTGAACGGACTCGACTTCGGTATCAAACTCTTAGCTCATTATAATTAATGGGCTGAAAACCAACGTTGTTTGTTAAATATTGTCAAACTAAATTGACTTCTATTATTGGACTGTAAAGTATTCTGAAGTTGATTATATTTAGATTATTTTATCCCATCACAAGATAATTTGTATTATGTTTATTCAATTCTCATTATTGTGAAATGTATTAGATAGAGCTATTTGTATAGATAGTATATTATGTCTTTGAATTTGTAGCCTATCTACTTGTCACTATTCAATATGTGAATGATATATCTAGCACTTTTTTCGTTTATGTAATGACACATAAGAGGACAATTTTCATGGAGAATTTCATTTCAAACTCTTACTTGTACGTTGAGATGGTCTACAGTGGGTGTATTTACAGAAGACATATGTAGATAGGTTTCAGATGATCAAAGTGTAGTAAGAACTGCACTCGTATGCAACACTGACGCACGAAATAAACGGAAAAATGCTCGTAAATGTTATATTGCAGTTTTATTGAAGATTAAAAAAGGATGGTTTTCTCCTTACCTTGTACAATCATGCATCATCTGTTGAATTTACAACATAGTTTTGAAATTCTGTGATTCGATCACTGGTAGGGTCATAGGTTCGCAATAATGAATAGTTTGATCCTAAGACTAAGCAGCTGTCATTTTACTAAGATCAGTTCATAATTCAACAGTCTTCATAATTACAAAATCGTCATAACACATATGCGCACTATTAACTAAATTCTAATAGTAATTCACGGGTTTCTAGTGGGATTCCCTATTTATGTAGAATGTAAGACAGATACTCACCAGTGACATTGAAAGATAGTTACGCAGTGCCGCAAATTGATTTAAGTTAGAAATTCAAACTACTGAACACTGACTTAGTGCTTTCCAATCTGTTGAATATTGTGAATTTACTCTACTTATGACGTAATGGGTAATTTGTCTTAATTCTATATATTTTTTATAATTTGTATCTCCTCAGTTAAACATAAATTACTATAGTTGCTGAGAGAATAATAAGATTGTTTTTCATTTCAGGTCGTTTTTGTTAATGGATTCTCCCAAAGCCAGTAATAAACAGATCTGGCCATTAGTGGATGTTAATTCAGACGACGAAGCATTTTGGGATGATAAAGATTTAATTGCTGAATATGATAGAATTGAGTCTCTTGTTCAGGTAAACAATTTTCCATTTTTATATTGATGACATGTTTTTACAGAGTTGTTTATTTCCAATCACGTTATTTTTTGTCGTCGTCACGATAATACTGCATTACCTATGGAGTTTATTCATCAAGTACATGTTTGTATATTTGGACCTTCGAGGGACTTAATCTCGATGGTTTTAAGTCTAGCAATGCTAGCTCATTTGCCTAAACTGATATGGGTAGAGTAGAGTGGAACTCAAACCTGATATGATTGATGTATTCACGAGTTCTCCTAATTTACGGACAGAACGAATACTCAGTGACACAATGATCAAATCAGCTAATTATTCCAATACGTCTCAGTCCCGCTGACTAGAGAGGGAAGTTCGAGTTCAGAATAAGGAAATATATTCCACAAGCAGCCAGGAGCAAGAACGACAACAACAAGCACAACTCAAGCGTATATACACAGCATAAAAATGTCCTAGGGAAACGATACGAAATAGCATATTAAAAGAGGCAACGAACTAATGACATTTAAAGTCCTCCCAAGTGGGAAATACTACATGTAGGTGAAAACGGGTGCCTTTGACGCGAAAACAAGAAATTCAAATTTACAAAATAAAATTGCAAAACTAAGACATTTATTAAATCACTTCTGGGGATTTAACATTCCTACCTCCAAATGCTTTGGTACGGCTGAGAGTAGGGAGAGTCAACTCTCCCTCTCGAAATTCTCTCAAGTGGCCGCGTGCATACAACCACTGCTAGGGAAGTTCTACTCACTGCCTTCTTGCATCATGGGTGTTGTTTACGGAAAAGAGGACGGAAAGCGAATGTCTGACAGAGGCTTCAACCAGATTGGTGGATATGGAGAATCCACCTAGGGAATTTGGAAATCCCTGGTTCCAAACTACTGGTGCACATGAGATCCAGTGTCTTGAAGGGACAAATGGTGTTTAAACCTATTGTTGATCACTCGCTACCATGGGACTGCATCTCGTGACGTTGTTCCACTTCCTTGTGGATTAAACCTTTAGGTCAAAGGCTCTGACTTTGACTACATAGTTAAACCACCTGCTTTGGTCTGGGCACCCAGACAGCATCATATCCTACACACAAATCGAATGACTTATGTAGCGCATATCTGTTTGATGCCTCGTTGTACCAATGTTTATGTGTTTAAATAAGTAAAATAAAATAATTTAACATTCCCAACAAAACCTACAGTCTAATAGTTAAAAACCGAATGCTTTCACCCTTCAGTCATCAGTATATATATATATATATATATATATATATATATATATATATATATATATATATATATATATTCAAATTACAGATATCTTTTAAAGTCTACATTGAATATCATTGTAATCTTTTTCAAAAACAAATGAAACATGTGATTCAAAACGATGTGGTGCTACTTTGATTCGAATAAAGATGTATCATTATTGGTAAATGATCAAATATAATAGATGAGTTTTATTGTTGAACTTGAACTAGTTCATAGTATGATCACATCACATATTACTTAGCTGATGGAATTCTGTTTAGGTTGTCAAATGATCAAATGTTTTGTGGTGTGTGCTACTTATATTGATATAAGTAGTATATGACGCGAGTCAGGAATGTAATGTCTGTCAGCAAAAGATGGGGGAAGATCAAGAAAGCAAGAGTGGGAATAGAATGCAATTTGTATGAAAATACAAGGACAATGAAATCTGAGGCATTTTAAGACAATTGGTGGACATTTTGCAAATTAACGATTTAATATATGGTCCTCAGATTTTATTGAGATGATCTGTAATTTTGTGTTAAATACATTCGATTGTCCCCACCTGTGTTCTGTTAACTACAGTTTAGTTTGATTTATCAATAACTTGGTCTTATTGTTATGACCCGCTGTCTAATATTACATGACGAGAACGCTATTTGGAGTTCGTTTACTACAGCGCTAACAACTGAGTTCTAAAATTGGTTCACGATTCTCTTATTTATTTTTTTCAACACATAGATATTGGTACAAGGAGGCACCAAATACATATGCGCTACACAAATCTCATTCGATATGTGTGAGGGCTGTGATACTGCCCGGGTGCCCAGACCGAGGCAGGTGGTTTTCTTAGGGGGCCACACCCGGAGCCTTCGACCTGAAGGTCTGATCCACAAGGCAGTGGAGCATCGTAAGGATATGCAATCCCATGGAAGCCGGTGACCAACAATTGGTTCATTCGCCATTTGTTCTCTCACGATACTGGAGCCCATGTGCACCATAGGTTTGTAATCCGGTTAAAGAGCTGGACATTCGCTTTTCATCCTTTCAATTTCGTAAACAACACACCCGCCACGAGAAGGCAGTGAGTAGGACTTCCCTGGCAGAGGCTATGTACGCGTGGCCATGTGAGAGCATTTCGAGAGGGAGAGCGGACTCTCCCCACTCTCGGCCTTATCAGGGCATTTGGGGGCAAATTGGAACATGAGATTCTCTAACCTTTTTTTTGCCTTGTATTGGAATCGATAAATCAATTATCAACCCCTATAACACGAATATTATACTTCAAATATACATAGTTTATATACATATATTACCTGATCACATCATATCTTAAAATGAAGATTAATAATTACACATGATCAAACATCTGAGAATAGAGAAGATTGTAAATAACAAACTGGCAATAGATTAACGATAGTAAATCATATAACCATAGTTAATGTGTCAATCAAAAGCTCATGATAAAAAGAATATATATGTATAATAGTAATCCTTAAATTAATCTTGAACGTTACCATTCCTTCAATCTTTATCGAATATGATAACACTTGCTTCACCTCAGTTTTATCTAAAATAGTAATAGATTATAAGATAGTTAGTTGTAAGCAAATCATAACATAACATAGATCTATCAAGTGATTGATTCTTGTGAATGGATATAGATCATTTGTTCAGAGTCAAGCTAGATTGATTGATTTCTGTTATTTCTTCATTTATACCTTCTTTACAAACTTTATGTTTAGTCCTTATTATTATTATTATTTCTACTGTTTTTGCTATTCACGTTGTCAATTTTCTTGTGTTGAGCTAATGTAGTACGGAAATTTAAGTGGATATATACAACACTTGTATTAGACTTTAGTTGATGACAACTAACTTGTTCACTTTTTTAAAGATACAAATTCATCTTTAAATTGTTTTGGTATTTTTTTTTTCATATTTATTTTATTTTTTAGGATAAATTAACAAGAGAACTGGATAATAATGCAAAACATAAGTCCTATGGAATTAGTGACAATTTCCATAAAAATATAAAGAAAGATTCATCCAGTACGTGTAATAAATCGAAGGTCTGTTACGTTTCGTTTAATCATTTTTGCCGTATATATGTATGTCGATTGCTTTTTGTTCCCGTTCTTTCCTTCTTCTACTGAAATACATTCTATTCTTGACCATCGTTATACACTACTTATGAGGATTAAGTAACTCACACCACACTCGTCCTTCCTTTAAAGCATTCGTTCTTGCGATGGTTCTGCTCACCGTGCCACATTCCTCTTTTCTGCAGTCTGTGCAACGCCCGCTGTCAAATTTCGAGTCTGCGGCGCGCTGACCTTCATAGCTCCGTCGACCTGCCGGGGTATCTGCATCCGGTATCCACTTGACACCTAGGACGTTCAATGCCTCCGCTCTAGCGACCTGATCACCCATCTACATTCGATATCCACCCAGCAGCCGCACGTTTACGTCGACAGCACCAGTCACAACCAACGCCGCCCCGCCAGAACACTCCACTCGACGTCACTTCTCCGCCCAAACTAGTACCTCAGATGCAGGCTCACAACGGCGTCCGCGGAACAGCACCCTTCCCCCTCCTTGTTGGCAGCGACACCAAATGTACCTACACAAAGACTCATACATATATATATATATATATATATATATATATATATATATATATATATATATATATATATATATCGTGTGGAAGTTTGAGTCATATTTAACCAATGACATGTCTCGTGCCCGACTCTGATGGTCAGTTGGGCTTGCGTGCAGAATGCTTGTACATCAGTTTCAGGATCGGACATCGCACAACAACAGTTTTCTACAATTATGTACATAATTATCTCTTAAACATTTAGGCTTCATAAGAAAATGAAGCCGAATCTTAGCCAATAGCGTGCACTTATCATTTGGCTGGTACATAAATACTATATTATATATATTGCGATTCCGTAAGTTAAGAAGCTTTAATATTGCACACAAATTTTGTGATTGATAAATTTGAATAAAACAAAATGAAAGAACCAACATTGAAGACTATCGTTGTGTATTTTCGTCATCCAGGTACACCATACTGAAAATATTCATGGAGAAAATGTCGGCTTAGCGGATATTCAACCACTCATTGTCAACAGCAATCCAGTTTGTGATTTCCAATGGATTCCTCCGTGTTTAAAACCTCCGCCTCAATTATTTTCTCATTTGGCTTCATCAAGGTATTTTGTGCAAATCTCTATTTCGTTCAACTAATTATTGTATTTTATATTCAAATTAATTTTTGCAAACCTTTCGATAATTGTTTAGAGAAACACCCATTTCACTGAACTAAATATAGGGCTCACGCAAACAAGTTCTATTACTGTTTCATATAGTAAGTAACGACCTGTTTATAATGTCAATTTGCATACGATTAAGATATTAATTGAAACTTGTAAACATGATTTTGAATTTTTCAGAGATCTAACTAGTGCTTTCAAATTAGATTTGTATCCAACAACATAAATGTTGATAGACATCATTGCTCAGAGAAATACTCTCTGGCATATAAACATTTGCTGAAGCCATTTATTAGTCACAAGTGCCTAGTTTCCACGATAACATCTCGTAGACATTTTCCTCCTCCATAATATACCTGTGTCAGACAATTTCACTGTCTTCTATTTACCATGAGTGACGGTGACAAACTGTTTGTCGAAATGGTGACCGATCAGATAGTGGCAAATTCTAGTGTGGTAATCTAAAACAAAAACTATCAAGGATTTTCTTATTAGTCAGAAATACATTTTGCTGACATTTGTTTATTTAGATTGCCTATTGACCACAACTTGTTGATCAACTCATTAGTACACACCATATCAAGCTTAATAAGAAAGCTAACTAATGGAGTTGAAATTCAGTTTTCCCTAGTTCCAATTTCGTGTTGTATGACAATTTTTTCAACCTAGATATTCTCGCGAAGAATAATGATATAAAATTACTGGTCTTTTCATCAGTTTCAACTAATTATAGCAACTATGAAACAATTTCGTACTTTCACACCCTGAGCTCTTTTAAAATCATTATCTCAACCATAAACGAAGCTGAAATTAAGTAACCACATGGAATATTTTTTCTGAAGACCGTAATTAAAAAGCTAAAAAATATGCGAATATGCATTATTGTCACTGATTATTGACTGATTATTGTCACTGACCTCTAGGAATAGTATTTGCAACTTTGATTAGGATTCACATTCGTTTAACGGATCGGAGCGAAGAAAACTTCACAACTTCCAATTGTCTAGTTTGACAAAAAATAGCTTCATAGAAAAATGCATTTGTCACATTGTCATGCTTTTCTGAAACGAGATATTTTTTCACGTTCACTTGATAAAGTTATCTCAAATCCTACCGTTTAGTGTATACTTGAATTATAGAGTTATCATATGTTTAAAGTATTTTGAAACGTTTGTTATACAAGTTTACAATTCTCTGTTTTCACTCATGTAGGGACAGTCATCTTCCTAGTGATGTTCAACCTTCTGTTCCTTCTCAACCAATCTTTAATAGCACGAAAAGTGGTTTATCAACTATCGAACCTATACTACGCTCCTGGTATGAAGCAGGTTACCAACTTGGTCGTTCACATGCTATGAAGTTGAAGTCAACGTCATCTGTACCTGCTGTAAACTCTTATTAATCCTTTTACACTAAACGTGTACTGCTTCACATATTTTCTTCAGATTATCAATAAAATCCTTATTTATATTTGTATCAAGTGATGATTGTTAGTAGAAGTTGGGTAAATTAGTTTTCGAGTTGTCTGGATCATAAACTCGTTGGTTTCTGTTTTTGTTCAATATAATACTTGAAGTGATAAAAATTGATTTTCGCTAGTTGATGGCCACCTACGTTTCTCTTTTTGTTTGTCCAAAATTATAATTTGGCGCTGTAAGTAGGGACATGTGTGCTTTACCCACAACCCTCCAACATTGGCTAAAAACACATCTGTTTTTATTATCCTGGTATTTTTGAAGATGTGCTATGTTTATTTATATCCCAAGATACTTTACAGACAGGACTAATAAGAGCAAGGTCTATTTCTGATAGCGTATGTGGTTAACTCCTACTTAACGTTACTGATAGTAGTTCATGGTCACGTATAGGTATGTATTGATACGCACATACGTTTGATATTTGTTCTAGTCATCCCAGTTATTCTGCACTGAGATGCCGTTGTCACTTTTTCACATGTGGTCCCGAACAACCTCTCTACTTATATACATGACTTCATATTTATTTCCATCCAATTTTCATAATCTTCACCTGATCTATAGTAATTGAGAAATCTTATTACTTGCTGGGTCAATAGATTACTAGACCTCGGGGTTTTGTGTTTCGCTACTTTTGTAACACTGGATGAAAGCATATATGAACTAGTGTTCAGAATGCGATTAGATCTAGACCTAAAAATAATGTGTACACCTGGAATCGCACAACTGCTATCACTTAACTAGGGTCAAAGTAGTGTTGTGTACTTTTTATTGACTATCTACGTTAACATCAGTAGTTGAATAACATGGTATTTTAGAAATACAGATTTTATTCATGCACATAAGGTGCATAAAGACAAAGAATACAAAAAATTATTCAATAAAGCAAGTATTTCAGCTATGCTCTGCCCAGGATGATCTCTGACCTGAAATACTCGTAAAAGATGATGTATGACCGTCATGTGCTTGTCGAGTTATAATTTTCTTCATGTCTGGGTTCATGGAGTATGTTGAAGATTCTCTACACTATATATGTGAAGTTTTACCGACCTTAGCGGAGAACTAAGTAACTTCTTTCTGCAACGGTCCCATGAATTATAATGGGTACTTTAGTTCTTATAAATAAAGAAGTTCACAACTCCATAAACTAGAGATACTTGTAGTTAAACATGAAGAAAACAAGGTATTAACATGGTCTAAATACACTTTGCTAGTTTCATTCCATTTAATCTGAATTCCTTCAATCGCTCCCTCAGGTTTTTACATCATGCATCGGTGACCGACATAAGATCAATGATATCTTTTTCTAATTATCAAATTTATGCAACTGTCAATCTGAGATCCCAAGGAATAAACATTTCAGTATCTCTGCAAAGGAGATACGACTTTGAAGATCAATTAAAAACTCATAAAAAACAGGATTCAAGTACCTTCACAGTTTTGGACAAAAATTTATTAGGGATATCTAATCGCTTGGATCTAAATATTATGTCGCCTGATCGGCCGTTGGCTCTTCTGTCATTACCTTCAAAAATCATGGATTCCCTGATGTGCGATGGTATAAACGACTATCTACAGTCCTTAAATTTCTTCCCACCCCAACAGCATGGTTCCAGGAAGGGCTACTCTTGTATAACCAACCTGCTGACTGCTGTGGACAGATGGACAAGCATCCTCGATCGCAAGGGAAAGGTTGACATCATCTACCTAGATTTCTCAAAAGTTTTTGATAAAGTTAACCATTTGTGTGTTATCATTAAGCTCAAACGACTAGGTATCACACCACCTCTAATCGATTGGCTTATTTCATATCTGAAAAATCGACGTTTTAAGGTCAGGGTTAACTTCACTATATCCCCAGCTGTGGAATGTCCTAATGGGGTCCCCAGGACTCAGTACTAGGACCTCTTTTCTTCTTGATCTATATAAATGATTTTCCACAACAGGTGTCGTCGAACTTATTACTTTTTGCTGATAACGTGAAACTTTAGAGAGAGATATGCAACCAAAAGGATATACAGGCACTTCAAGTGGATCTGACTGGACTTCAAAGTTGGACAGACGATAACGGACTTATCTTTAACACTTCAAAGTGCAAAGTTGTCCATCTGTGAGATGTCGCAGACTACAGTTACAACCTAAGAAACTCCTTTCTAGTAGTATCTTGAGTCGAAAAAGATTTAGAAGTCCTGATTTCATACGACTTGAAGTCGTACGCTTACTGTGACAAAATGCCTTTCGAGCAAACCTTGCACTGATAACATTGAAACGCATTTCCGGTCAGTTTGACGGAAGAACTTTCCACATAATCTTCAACAATTTTATTCGTCCCCATTTGGAGTATGGAAACATAGTATTTCCCTCCTTACTTCAAAAGCATAATGACACGCTGGAGTGTATCCAACGATGAGCCACGAAATTACTTCGAGGACTCAAATTCAAACCTTAGAAAGAGTGCCTCCATTCACTTATTCTTTACCCATTAGAGTATAGACGTCATAGAGGTGATCTATTAATGGCTTATAGTATTCTCAACAATTCTGGACATCCTCCTAAACACATACTTAAGCTTAGTTCGAACACTAACCTCATGGGTACTACCCAGAAAATGCAGACACAACATAGCAACATAACCTTTACTCATTAAAAGCTGTCAAATGCTGGAACTCGCTGCCAACCGAGCTAGTCCAAGCGTCTTCCCAGGAGTCCTTCAAGAAAAACTTGACCTATTCTTAAGGACCAAGGACAGCATCATACTATGATTTACCAATTTCTTTTTCCTCTTTTATTGTTAACATACCCAGGTTCCTGTCTGAATGATTTGGTGATCCTCTGAAACTAGACACGAAAGCCTGTTAGGCGAAAGCTTTTTCTATTCCGACGACAACAATTTGAACCATTTTGACGACGGATTCTATTGACACACTATAAAAACATTATTTTACATATGTTATATCTCTAAACAGTAATAAACTCTAAAGAATGCTATTTTCATTTCTTTTAAAGCTGATTATCTGCAGTCAACAAAGTTTTGTAATTCTCTTCATACGAACGTTAAAAGTTTGTTTTAGTTCTTCAAAGTCTCAGGTCGTAGTTGGGGCAAAGTTTCGAAATGGTGTCAACCGAACATTTGACTTATTGACATAATTATGGAAGAAAAGCTGAGAGGTTATATGAGTTTGTTTGCCTCTTACTGCTCCGAGGTAAATGCTGTCAAATGTAAGGAGGAGGATTTGCAGTTTTTGAGAGCAAACGTCAAAAAAATCAGCCCACTGTTATCTTCGAGTAGTATGACATTATTTTGTGCGTATTATTTATTATTCTGATTATAGATAAGTGTCGGAAAATGCTCTTTGAACACGAATCTTACGTTAGTGACTTTTCCTTCGCCCTTCAAGTATCATAATAATATCACCGTTATTCTTAGTTTCTCAACGACAGGGTCCTTAGGACACAAATTGTACTGATTCTTTCCAAATTGGTGAAAAAATCTAGTAAGTTTGATGTTTACGGGAGAAAACGCTAAAAGTAGACTAAACATTTTCATGCTTGTGTAAACGAATATCGATTATTTAAGTTTTAGCAGGTTTGCATTTTATAATAAGTGTTGTCAAAGCTCCTAATCTGTTTTTTAATATCTCATTTTTTATACATCTCATGCCCGTTTATTTTTTCAGTTTAGACACGGATGTTGTTTCGATACTCTTCATACTTATTGTATGTTCCATACCCAATTATTTGGTGAATGAGATATTTTCACAGTGGATTCCACGTCATATAAATTGTTTTCCACACAAAGATTATTTTATCAGTCTCAGTTGAACATATACTTGCTATTATGCATCCGTGTCTTTCATTTCTTATGGCTCAGGATTTGTGGGTTCATAACTTTCCAGTTTCATGTTAATTATTCAGTCATGTGAAAGTCGCTTCGTTCCACTATAGTAGTCTCATATACATGTTTTGTATACGCTTATAAAAGACACTTTTTCTGCAGTCTTTTGTTCACCAGCGTTTTTTTAATTAAATAAACCATCTTTTTTATTTTACATATTGTTTGGAGCATATATATTTGGTGCCCTCCTGTACTAATATTTATGTGTTCAAATAAATAAATGAATGATACATATTAACGTCTGCTTTAAATACACTTCCACACGAGCTGATAAGCAGTGCTATAGAACTTAGTAACACCTCATCTAGATTGAGGAATTACATCTGGGACATAAAAACTATGTTATGTTGTCACGAAAATGACCTATGTTGCATGCTTTATGGTTAGCTGTGGGTTTTGTTCCAGAAGGAAGACATTCTCAAATGTCACTTGCTAAATATTTAAATCAATAGTAGTATGCAGTTGCACTCTAATCAAGTTACTGAGATTTCTCAGATCACCTGGTCATTTTCAGTGTAAGATGATTGTGAATTGCTTAATTTTCATTCTCTAAGCAGCGTGTTCTTCCGTCCTTTATCTGAAAGCGTAGAAGTTTTCAGTAGTTTTTTGCTTCAGTATAAATCTTCATTTGACAAATATATCAACTTTTGTTCAAACATACATAGGTTTCAATATTTTTGCTGGATATCGGGGTTTGTATTAGCCATCATATACTTATTTATTCTCAATTTGCTGGAATACTGTCCAGTTAGTCGGTGACATGTTAAATGACAAATTTGTTTAAAGGGTTACATAACAAATACATATCATTTCATGTTGGCTCAAAGATTGTCTTAAACTGTTGAACACCGTTAAGTTAAACTAATCAGGCTCAAAACTATCCGGTGATATATACCTTTAATTTATATAATGTTGAACTTATTGTTGTCATGTTCTTTAAAGAGCATGTTTATTTTGTCGAATCGAATTGGGGACACAGCAATTTCATTGACTTCTCAAACTATCATGAAATTTACTGCGAAAATATTCAGTTCATCTTGCAAAAGAATTATTCACTATGAATCGATGTGTATTCATTACTTATGGATAATATCCCAAACCGATTAAACCTATGATCTTACTATTTAACTGCTAGTAATTAATGTGGTATATACAATGCTTTTGTCATCAATAATAATGTTCAATTTTTTCAAACAATAATTATTATCCTTGTTATGAGAAATTATTTTGTTCTTAAGCGCCCCAATTCCGGATCACAATGTTAATACAAAAAGGGATTACTAGAGCTCTGTTTCAAGCTCTTTACATGGAATACTCTGAAGAAACTCCAAATGTCGAACTTTTATTAAAAATACATCAGGTGGGATTTTTTTATGCTATGTATTAATGGTTTTCAAAATATTTCTGGTTGAATGTAGTAATTTCAACTATTCTTAGAATTTAATATTATTATTAGGAAATCTAGTTTAATCACCAAACGGCTTTTTAACTACATTTTTCTGTGAACATACAATCGGTAAATTATATACGGTCACGCTACCAAATAGAAACTTTGATCAGTAGACTTAACTCATAAGATCAATCGCTAATCAAGATTATCACCGAATAGCAATTAATTAACGAAACACAAAAATGTAGTTCGAGAAACTATTCAGTCATGTCGAGTTTTATTTTTAAATTAGAAAACAATACATTTAAAGTCAATCGTTTTGCAATTACTTGCAGTTAGCATAATCCTAGATGTCATCTAATTGCTGTGCTTAATAGACGTATTAACGTTCTTGTCAAAATGATGTTTTTACGTTCATTTGTTCTTATATTTATAGAAACCATATTAAACGTATTAGAACTACATCTGTAAATCTTTCTAATGGTATTCAGATATCCTTTTGTATGTGATTTTCTAGCCGTAACACATACCTACATAAGTAGTTATTCATCATATCATTTTACTAACAAAAATCATATCTAAGTTTATAATATATGTTTATTAACCCTTATTTTGTTCGTGAATGATACATTTGATTTTATTGAAGACGTTATTATCTTCTCAACGTAAGATTCAGTGACTGGTGTCTTTTATTAAAGTGAAAATTAGTAGTAGCGTATTATCCGATGTCATAATCAGGAAATTCTCGTGAATGCATGATTTAACTATATACACATCTTTCATATTTCTGTACTTGTTTTAAAAAGAAAAAAATTCACCAGAACTCTTCTGTCAGTATTGTTTTTGAATACATTAAGGGTACTAGTATTCCTTATTGGATTTTTACCTGCTTCATCCAGTTTGAAGCATTACCACTGACCTATCTGGGTCATGATTGACCTCCTGTATAATTGAGAAATAGTTACAACTGTTTGATTACTAAATGTTATGTTTGTCTAGTAATTTAGTGTTAATCGAATCCTGTTGATTAATTTGTAATCTGTCCACTAGTTCTAAGTGACTCAAAATCCTGTACATTATTAAACACTGTTTTCAAGCTTTTCCAAATATACCATCATGTTTGTTACGTACACATATTGATCGGTTTTCTTTATTTAATTAGTTAATTACCTTAATTAAGTTACAAAATGATAGCATGTCCTATTAACAAACATAATGCGCTGAAATGAACAATTTTTATGAAACTTTAGTTGCTCTGTCGTCTTGGTCCGATGGATAAACGTTTTGGTATTCGAGCAAGAGTGAGCCATTGTATTCCAATTACAATCCATCTTCTAAGAATTCAAGTTAGTACAAATTATTTTGTTTTACCTGTTTCATATTTATATATTTTATAATCGTTAATAATTAAAATGGGCTACTTGCGTTTAAGAGATTGACTATGAATTTCAGGATAATATAGGACGCATGTTTTGTCCTGTTTGAGACTGGTCGGTTGGATTTATCTGCCTCTCAGTGTCAGTGCCCACATTGAGGCTCAAACCTAGTGTATTTCTCTCCAAACTCGCAATGAATTGTTCACTGTCCTACTGAGTTCAGTTACTCATCAGCCTACTCAGTGGATGTAATGTTTGTATGTTCATTGGAAGGGGCTTGGATTATACCTTCCGGATACTCAGGATGAAAGTGTTATCAGTCTTAGCTTATGTGCATCCTATGCGGATTGGCTTATTATGTCTATTTCATCATAAGTTATTTAAAAAAGATAAATTGTTGCTAGTGTTTTATTGGTTCTTTTGAAATAAAGTCATCCTGGGGTTTATCGGTATTAAATGGAAATCTTATATTGACCAAAACCCAACTCAATATTTAATTCTTAAAGTAAGTGGTTAGCGGATATTCTCAGCATTAAACCTGAATAAAAGCGACTAAGAATTAATTCTCTTTGAACCTATAATATTTTTCATTCACGAGCGATCAAGATTATTATAATACGAATGGGTTTATAACTGATTGATTGTTAAGTAGTGACCAATCTCAAGTCTTCCTTAGTGCTCATCGAGTTCTACAGATCAATTTCCAATGTGGCCACTATCCTAGGTGACTTGATATCACGTGAGCTATGTTAAGATGTAAATTAGTGGTCGAAAGTAGTCTGCAAGAAACCTTGAAGCAGGGTTTCATTCTATTCAATATTCGCCAGCAAGGTGTGTCTGTAAACTTTATGTTATTGATACTCCCTTGTGGATTCGATACCACTGAGCTATTCAGGACGTGACTGACTTTCTGAAAATAGGTCTCAGTCCCCCATGAGGTCAGTCGTGACGCGAATAACATCGCTGACTGTGAACGTGGATGACATAGGATCATTCGGCCAACAACAAATACAAGGTTTAGGATTTAGTCTTGAAGATTAGAACTTTAGGTGAGTGTTACAGTTAAGATTGGGATGTAGAAATCAAGGTCACAGTTAGAATTGTCAAATTTTACAATTTGTTTTAGATTACGTGCTTAGCCTATATATGTACCTTAATTCTTGGTCCAATATCTAGCCCTAAACAATTATATTCTAATTAATAACAGCAGAGTTAAAATTTATAGATGAACCATTAGATTGAAGATAATGATTTTTGGATTTCTGCATGAAACTCATTCATCTGTATGGATAAGTAACATTTTGGCATTATGGCTGATGTCATTTCATGATGAAGACCCTAACTCTTACGTCTGGTCCTAATTCTTCACACTAACTCATAACTCTCTTTTGACCTTAGCAAGTGATTGACGCTTTTTAAGGCCACTTTAAAAACAAAATCTAAACTCGTAATCTTAAAGCCTATCGCTTATTCCTTACCTTACTTTAGATTTTCAATAATATTTTCATTATTAAAATAAATTCTTCTTGGTCGAAAGACAACACTGTGTTCTGGTATACACCCTGTGACCTTGAAGTGTCCTGCTCTTTACTGATTGGTTCAATTCTATAAGTCAGGTTTGCCAATATTTTGATAGGCCTCCAAATACCCTGGTACGACCGAGGGTGAGAAGGGTCCGCTCTCTCTCTAAATGTTCTCACATGGCCATGCGTATGCAGCCACTGACAGAGTAGTCCTACTCGATGCCTTCTCGCACCATGGGTGTTTACGAAATTGAAATGACTAAAAGCAAATGTCCGGTGCTTTAACCGGGTCGATGGATATGAAGGATCCACGCAGAGGAGTTGGAAAACCCTCATTCCAAGCCACTGGTACACATGGGCTCCAGGATCCTGTAGAAACAAATGGTTGGGCTTGCCTATCGTGATGAAGCAACCGAGCTGTGCTCCCCGGAACAACCGTTCCTCAAAATCCTACCATGTCAGACAGGTCGGTTGAAGGACGGTAAGACTATAAGCAACAAACCTAAGGTCCGAAGGTGAAGTCGTACTGCTGACTGTATAGAGGTGTGACAGCAGTAAGGTGTTTCCTTCAGACAACCAGCATGACAGCGATGCTGCCTTCCCACAAAGAGGGGTGGGATTAGAAAAGGTCGACCTTAAACATGCACACCTCGCCTTATCCCACGGATATCGGTCTGGCGATAAGGTCTCAACAAGTACGGAGCTGAAAAAAATATTACTCATAAAAAGGTCGTGTGTGACCGATCTGAAGCAGTTGTCCCTTGGGCACTGCGGTCACGCTCTCAGGTCACTAAGACCACTTCTAATCCGATTTCCTTTTCAGGTACCTCCAGAAAAACCCTTCCACGGTGTGGGCAACCGGGAAGTGATAAACGCCCCCATACCTCTAACAGCACTCAAGATCATAATCTAGTGTTTTCATATATTTATAGGTTGCTCTATTAAATTCATCGATACGTACAACTCCTTCTAATTTTTATAAACAATTGAAGAATCTATCCAATTTCAATTTCTGTTATTCAACAATGAATTCATCAAATTCTTTTCAAAATAACATTAAACATCTTCATACCATAAATGAATTGTTACGTCATCCTCCTCATTCTCATCATTATGTAACTATGCCAACAGTTTCATCTATTATACAACATAATTTAAATATTATTTTACATATGATTTATTTATATATATCAAATAATGGTAAAACAAATTCATATTTATTAGGACGTAATGGTGTTGTAAAACTTTTATTACAATTAATTACTTTATTATCTGGACTTTATATACATCGTACATCATCTATTATGAATTCGTTATTATCGCCATCGTCCACAGCAACAACAACAACAACACCAACACCACCACCACCACCGCCAGCAACAACAACAACAACGGTAACAAGAAGAAAGACAACTATGTCACCAACTGATATTCTTGGACAAAATTTTATAAAAATAACTAAAAACTCAATGAATGATTACAATATAAATGAAAATGAATTAATTATGAATAGTCCAGTGAGATATATTCTCATTGTTATGGCATCATTGATGAAAGGATTGGTGAAATCTTTTAATCATAATGAAAATCAATCATTTCTTGAATTATTAACAGAATATGATTTACATAATAATTTTGATTTCATAAATTCAATTTTATCATTAATTACATCTAAGCCTACATTGATTGCTATTGGGGTAAAGCATCATATTCATTTACTTCGTATTCTAGTGAATACATTATATTGTCTTATTAAATATAGTAAGTTTATTTATGTGTAATAAGGTTAAACTAATATAGAATTTTAACAGTTGAAATCATAAATCGATCTAACCTTAGGCCATCATTTCAAACATAGAAGCAATGGATAGCGGTTTCATCCCAATATGGGACTCTTCAGCCGTGCGTATTCACGTCTTCGTACACGAGACTCGAACGTAGTACTTTCGGTCTTGTGAACCAACGCTTAGCTTCTTGACCACTAAGCGAGCATCTGACGGTATCAATGTTTGACTTCAATCGATCTATGATTCTATATTTCTGTTTTTATTTGAAAATCTCTGGTGTACTACTGAGAAGTCTTGTACTACGACGAAAATGTATATAAGAAAATCTAGTTTTTTTTTTAAACATTCGTCCACTAATGCTGATTGATTGGAAAATGGACTGATCAATATACTCCGACTTGATCGTCACTTAACAATCCAATATTCAATGTTTTTACAAGATACATACTTTGATAAACTTTCTAAGTATCAGATAAATGACAGAAAATGTAATCCATCATCAGAGATGAAAAAAAATCGATCAAACTGTGAGATTATAATTAGATCGTATAAATGATTGGTGTCACAATATACATGCTGGCTATTCTCATAAATAATTATCGACGTAACTCGCGTTAGTGAATAACGGAAATACATAAGCCGAATATGAGAATGGATTTTTGAATACATATCTACCAATCTGGACAGGGAATGATAGGGATGATGCATGATGATGAATGCATGGGAGCCAACTCGATTTAATCAAGCGTTAATCATTCATTATTTATAGTCACACGAAAATAAGTTACAGACATGTAATGAATAGGATAAGGAGTGTACACACACATACGCTCATATAAGTACAGTCAAGGTTGATAAGCGGGTAATTGAAAAGGTCAAAATGTAATTCACGAAGAACGAATAAATTGGTCTGTCCAGAAGCTAGAATAAATTCTATGGGCTTAACATGATGACTGACACTACAACCTTGTGAAGACGGCTTGTGAGTATGAACATGTAATATATATTGAGTACCCCTCCCCCCAGCCTATCAAAAATATATTCAGCATTCCTTTTCCATAATAGTACTGATTGATAATGCTAATCTCGAATAAGATTTACGGGTCAATCAATTTCGAGCAAAAAAGCGTTTTTTTTTCAATACTTGAAAAGACATGAGTGTATTTTAGAGACGAACCAATCAGAGCTGAAGACGTAATATTTTCAGATTTTTCCATGTAATTAAAATATATTGGTTATGACTTGTGACCGCCGATTAGAGAGCAGTGACTTACCGATCGGATCAAGACGCGTAAAACACGTGCGAGCAGTCTAGAGTTCTGATTGGCCCTGCTTCCCGCCTAGCCCAGCCAGTTAAGTCCAGAACACAAGTCTTAGCCTCTGCGATATGAATTATTATATTTCAAACATACTAAGTTTATATACCAATCAAACAGACCACAACGTACCAATAAAATATGAAACGACAATTGTACAAGAATTATTCAGATGTGGCTGTGAATGAGGGAGGTAGTATTTAATATATTGGGTATAATTCAAGGATGGTAGATCGTATAATAATGGTCTATGGGTCAAAATAGAGCTTATGTGATAAGAGGAATATGAATATACGTAGTTTAGTTACTTAGTAATTATACAATAGAAATATACGTTTAGTATTGGTCCATAAAAGGATCCCAAAGTTACCATTCATTATGTTTATCGGGACCTAACAACGTTGTATAACGTGAAGTCGAAATACCTTTATATACTGTTCAAAATATTTCAAGTAATCACAGAGAAGTAATTGTTTTTGACATGGTAAAGTAAAACTGATGATGTTCAATGTACCAATTCCTCGATCTTGTCTCTGTAAATTGCGGTTACCAAGGCAATCGACTCTATCCCTAAGTTCTAACTCAAACCATTTAACTATGAAACAATTATTCATTATTTATTTATTTATTTGAACACATACATATGCACCACACAATAATAATGAGAATGGGAAGAGATGAAGAATGTACCGCGCGTATAAGAAAAAGGGAAACGGTAACCAACAGAGAGGATTCTTCCAGCTAAAGAAGTCATATCTTTCCTTTTTATGAAGAAAGTATAATAAGGTTACAGCAGGATCGCCACTGGCTACTGTTTTGAGCCATATCTGAAAGCACCTCTAGCCGCTGTGTTGCACCATTTCTTAGTACCCCAATCTGGGAATTGTGATGGACTGACAGAAGCCATTCCTGTACAATGCTCTTCCATGCTGTAGTGAACTGGCGGGGCAGCGTTGGCTGTAGCTGGTGATATCGACGAAGAAGAGCGGTTGGACGTGCGACTGCTGGGTGGACGTCGGATGTAGATGGCCTGGTAGGTCGAAGAATCTATGAAGGTCAAAGCGCCACAGACTCGACATTTTGACAAAGAGTGTCGCACAGACTGCAGAAAAGAAGAAAGTGACATGGCCAGCAGAACCACCACAAGAACGACTGTTTTAAAGGGGGGGACATGTATGATGTGTGTGCTAATAATGTCGACAGACATAATCAGTATGTATCACCAGTCGAAAGTGAAATGCCTGACAGCACAACGTTAGGCAGATCAAAGAAAAGAGATCGAGAAAATACAACGATTAATGTGGAAACGAAAGAACAATGAAGTCCCAGACAATTCATGAACATTTTGCAAATGAAGTATTTACTATATGGTTCTCAGATTTTGGTAAGATATTCTGTAATGTATTTAAACACCTTCGATTGTCCCCACTTGAGTTCCTGTTCAGAACAATACTACTTATATCTGTCGTTATCAGTAGTAGCACATACCATAAGTCAAGTAGTAAATATTCAAAATGAATGCCTAACATTCAATATGTTAATTTTAATTATTCAAATGATTAAATAGTAGTAACAATAATTACACACTACAATGTTGTTGTTTTTTCCTCCACAGAAAATAATGCTGTACGTGCTAACAATAATAATGCAGTCCCATTACTATTGGATCTATTCCTTGACATACATCGATGTGATTTACAATGGCGTTGGATTGATCTCCAAAAAAGCTTGTTGAATTGTTTAAAACTATTGACAGAAACAAGTAATTTAAAGTTTAATTTTAGATTTGGAGGGGGTGTATATATCTATCTGTATGGAAGTTTCTTTTGGAGCTTTTACTGTCTATCATATTCACCTTACTACTTATATCAGTCAGTAGTAAGAGCTGAAGAGATTACTTCGTCAATATAGAAAGTCTGATACATCTTACAACATTATATGAGAGATCAAAGTGTTTTACTATATGTCTATCAGATCATTATTGATATGATAAAGTATCAAATAGAATTTACCGGTTTTAAGCTTTTATATTCATTCAAGTTAATGAGTCGATGAGATTATAGTTTATAAATGACATTTGAACAACGTTTAAGTGAACTTGATACAATTCAACTACTCACTAGAGTGACTAGGATCCACCTAGGGGAGTTGGAAATCTCTCATTCCAAACCATTAGTATACATGGACTGCAGGATCCTAAGGATACAAATGGTGTATAAACCAATTGTTGGTGACTAGCTATCATGCTCCACTGCCTTGTGGATTAAGCTTTTAGGTCAAAGGCTCAGGTTGCGGTCCCCTAAGAAAACCACCTGTTTCGATCTAGGCAACCGGTCAGTATCCCAAACCTCATACAAATCTGATGATTTATGTGGCGCATATCTATTTGGTGCCTCCTTTCACCAATGTTTATGTGTTTAAATAAATAAATAAGTCAAAAGAAGTTTGTGAATTGGTGTAAGAAAACAGAATCAGGATTTAGAGTTAGGAGTTAGGGTTAGGAACTAGACTTAAAGTCATTATATACACTTTAGCATTAGTAATATTGCTTAGAATTATAAATGAAAAATCATTGTGATAGACTGCTTCAAAAGATTTTATTAAGAACTACTGAGATGAAGCTGTTAGATGGAATCAGATATTCACAGAAGGTAAAACATTTAAAATTCTTATTACTTGCTTACCTATACATGTTACCTGTCGTAGACGAGCTGAGTCATTTGCGAAATCTAAACCATTTAGTTGCATGCAAGCTGTACATTGTATTCCGTGCTTCCCCTTCGATGTTGAGGTCTTCACAATCCAATCAACCACCAGAAGAAAGAGAGAGAGTGAGCGACCTTGTCTGATTCCGGTCCTCACTTGGAGTGCATCTGTTGTCTGTTCTTCATTCACGACTTTACTGTGTAGTCCGCTGTACAAATTCCTGATGATATTGACAATTTTCTCAGGTACGTCATAGTATGGGAAAAAGTACCATAACATTCTCCTTTCCATACTATCAAATGCTTTCTCATAGTCAATGAAGTTGATGTATAGTGACGAGTTCCATTCAATGGATTGTTCAACGATAATCTATAGTGTCGTGACTTGATCTTTGCACGACCGACTATATCCGTTTTCATTTTATAGTTATGACGTACATATTATTTTAATTATAAGCTTTCATTTAACCTATCAACTGTCGATATATCTTTTATTGTACCGGAATAATGATCAAATTAATTAGTGTAACACCTGATCACGTTTAGTGTTAGCGTTTTTCTTTTTTGCAAGTTAGTTTTCTACGGGATTGGGTCGCTTACCTCATGCCTGACCCTCCTTTATCCAGACATAAGACCGGAAGTAGCCTCAAAGGGGCTCCAGGCGGAGTCCTGTATTGTATTATATATATTTTTTTACATTTATTTAGAATTTTACTATTCTGAATACTTAATATATATTGTTACTGACTGACTGACTTACTGATAAGGGATGGCTTAATAAACTCCATACTGAAGGTTCATGATATAAATTCCAAAGATGAGAAGAGTTTCCTCTATACTTTATACGTAATTGACTGGTTATTAAGTAGTGATGTTTTTATCTAGTTTTTTAATAATGATAGAATTTTATGAATCAAATAGCAATGTGGACAATAGTCTCAGTGATTTGGAATCGCGTTCATTAGGCTATAAGAAACTGTGTACTATAATTTCAAGTTAGCTAATACACATCAGTAGAGTTGATTTGAAATTTTAAGGGAACTAGTGACCACATTGAAACTTTATTGATATAATATAGTCACTATTAAAGGATTAAACAAACTTAACATTGTTCACTATTCAATGATTAGTCAATTGTTAAAATCCTAGTCCTACAGGAGATCATCTACCGTCTGAATAGCTCATTGAAAGCTTGTCAAATGGTAAAACAATATAAACGAAGTTTAAATCTTCTAGTAAGCATCAAGATTACGTATATACTATGCTGAAAAATCTCAATGAACATGAAACCTAGATTTACTCAGATCTACTATCATCTAACGCTAGCGATATACGATATTTTGTGTTGTTGAAAATCATTAATGACAAATCAATATGAGAAACAGCACATTTATTGTTTTCTCTACTGAATCATAAATGAGTTAATTGAAGCTAGACCACCATAGAAAACCTCGAAGCATTGAACGACCATTTTGTCTTATTGTGGGACTCCTCAGCAGTGTGTGTCCACGATCCCGCTTCTTAAGACTCGAACCCACAACATATCGGTCTCGCACGTGAACGCTTAACCTCTAGACCACTGATTTGGCCAGCATCCAACAACGATAAAGTCTAACTTCAACTGTCCAGTGTTTCCAGGTTTTCCATGGTAATCTAACTTCAATTGACTCATGATCTCAACCATTAAACTTACTATAATATCCACAAAACCCCTTCTGATATGAATGATAAATGTCATGTATAATTCATTCTAGATATGATCTTACTATTGTTTCTTTTATCCTATGTTTTTTTTATTTAGATTCTGGACGTAAAGCTTTAATGAAATCTGTTGGATTTCATACATTATATGCTATTTGTATTGGTTATATAGGACCTGATCCACTTAATCGAACTAAACATGTTATCTTATCCAAAATTATTTCACAATATAAAACTATAAAATCTTCTACTCATCATAATGAACAAATAGATCCAAATATTAATCAATATAATCAATCACATTGTAAAACACACTTAGCAACAACAACAACAATGATGGATACTGTTGATAGAACCTATTCATCATTAATAAAGGAAAGGTTACATATAGAAAATGTATATTCTAATAAAAAGAATATTGATTTGTCAACTTGTTCATCTTCAGTTTCATCAACTATCAAATCGCCATCATCAGTAGCAACAGCAGCAGAAACATCGTCATCATCATCAACTTTATCTTCTCATAAAACTATCTGTAGAAATGTGAATCAACTTGAAATGGATAAATCGTACATCTTTGATAATGATCCAAATAGAATTCATAAACATAATCGAATATATTCTGATCCAATAAAAATTTTAATACAAATATGTATATTATTACGTCGTTGTAGTCCAAGATGTAGTTTACCAATAATTAACGCTGAAAATATACTTAATTGTTTATTACCGTCTAATGGTTTGTAAATGTGAATTATTCTCTTTTTTTTTCTTCTTTAATTTGTGTATATTCATGATATGGAAAATGTATCCCCGAATGCTCTGGTACGGCCGAGAGTGAGGAGAGTCAGCTCTCCATATTGAAATGCTCTTACATGGCCACATGCATACAACCACAACCAGGAAAGTCTTACTCACTGCCTTCTCTTAGCCGGGGCGTTGTTTACGAACTTGAGAGAACGAAAAGCTAATGTCCGATGCTCGAACTAGGTTGATGGATATGGAGGATCCATCTAGGGGAGTTGGAAAACCCTCATCCCAAACCACTGGTGCACATGAGCTCCAGGATTCTGAGAGAACAAATGGTTTATGAACCAATTGTTGGTGACTAACTATCATAGAACTGCATCTGCTAATGTTACTCCACTACCTTGTGGATCAAGCCTTTAGGTCAAAAGCCCGGATTGTGGCCCCCTAAGAAAACCACGTGCATCTGTTTGGACATCCAGGGAGTATCCTAGCCCTCACAAAAATCGACTGACTTATGTGGTACATATCTACTTGGTGCCTCTTGTGCCAATATTTATGTGTTTAAATAAATATGGAAAATGTAGTTAAATACGAGATAAGTACTAGTTTTTATAGTATAGATGTAACTAGTTATGGAATCTAGAATATGTATTTCATACAATTTGAGATTTAAGAATTAGATGTGTACCTACATTGCAAAGTTGATGTTTCTCTCCGAGTGTTAAAGAGATATAGATTGGATTAAAGTATGTTCCGTACAGGATTGCGTTACGGCACGGTGATTGACTATTTCTTACCCAATCAGCGTTAGTGGATACTTGGAGCAGACTCTAGAATCTTCTCATGTAAAAACTATAAACTTACAAAACGTTTTCTTATTGTGCTTTTTACCTCCATCTACCCTTGTTATTTGAAATATGATTTCGCTTCTGTCCAACCGTGTTCTTATTTGGGGATTTGTCAAGTGAATTACTGTTCAAGAATACTAAGCAATAGGAGTAGCTGGGTGATTATAAGGGAAATTATAACACCGGGATTCGAACTCAGTACTTTTGTTTTCAAGCGGCAATGTGTTATCTACAAAAAGATATCCCATACCATTATAAATTGTGTGCGCCAACTTTGACATTGAACATCTTACTTTGTTCTTAGTCTAAGTGATTTTTGAATTTTTGTGAATCTTATGGTTCACATCTTAAACGAATTATAACAAGTCAACAATTGAAAACCAGGGACTTCTAAAGATAACCATTTTTGTCCTAGAAAGCCATTCTATACAACTGCATATCTGTGACCTTGATAAGATTCGGATTTAAGACGTTTAAGCCACGAGCGAAGCAGTAAATAACCATGGTACAAATTTTACTAGTCAATTATTTTGTGATACATTTCATCAGTCATCAATGTAGATACTCTGAGGTTGTATTTATTTATTTATTTTAGACACATCATCGGTTTCGTTGTTACGTCGCAATTCAGAGCCACTGATTCAGTGAGTTTACAAGACCTTTGTGTTTTAACTTAAATTTTTCCTTTAATTCTAAAGTGTTTATTTTCAGTATGGGCCTTTGTTGAAATTGTTCAGTGTTATCGAGATCATAAAAAGACATACGTTTGACAGCACTGAGCATCTATGTCGCCCTGCTATAGGTTACTTCTGTCATCTGGTAATCACAACCCCATTCGGGATTATGAGGTAATTCTTAGAGTTCTGGTGAGAAACAATGATCGATCAGTGAAGGTTAACTGTATCAAATAAGAGGCAGTTGCCTACCGAAGACAATGAAATATGGTATCGCAGTACCACAAATTGATTGAGTTTATACATGTAAATCATTGGATACTAACTCAGTGATCTAAAGATTAGATGTTCAATGAATGACGTGAAGGACATTGCCTCGATTCCCTTTTGTGAGGTCGTGAATGAACACTACTGAGGAGTATTCTTATAAGACAAAACAACTATCTAAGTCTGTTCGTGATCTGAAGTGCCTATTTGGCGAGACTATAATATATGGATGACCTTTGAACGAGCCCTAAGTGACCTTGAGAAACACTAGCCAATCAGAAAACGGTTAGTGTAGAGTGAAAATAAGTTATGCAAAACCACAGAATTAAAGTGAATGTAAGAAAGAGGTTCCAAGGTTTAAAAATCTTAATGTATACGGTAGAAGAACTCATCCATATGGCTCCATAATAGTCGGCCTTTGGATCCATGATAAGGTCGTAAAACTCTTTTCGTCTCGACCACATAGATTAGATATTGTTCCTGTGCACTCCTCTTGTCAAGTCCACAAAATTCCACTTGTGGACGACGAAGTGATGCACATAATCAAGTCTGTGTAGGCATCTATACGATCTGCAATCATCCGTATATATTGTAGTACTCGGCTGCAGCCACTGTTACTGGTGCTTTTATTATCCAGTTTGCAATTTGCTTTAGTCTCAATGTGAATCGAGCGAAAAACTATATTCTAGCAGACTTCTTCCTCTAATATATATATATATATATATATATATATATATATATATATATATATATATATATATATATATATATATATATATATATATATATATATATATATATCACATTAAAAGACATCATCACGGTGGTCTGCACAAGTCACATGGTTACTACAATCACAAATAAAGAAACGTCTTAGTTGTCCCATTTATTGTAGTCGCTCGATTATCCCGTTCTCTCTACAATCCGCTGTGAACCGATCGTACGTGAGCATAAGGTGCTGAAATTAGCACTGTGATCTTGAAATACCTCAAACCCTTCTGATCGACTCGTCCATAAATTACAGTTTCGCCTTTTTTGGAGGGGGGTTGTCTTTACTTAAAGCTGATTAACAACTAAGTTCTCTTTTCATTAGTACCAGTAATAACACGTATAACACATCACGGTTAACTAATCTTGGTAATTCACAAAGTTTGCAGTTTTTTTTCCTACAAAGAGAAGACTTGATAATGTATGGCTTGCACTGGAATAAATGACGCGCATTTCATTTCATATGAGTTTCTTCAGTTAAATGTATTTTGATACTAGTGTTGATATTCACACTAAGATTCAAGCCTGGTACCTTCACATTTCAAACACTCACGTGACTGATACCAATTACTTATTAACTTGTTAGTAATCTAAGCGAATACTTAGTTCTCGATTCGTTTCTTATCATACCTTGATAGTGATTTGTAACTTTACATTTGAATCAATCGCTTATCGATACTTTAGTAGTTAAGTATTAACAATAAGATCATATTGATCGATATAATACTCTTGTCTGTTACAGTGTTTCATTAAAATTTCTCTTTTCTTATCTACTCTTTTTTCATAGAAAAGATAAGTCCGCTTCACCTGGAATAGAAAAATCCAGTATGTCAATTTAAATTTTTTTAATATCTGATAATTATGTTAACCATCATACTTATCTTGGCCAAGATTTAGGCTAAGTATTTAGTTTCAACAGTTCTGAAATCCTCCATATTGACAATTATCATATCGTCACTAGTGACAAGAATCACGAAGAAACGTCTGAGATTCTAGAGAGAAGTCATGACGAGTGAAACTAAATTATGTCGGATATGAAGAGGGTATTCACTGAAGATAATCGGAAATGGTTGCCTAATATTGTATGTTGGTTGAAGTTAAACTCCTACATAATTATACATCGGCTCACTGGTTTGAGGGTGAGGCGTTTACGCGTGAGATCGAAGGTTCATGGTTGAGTACTCGGATTAGAAGTCACGGATAGGCACTGTTGAGAAGTCCTATAATAATATGAAACGACCGTCTAGTGCTTCAAGGTTTTCAATGGTTGTCTAACTTGGATCGCTTCATGATTTCAAAGAAATACCGAATTTCTATTTTAAAAAATTCGATCTGGCAAATTCAACTAGTTTTAACGAGGCCAAATATTGAATATTTAGATCGTTGTTCCCGAATAGTAGTTTAGTAAGCAAAAGTAGGAGTAGAATTTCATGTTAAGATAGAAGTATGTACACAACAGAATGATTTAAACAGATGATTACAGTATGTTTGCTTCACGGGTTAGTGAGAAAGCATATTGTTATGTCCTGATAAGAATAATGAATGGTAACTTTCGGGATCCATTTATGGACCAATACTAAACGTATATTTTTATCGTATAATTGTTAATTGACTAGACTATTCATATTCATATTCCTCTTATGATGAGCTTTATTTTGACCTATGAACTATCATTATACGTTTTACCATTATTGAATTATGCCCTGTTTATTAGTCAATGCCTCCTACATTCACAGCCACATTTGGCCAAATTTTGTACAAATGTTATTTCCTATTTTATGCTACGTTGTGGTCTGTTTGATTGGTATATAAAATCAGTATGTTTGACATATAACGATTCATATTTCAGAAGCTAAGATTGGTGTTCTGGATTCGACCGGTTGGGCTAGGCGGAAAGCAGGACCAAACAGGACTCTAGGCTGACCGCACGTGTTTTATGCGTCACTAGTTCGATTGATAATTCGCTGCTCTCTGATTGACGGTATCGTTGAGTTATCCAATATACAGGGCACACAGGTTCGCAAGTCATAACATATATGTTAATAGTACAAAATAAGATGACGGATTTCCAACTGTTATTCAGGCTTGACTACTCGTATGATCCCTCGTTCAATAACTTACCGTCATTAAGTGCTAAATTTTCATCGATCTGTAAGCATCTGCTACGAAACCAGTATTTTTTAGTGAACTATAATTTCGAATTGTTGTATTGTGCGGTATTGGATACACTATTTATTTTATTTATTTATTTGAACACATAAATTTTGGTTCAAACAGGCACCGAATACATATGCGCCATAAAAGCCAATTGATTTGTGTGTGAGCTGTGATACTACCCGAGTGCTCAGACCGAATGTTTTCATTGATCAGGAGCGAAAGTCAGAATTTCGAAGACGATCAAATACCGTCGTAGTTCTGACCATAAACGATGCAAACTGACGATCCGCGTTTGTTCTATAATTGACATCGCTGGAAGTCCTCGGGAAACCTTTAAGTCTTTTGGCTCTTGAGGGAGTATTGTTGCAAAGCTAATACTTAAATAGATTGACGGAAGGACACCACCAGGAGTGGAGCTTGCGGTTTCATTTGACCCAACACGAGAAAACTCACCCGGCCTGGACACTGAGGATTGACAGATTGATAGCTCTTTCTTGATTTGGTGGGTGATGGTGCATGGCCGTTCATAGTTGGTGAAGTAATTTTTCTGGTTAACTCCGTTATTGGATACACTAGCGTAACCGGCTCCGAATAGAAAGACAGCTGTACGCTCATATATGTATATATAATGTATTTCTTTCTTAAAACTTTAAACTACATATTCAACTAGTGATATGCGTCTCGTTTCTCAGAGGAAGAAGCTAGATCTCAGCTACTATCAATGTCTGATTGATCCACTGTATCATAAGCTATTTCTACCTTTGAAAAATCCAGACCCTTAACATTAAAAAATTAAAAAAGCATCTTATACAGATTACTCTACCTTCAAGTAGGGAAAATAATGGCGTGTAAATTCATCGTATAAATCCGGACTGTCCATCATCTTGAACCTGTTAAATAACTTCAATAGATTTCTTAGAAGCAATGTACAAAGGTGTTTCTACTTCTTGTTATACAATTTATTGCTTTCTCAACTGTAATTGGTTCATTCTTAAGTCATATTCTAACAATTTTTCAAGTTTTAGTTTAATTTGTAATGATTTAAATTATCCCATTTTTATCAGTATGGAGATTTTTGGAGATTCTAGTCATTTACACAGTTGAATTCACGAGGTGATCTATATTAAACGACCATTGAAAATCGATTTTTGATATTTTTGACTGAAATTTCATCAGTTTATATTAGCGTATATACAATCTGGTGTGCTATTACCGGGTATGAGAGCTGATGTTACTTCCCGGCTTCCCACACCGTGGAAGGGTATTTCTTGACGAACCTGAAAAGGAAGTTGGATTAGTGTTGGTCTTAACGACCTGGTAGCGTGACCACAACTGTATTGGATAACCGTTTCGTCCTAGTATGGGACTCTTCAGCAGTGAGTGTCCACGATACCGCTCGAGCGATTCGAACCCAGGACCTTCGGTCTATAGATTAGTCGTTTGCCCGCGAGGCCAAAGGTCCTGGGTTTGAATCCTGAGAGAGGGATCGTGTATACGCATTGCTGAGGAGTCTCATACTAGTACGAAATGTCCGTCCAGTGTTTCCAGGTTTTTCGTGATGGTCTAGCTTTAATCGACTCGTGAATTTAACTATTAAGAACCACTACAATCTCCACAAAACCCCATCCTGATTCTAATTTTATGTTTTAACGTCTTATGTGATTATTTCTTTCGTTTATGTACATTTATTGTCAAAGATGCTGCCAAATCTAAACTTAATCAACAAATATCTTGTTCAACTAATATTAATCCAATTTCAAATATGAAAAAGAAGTAAGTATGCATTTACTGCTTGTGTAGATTAATTGTTAACACTTATCCAACCAATTCTATTCAATTATACTATATGTAAGACTTCTCATTTGAATACATCATGATAGTAATAAATATGTAGAGAGAAATTCAAGAGACCTTCTGTTATAAGTAAAGATGTATGGTGATTAGCAATAAAATCCACGATGTTCATTTCGTCCTTTTTGGGACTTGGTTTTAGTTAGATGTGCTGTGGGACTCGAACTCAGCACTGTTCGCTTCAAACATCATCGCATTATCCATTTAGTTACTGAGTCCCGATAGACACTTGGTTGTGCAATAGGGTGGAATAATAACTATATATATATATATATATATATATATATATATATATATATATATATATATATATATATATATATATATATATATATATATATATATATATATATATATATATATATACTTTTCATTTACCTATATCAATTGTTTCACACTATATCTTACCTTAATATAAACTTTCAATATATAAGTAGCTGATAAGGAACCAAGAAATATATAATGAATTCATGTTATTCTGTAACAATGTGTATTCTGGCTTTGTTTAAATTCATAAATGGAACTAATTGTGTGACATTGAAATCCTTGAATAATAAGACCATCACTATACTTTCAATCAACCGAGCATTTTGACGATGATTTTTTCCTTGATAGTTTTTTAAATTTTATTTTTGATTAGATGGTTGTCAAGTACACTGATAGTTGTGTTAAAATCACGAATTGATTTCAGTTAGACAAACATTGAAAACCTAGTAGCATTAGACGGCCATTTCATATCAGCATAAAACACCTCGATAATGTGCATCTACGACTTCCAATCCAAGTACTGAACCATAAATCTTCAATCTCGCATGTGAACACCTCACCGCCAGACCAGTGTTCTGATATCCAATCATGCTGAAGTCTAATTTCAATCACTACACGTTATAAGGCGACCATTTCGCATTATCTTCGGTGAATACCTTCCTCACACTCGACATGATTTAACTCCACTGGTTATGACTTCTCCCCGACCGTTGTTGCTACCTTGACGTGGTGGTCGGGCTTGCCTATCGTGATGAAGCAACCGAGCTATGCTCCCCGGAACAACCGTTCCCCGAAATCCTACCATGTCAGACAGGTCGGTTGAAGGACGGTAAGACTAAAAGCAACAAATCTAAGGTCCGAAGGCGAAGTCGTACTGCTGACTGTACAGAGGTGTGACAGCAGCAAGGTGTTTCCTTCAGACAACCAGCATGACAGCGATGCTGCCTTCCCACAAGGAGGGGTGTGATTAGAAAATGTCGACCCTAAAAATCCACAGCTCGCCTTATCCCAGGGATATCCGTCTCCGGCGGTAAGGTCTCAACAAGTACGGAGCTGAAAAAAATATTACTCATAAAAAGGTCGTGTGTGACCGACCTGAAGCTGTTGTCCCTTGGGCACTGCCGTCATGCTCTCGGGTCACTAAGACTACCTCTAATCCAAATTCCTTTTCACGCACCTTTAGAAGAACCCTTCCACGGTGTGGGCAACCGGGAAGTGATAACCGCCCTCATACCTCTAACAGCACTCAAGACCATTTATAACTTCTCACTAGAATTCCAGGAATTTCCTATCGAATGTAGTGACGAGGATGAGACGTCTGCACAGAGCTTCTAGGTTTTCAATGATTATTTTACTTAGATCAATTTGTGATTGCAATGTAATCTAGCAACATCATTTACTTGAAAATCATCCATATTTATATGCATTCTCTTTCATATTTTATAACTTTTCTACAGTTCGTTTCTTCTTTCTTTCATTCCTTCCTTCCTTCTACTATTAAAATAATGAACCATTGATAAATTTATTTCTTTTTATAAATGAAAGAAAGTACATTTTGCACCATGTTTTTTCTCCATAAATGTTACAAATTCACTCATCTCCCCCCTATCTCTCATATATATATGTATATGTCCCCTATGCTTTTTAATCTCTCTATCTTTTCATGATTATTTTGTTTTCTTTTTTCCATTTTTTTTCTTTTATTTATAACCTTTCCAAGGTCATGTGAAACTTCCCTCCCACACAAATCTTCCTCTGTTCATGATGATGATGATGTAACCAACAGTCGAAAATCTTCATCACAACAAATGAATTCAATTAATTTTATAACGAATAATCCATTTATTGATGTAACATCATCTGATTATTCTAAATTATTATTGTCACCATGCAACACTACTACTACTACTATTAATAGTAGTAATAATGGTAATAATAATAATAATCCCAAAGTTATTCGAAAGAAATCCATTGATAATCGGAAACAATTAATCAATGTTAATAATAAAGGAATTACAACTAAATTAAATCAATCTTATTACTATGATGTTAATTCTCTCATTGTAAGTGTATCATTTGTTGTAAGTTGTAATTTAAATAGTGATCTAGATCATTTGTACTGTATAATTTGATCGTTTCATACAACAAACAGAGTATTTATAAACAAAGATGAATAGTGGCTAACAGTGGCTATCAGAACTCAGTAGCTAAGTGGATAACGCGATAGCGTTTGAAGCGAATGGTACTGGGTTCGAGTCCCAGAGTGAACATCAACAAGTCTGAGATGCAGCTATATCCAGCTGACGAGTTCCAAATAGGACGAAACGCACGTCCTGAATTCCACTGCCAGCCACTATCATTGCTTACAAAAATATGAATAGTGACTAGCAGTGGGATTACGGGATGCGCATTTCGTCCTATTTGGAACTTGTATTTAGCTGAATATATCTGCATCCCAGAATTAATGTTCACTCCAGTACTGTTTGCTTTAAATGTCATCGTGTTATACACTTAACTACCGATTCTTCATAGTCACTTGCTTGTGCAGTCAGAAGTACGACTTCGCCTCCCAGCATTAGGTTTGCTGCTTTTAGTCTTACTGTTTCTTAACCAATCTATCTGACATGGTAGGACCTTGAGGAACGATTATTTCATCCAGTATAGGTCGTTTCGTTTATGACGATAGGCGAGCCTGACCACCACGTCAATGTAGCAGCAACGGTCGGGTTATGTTTGTTCGATAAACAGCAATCTGTTTTATTACATACACTTGAGACTTGAAACAATTTGTTCATCCCTAATTAGCTCATAGTTATAATTTAGTTTTATTTGAAATAACTCTGTTAATGCTTTGCAGTTTTCAACAACTTCGTAACTAATATCATTTCACGACTGAAACTGTTATCGAAATAGTTTCTTATTTCGAATCTTGATTCACTGATATGAAATAACCTCCTGTTCTATGAAAATGATTTTATGTTGTGATTATTCGCTGAATTTTCATAGTGGAATGATATCAACTATGTAGTCAACTAAACTCCAGTTTTAAACTTATCACATTCACCCTAGTGACTAGCTTTAAGATGTGATTCCTGGACATCTGGTGAAAAAAGTTAACTTGTAAAGTTCAGCCACGTTACATGTTAGATAACTACCGAACGTAGGCAATGATCGAGGGTTGGGCAATATCGTAAATTGACTGAAGTTAGAGATTAACATCGTCGAACTCCGCGTCAGTGATCTGGAGTTTGGGCGTACTCACGCGAGGTTGAAAGTCCTTTTCTCGGTTTCCAGTATCGGAACCGTGGATACGTACTGCTGATATATCTCATACGAAGACGAAACAATCGTCCAGTGCTCCCAGGATTTCAGTGGTAGTTCAGCTAAGATCTGTTTTTGATTGAAGCTATTGGAAGTATTAACAAAGGTTCCATTATCGAATCTTTGACTCAATTTGCAAATCTCATATTGTACAACTAAGGTTTAATTAGAGCAATGATTTGAACATCATTCAACAGAAAATAAGTCATGGGCTCTGATTCAAATATTTTCCAATCTTTCATCTATCTATTGTCACTGTTTGATGAATGCTAAATGGAGAAGAGGAAGGCCATTGAACACACTACCCTGAGAATTGGATGTAGAGATGAAAACAATGAATAGCAACTGAAAAGGATTGCTGAGGATATAGTGGGATGGAGAATGTTGATGGGCTGCCTATACTCCCCACATGAGGGGTAACAGGCGTAAGTTCCTTCATTAATCATAAAAATAATAATACATAACTTATTCCGTTGATATTTAATCATTAATGAAACAACCTCGTTTAATTACAATGTCTACCAATCAAACACTTCTAACTGATAGTCATCAAATAGATCCGAAATGCCATTTTGTGTTTACTCTGAATAAGCCTTTGATAACCATACAGCCTAATAGTATATCGATATCTTGAGTGTCTTTTAAAGTACAAGCGCGTCCAAATGATGCATTGAAGCAATCAGATATCGACTTGATGATAGCTACATGTGATTGGTTAAGATATGACTTCTCTTTTCCTATTCCTCCAGATGCATCCCATTAGTGGGAAAATGTTTCTACAATACCTAAGAGACAAATATTCAGTTGGTCAATGAAAAGCTTTCTTCTTATTCAAATAGTTGGCTAGGTTCACAAATTACTTACTTACTTACTTACGCCTGTTACTCCCAATGGAGCATAGGCCGCCGACCAGCATTCTACAACCCACTCTGTCCTGGGCCTCCTTTTCTAATTCCATCCAATTCTTGTTCATCTTTTTCATGTCTATTTCTCGGCGTAATGAGTTCTTTTGTCTTCCTCTTTTCCTTTGGCCTTGAGGATTCCATGTGAGGGCTTGTCTTGTGACGCAGTTGGGTGCTTTCCTCAATGTGTGTCCTATCCACTTCCAGCGCTTCTTCCTGATTTCTTCCTCCGCTGGGATCTAGTTTGTTCTCTCCCACAGTACGTTGTTGCTAATAGTGTCCGGTCAACGGATCTAACTCGCTAAAAAAAAACGCTAACCAGAAAGAATTATTCAAACCTCATTTAGGTTCACAAATAGGAAGTTTATTTATCTGTATCAGAATTAAATAGGAAACAGTAGAACATTGACACCACTGAAACCTCAATAAGAAGGACTCATTTTACATTGAGTATATTTAATTTCCCTGTGATGATAAACAATTCACAATATGATCTACCTTTGTATTTCTAGAATAAAAAGGTACCTAAAATCACCAATATAAATTCCGAAAATCTTCATAGTAAATCAATAAACGATCTGTATACAAATAACCAGGTTTACAATAATTCATCAATAGACACATTCATCAGTCAGTCTTGTACAGAATTAGCAAATATACAACAATTGAATAAATTATGTCGTATACAAAAAGTGAAGTTTTTAGGAAGAGGAGAAAATGAGAATTCGAATCAATCTGAGAAGCAACAGGATTTCAACGGTGGAAAATGTGAGAAATTACCCGTTACCGGTGATAAATTTACTTCATATCAACAGATCAGTTCATCTAATACATCATTAAAATCACCAGAAATATTCAATGTAATTGAACAGAATACTCAGAATATTGATGGTGTTGGTGTTGATGACAATGACGAAGAAGAAATGGAAGACGAAGATGACGACGATAATGATGATGACGATGATGATAATGATGGTGCTAATGTAATTGGACACGAGGATGGCACAACAACTAGTCAAAGATGCACATTTAGTGAATTAATTTCAAGTCATTTAAAATTTTTTCCCGAATGGTTTGATCTACCCAATGTAAGTGATGTTTTTTCTACATCCAGCGTATACTAGTCTTGAGAAAATGTTTTATCAAAATATGATTTTATCAAGAAGCTAAATGTTTACAAACTTGAGATGGTGGATAGGATTTGTATCTCAGGCGGATGGTTTTGATGGGGTTTTGTTCTCTGAGCTGGATGGTTTGGTCGTGGAGCTTTCATCGTTCTTCTAAACGACATCATCAGCATTAACTTCAGGCAGAAGTGAAGTTTGTACTGATGATGTCGTTCAGAAGAACGACGAAAGCTCCACGATCAAACCCTCCAGCTTAGTGTTTACAAACTGTTTGAACTTACACTTTTATATTCCTCACTGGACAAGATTACTTCACAATAGAATCCGCTAATTATGAACTTTATTACCTGTCGAACTGATGACCCCCTCTTTGATCAATTACAATAACTTGTTTCTTTTATAATTACTCCAATAACTATTAACTCTGTATATTTCAACAGGAAATACCAAATAGATTGATGAAAGAACAAGTTGAAAAACCATTGAATATGATGAATTCTGTCAATTGGCCTTATGAATGTGAGTTGTTTTCCGCTGATATACCTTTTAGTTATGGTTAGGGATCGATATTATATCATCTTAGAGACCTAATTGACGTATTAGTCCTTAAGAGATATACACTTATATCAAATAATAATCATCTATCTTATATTCATTGGATTTATTCAGTTTTGTGGAGCAATAGATAGAAGAGAGTTGAAGAAATTATAGATATAATTGAAGTACAAGATGTATGTTTTAACCTAGTTTAACGTGTCTTAACAGTGGACACACATTTTGTCAGATGTTGACTAGTGTAGGATTATGTTTGAAGAAACCTGAAGGAAGCCGAACTGAAAGACGGTATCGGTCCATAAAGACTCTCCGGTTGGGATTTATATGATAATTACCACCAGTGGTTGCAGACGCCACATAAATTGGCTAACAATCATTAGCAGTGGTGCATATTCACTCAATTTTTCTCTTCAATTAGATCCTGAGTTTTAAAGTTATCTAATGAGCTTTTATTTCATAAATTTATTCTTCTCGAATCATATCGTCTATACTTAATCTTTCGTTAATCATCCTGCTACCTGGGGATTTGTCCTGAAAGTTTCATTTGGTTACGCTAACATGGCGTGTAATGGCTTGAACTGATGCACATTTGTACCCAGGTTCTATGTCGCGTATGTCCGATTGACGAATTAAACACATACACATACCACGTCATACAAGATCCTGAAAAAACATGTTACTGGACTCATCCTTCGATTGCATCACTTGTGGAGTAGGTGAAATATCCGTCTACCAAGCAAAGGGCGAGCACACTGAGCAGCAGTTGGCTCTTCGTCACTCTATAACCGTGAAACATTGTTTGTAAAGTTACATTTAGAGTGCAGGCTGCTCAGTATAGGTGACCTTGAAGCACTGAGAACTTACTTACGCCTGTTACTTCTCGTGAAGGAGCATAGGCCTCTCACCAGCATTCTCCATCCAACCCTGTCCTATACAATCCTTCCCAGTTCTTTCTAGTTGTCATTCATCCTTTTCATATCCGCTTCTATTTCCTGATGTAATATGTTCTTTGGCAGTCCTCTTTTCCGCTTCCCTTCAGGATTCCAAGTTAGAGCTTGCCTTGTGATGCTGTTTGACGAGTTGCGTAATGTATGTTCTATCTATTTCCATCGTCTTTTCCTAATTTCCTCTTCAGTTGGAAGCTGGTTTGTTCTCTCCCAGAGAAGGATGTTGCTTATGGTATCCGGTGAAACACTGATAACATATATTTAAATGACCAATTCAGGAACGTTGAGTTTATAGATAAATTACTAGACAAAAATGATAGATCAATTGATGAGGTCGTAAATCTTAAACAAATCGGTTATACTGAATTCATGCTTTATATTCTTCGAGTTGTTATGTCCTAATATTTCTCTATATATACCTTTTCTTTTTTACGTTTATTCATATCAGATTCTTAATGTTCATTGTTTCACTTTTGCATTGGTACTACATTATATTCATTTCTTTATTATTAATCTTGTTACTTTCATCTTATCATGTTATTATGATGTATTAACTTGCCACATAACATTTGTGTCATGCCCTATATTGATTATATACAACTGTGATTGACAGATAGTTCGTTGAATATAATCCATTTATACAACTGACAGGATTCATTATTATTATTAAAGGATTTTATCTGTTACCTATGTACTATCATATTTATCCTTAAATAGTCTTAAATAAAAACATTTATTTATTTAAACTAGAAAATGTTTACATAAGGTAAGATGATCAATATTGAATTCTGTCCATCATTAGTCTATATGTTTATCACCTTTACCCTAGTTACTTTTTTGAAGAATGATTATATAATCTGTTCAGTTTATTGTTATTTGATCCCAGATACTCTTTTAGCTTAGTTTGTTTTCAAATATTTTACCTCATTTAATCAAATACTTAAAATCAAGATTTTGAAGTCATCGTCATTTATCGGCTACACCTGTTACTCCTCGTGAAGAAGCATAGGCCACCCATCAGTACTCTCTATCCAACCCTGTCCTAGGCAATCCTTTCCAGCTCTTTACAGTTGTTATTCATCCTTTTCATATATGCTTCTCTTTCCAGACGTAATGTGTTTTTTTTGGCCATCTTCTTTTCCTCTTTCCTTCAGAATTCCAAGTTAGGACTTGCTTCGTTATGTAGTTTGATGATTTCTTCAATGTATGTTCTATCCATTTTCATTGTCTTTTCCTAATTTCCTCCTTAGATAAAGGTTGGTTTATTCTCTCACACAGTAGGTTGTTACTGATGGTATCTGGTCAACAGACATTGAGTATCTTTAGTAGGCAATTGTTTATAGATATGTGTATTTTTCGACAATGGTTGCGATCATTCTCCACGTTTTAGCTCCGTACAGTGGGACTGTCTTGATGGTCGTATTGAGTATTCTCACTTTGAAGTTGGTTGACGGTTGTTTTGAGTTCCATATGTTCTACAGCTAGTAAAATGAGGTCCATTCATTGTCAATTCTTACGGAGTCCAACCTGTTGATCTCGAACTTGGTCGTCTACTGTATCTTTCATCCGGTTCAGCAACATCCTGTTAAAAACCCTTTTTGATACCTCTCTCTTCAATAAAAGTACTACAATATAATCCACTATGGAACATTATTATTTTATTATTTATTATTTAAACACATAAACATTTGTACAAGGAGGCACCAAGTAGATATGCGCCACACAAATCTCATTCGATATGTGTGAAGGCTGTGATATTGCCCGGGTGGCCAGACCGAAGCAGGTGGTTTTATTAGGGGGCCACTCCCCGAGCCTTTGACCTAAAGGTCTGACTCACAAGGCAGTTGAGCATCATAAGGAGATAGAGTCCCATGGAAGCCGGTGACCAACGTTTGGTTCATACGCCATTTGTTCCCGCAGGATACTGGGGCCCATGTGCACCACTGGTTTGGGATCATGTTAAAGCTCCGGACATTCGCTTTTCATCCTCTCATTTTCGTAAACAACACCCCCGCCACGAGAAGGCAATGAGTAGGACTTTCCTGGCAGAGTCTGTATCCGCGTGGCCGTATGAGAGCATTTCGAGAGGGAGGGCGCACCCACCCCACTCTCGGCCATACTAGGGCATTTGGGGGAACATTTAAATTATAATTCCATACCACAAAGTTCTCATTTCTTTTTATTCACTGTTTAAAACATTTAGATAACAATCTTATCTTTTGAATTTCTATGTAATAGATAACTATTCTAATGATAATATAAACATACATCCTTCTATCAAAGACAATACTACTTTGGAATATTATTATTTTGCTCAAAGAGTAAAAAGTTTATTACCATTTAAAATCATAGCTTATCCTGATTTAATTGATGCACATGGATCAATTGATTGTGAACCATTTTATTCAATAGATCAATTAATTGAAAGATATTTTAATCAACCATCAAATTTATCCAATGATAATATGACTACTTCATCTTATTGTGAAAATAAACCATCCCAAGTTACATCAACTGTTAATGATAATGCGAATGATGATGTGGATGATGATGATGATGAGGAGGAGGAGGAGGAGGAGGTGGTGGAGGAGGAGTGTGCTCATCTACCAAAAGTTCATGAAGGTATGTAATTGATTCTAACTATAAGTTTAATCAAATCATCTATTTTGCTTCTATTATCAATCATCGTAACCTGAACTTATTATGTCTTATAGTCGCTAATTCATATCATATAACAAAACCACTAATCAGAATCATGATTTCTGTCATCGAGTATCTTTGAGTTGATCAATTACACATCCACTTGGCATTAATAATAACCTTGAGTCAATTGCTAAGCACTTATTAACCCATGACCTTATAGGTTCTCTCTCTCTCTGATTTGATCCTTGAATCTTAAATTTAGTATTCAGCCTCCATTATACGAATATTATATTTCAAACATAAGGTGTTTATTTCCAAACGTAACCGACTGCATCACAGCATAAAATGAGAAATAATAATGATACATAATCAAGCCAAAAAGTGTCTGTACCTGCATCCCCAAGTTTATATTCACTCTGGTACTCGAACCCAGTACCGTTCGCTTCAAACGCCATCGCATTATCTATTTAACTACTGAGTCCTGATAGTCACTCGTTTGTGCAGGTACACTCAGCTGACGAATCCCAAAGGGGACGAAACGTGCGTCCTGGATTCCACTGCTAACTACTATCCATCTCTGCTTAAAAAAGCTTGTGACTTAATGCTATATCGACGCAATCCGCACAAGGTGTACATATGCCAACATGAGACCTGTCAATTGCGGTCCTAAATAACAACGGGAAGATACAAGTATAACAGCACCAAGTGAATTGAGATAAATTTTATTCAGTAAGAATTTAGATGCTGTAAAAGAATAACTTATTAATATAAAACTTAAAATGATTAGGAGTCATAATTAGAATGTCGAGTTAAAAGTTCAAATCAAACTCTAAATAAAACCTATCCTTCTGTGTATATTTGAAATAGTTTGGATTATCCTGAAGGGAGAACCAACACCAGGATGCATGTACAATTCAGCTGATGAGTCGCGGAATGGATGAAACGCGCGTTCTAGATTCCACTGTTATCTACATTCCATCTAATTATCCTTCTTTGTTTTTTGGATTTCGCGCGAAAATATAAAATCATCTATATCTGATTGATTCGTCAACGCATGATACTTTTACCAAATTATTTTGAGAAAGAAATACTATGGACGTTTATTTTTTTCTCTAGTTTTGTATGAGCACACAGAAGTATCATTATTTTATGATTGACAGCTTTTACATAGATCAAGGAGACAGATATTGAACGTTTCTCATACAACAGAAAATAGAGTAACAGGTTACTTTTATTGTATTTGGCCACGTGTGATCGTACTGCGATGACAAACAAGTGGTTGTTTAATCCCTCTCCCTCTTGTCCCGTTATAAATTAGTACCTTCATATTTCCAGTAGGACCAACCGATGACATGTTAACCACATGACACACTGACTGATGAACAATAACCAATATCTTAACGCCTGTTGGCCGTCGAGCCCTGTCTAACCCAGCAGGCAATCAGAAGATAAAGATAGAAAACAAACTATTCGATTTTACTCACTTCATTTATAACTTGAAACATACTTAAAACGTCTGATTACACAACAACATTATCGGGAAATTACAATATGTATATAACTCAGTCATAAGTGATACAAAACCGGAGTAATACGGAAATGATTCATTAATGATAAAGCTAGGATAATGAGACGTGACAACAATTACTGAGTCAGATAAAAGGTAAGAAATAAGAAAGTATAAAATTACAAAAGTCTAAGGGTCTTCTAACTATATAACAAATATATATTATCCTTCGTATAATATTTTCAAAAGTTATAGTTTCACACTATTTGCCTTATTTTCAGTTTAATAGTTGAGATCATGAGTCAGTCGAAGCTAGATCACCATGAAAAACCTGAAGGCACTGGACGGCCGTCTCGTCCTACTGTGAGACTACCTCAACATCCACGATCCCGTCTTACGAGACTCGAACCCAAGACCTAACGGTCTCACAGTGACCAGTGGAGTCCAACCGGGTCTGTTGTGCGATACTAACTCACTGATGACCATGGTGGATGCGTCGTTCAATTTCGTAGATTTAATGAAGTTAGACATTAACACCGTTGGATACCGGCCAACTCAGTGGTCTAGAGGTTAAGCCTTCGTGCACGAGACCAATTAGTCTTCGGTTCTAATCTCATAAGGTGGGATCGTGGATGCGCACTGCTGAGGTAGTCCCACAATAAGACGAGACGACCATCCAGTGCTTCAAAGTTTTCCATGATGATCTAACTCCAATTGTTTCATGAATTTAACTGTTGGAATTACTATAATACATACAAAACCTCTATCTGATTATTACTGTTATATGTTTATTTTATAGCTGATGGCTCCAGTAATCCGATTATCCAAACGAACTCATCTATAAACAATTTAAACAAAACTTCTAAATCAGTTAAATTAAATAAAACTATAAATAGATCATCAAATAATAATAATAATAATCAATCATTCCATAGACCATTTAATATATCTGATATACCACATATAGAAATACTTGATGATCTAAGACGATTTATTGAATCTAATGATTTAATCAATCGTGTTGTATATGATATAGATGAATTAATTAAATCTCAATACCAAACATTATCATTAAAACAAATTCATCAGTCTCAGGAGGAGGAGGAGGAGGAGCAGGAACAACAGCGTCGACGACGACAACAACAACAAGAACAAAGTCAACATTCGTCAACATTGAAAATCAAATCAAATCAACTTTTATTAAATAGTAATTTAAAATATAATGTTAGTAATACAAATTCAGAAGTCTTAACTAAATCATCTAAAATGAACGTTCTATCATCAACAGTTATACCGACTTGTTGTGTACAAATCATGAATGATAATCATACTGTAGATAATAGTTCGATAGATAGTACAAAGTTGACAAGTAATAATCATCAACAGGATTATCATTCTCCTTCTTCAGTCATATCATCTTCATTGGATAACCTAAACTTAACGAATCATGATGAATTACTGTAAGTTGGCATTTATCAATATGAGTTTATTCAATTAACAATGTTATTTACCTTTGAAGTCATATAAAATCTAGAACTAATTGACGCTCTTACAATTCACAGTGGGTTTTATACCCGATTCATGAATGTCACCGGGAAACTATTTTAACAACGCATGTACATTGTTAAAAAAAAGCTTCAAGCTATAATGTGCTATATTTGAAGCGATGATGAATTCACCTAGTCTGAGAACGAAACAAAGATTCTGTGACCAAAGATCAATGAGCTAGCTATTCTAACGCATCCCAACCCCGCTAACTAGAGAGAGAAGTTCGAGCTCGAATGGGGAAATATATATTCTGTAAGCAGACAGAAGCTCGAGCAACGGCAACAGACACAAATCAAACACATATATACAACATAAAATTGTCCTTGGGAAGCGTTACACAATAGCACAACGAACCAATAGCATTTGAGATTCTCCCAAGTGGGAAATACGACATGAAGGCGAAAATAAGAAATTCAAATTTTTAAAATAAAATCCCAAAAATAAGGTATTTACCAAGTGAGTTCTGGAGATCTAAAATCTCCAATATATTGCTGAACAGCTGTTTACCATTAGTTGATCACTAGATATTAACCAGTTTGATGTTTATTTAATCACTTAATGTTGATCGAATTCTATTGATCAAGTTTTAATTCAACTACTTGTTCCTCTAAGCTCTATGGTACCCCCTGTTGATGTATGCCAACTAACACGAAACCTAGGTGTAGTAAAGGTTTACTGTCGACTGTCTTTAACCACTTAACAACTGAACATCTAGTTTATCGCACTCAAGTTTACTACAGCTCTCTGTGACGATGAGATGAAATAGGATAATCCGATTCCATTATAGACTATTTGAATGAGTAATTGTAAATGTTTCTCAGTGAAAGATCGTTTGATCAAATAATTAACTATGACATACATTTCACATGCCTAATCATTTTCTACATCGATGATGACTGATTTAGGAAATAGTTGGAAGAGGGGGTGATTGAAAAAAGACCTGGCATGTTGTAACGGGACTTTTGTAACTGTTTTTCCAGATTATTATCAATTATACTTTTATTGTATAAGTATTAATTAAGCGGATTATTATGTTCCTATATTCCGTTTATCATCAGCTTTGGTTTAATCCATTAACTACAGTTGTACGACTTGTTGTTCTCAAGTTCTTTCCAGTTTATTAATTATAACTTGGACTATTCACAGCCACCTTTAGCCTGTTTATGGATAATTTCGATTTCTCGATTCATTGCATGATGTGGTCTAGTATTTTGATGGAGTTTTGTTCTCTGAGTTGGATGGTTTGGTCGTGGAGCTTTCATCGTTCTCCCCCCTTTTTGGGGGACACAACCAAAGCAAAGAAGTAAACAATGACAAATTTAAGGTCAATAAGAAGGGCTTACGGATGGTTAACCAAAAAGAGCTCAGTTTGCTCTGGTTCCACGTCAACTGTGAACGTCCGAACTGTAATTGGTCAGGTCGAGAACGCTAAGCTATAACCAAAATACTATACATGGGATAAAGAAAATCATGATCGGAATTGCAACTGCGGAATTTTACACGTTATATCGATTGGCAATCTCAAGATATAACTATGCTATTAGTCCATGAAGTCAGTGACTATTGATTTGAACCATGTTGATGGGTGAAGACCACCTGGTTCGGATTTTCACGTTTTCTTTTCACAATAACATTAAGTGAAATATTATGTACAGAAAAATAAAGTAGTTTATCCTCTGAAGAAGCCAGCATTCAACGATTTCTAACTTCAACCAATTCACAAGTCCCATACGAGGACGAAACGGCCGTCCAATGCTTCCTGGTTCTTAATGATGGTCTAACAGTAATCGGTTCATGATATCAATGAAATTCGAAAATTTCCATAACCTCCCTACTGAAAATCGAAATCTATTTTGAATGATCATGTTTATTCTTGGTGATGACACTTACAATGATTTAGGTATTCGGTGATATGACTCAAAATCATTCACAATTTCATCCATTTATTATTCTCGAATCATACAGATTGTGTGTATTATTTTCTTCTACTATTGCTACTATGGTAGTCTTGTTGTTGTGATGTTGTATGGTAATTTAAACTGATGCACAGCTCGATTAGGTTCCCTTTTGTGTACAATTGACTGTCCAATCACTTTAGTATGTTTATTCATTCATAGATCTTGGTCAAGTCTGACACCTATACCGCAAAATGTCAATTAATCATCTCAGACTTCATTGTTCGTTAGTTTCTCTACTAATCATTCTTTGTTCCTGTTCTCTTTTCTTCAATCTTCTTAATATTGTACCGCCAGGTATTTCACTTTCGACTAGTGATACATACTACTTATATCTGTCAATATCAGTAGTATATACCACAATATCTTTGTGTTTGTTGAAAATTTATTTTTAGGTTATTGATAAACTTATGGATCTGAAAACGTATAGCCTATTGATATCATATGTTTGTTTCTTTTTACTTAGGATTGGTCAATTTGACGCTGAAAAAGGTCACTTAGAGTTTGAATCTCGTTTTGAATGTGGTAATTTGAGAAAAGCAATTCAAGTAAGTCAATCTAATTGAATGACATTTTTTCATCTGCATTCCAGTATCCTTTCATGCAAACCTTTCCACTCTGTCTTTTCAAAGCATATTCCCAAAGTTGTGTCATTATTTTTATTATTGTTACCATATTATTTTGATCGGTTTTATCATTTACATCTTGTTAATCCAGGTCATGGCAACTTGCACATATGTATCAGGCTGTATGTTATTGATATCTATTTTTCCATCTATATTTAAAAAATCTGTGACAAGATTCTACGTGAAAGTAAGACGCAATCATTTTTGTGATTTTCTAAAAAAATTCAACAGAACGACAAAACACGCTTAATTATTCCGATGCATCCTAGCCCTGCTAACTATAGAGATAAGACCAGGTTTAGATATGGGGAAAGGTATATCCCACAAGAGGCCAGAAGCATGAACAACCAAGCACAAAAGTCAAGCATATATATACAGTATAAAAAGGTCCATGGGAGATATCACAAAATAACGTGTTAAAAGAGGCAACGAACCAATGACATTTGTGGTCGTTCCAAGTTCAAACTATAATCCTAAAGTATATATATATTAACTTTGAAGAATTTCTTATTTATTCACTGTTCCATATTTCAGAATACTTTCATCATCAAAAGGGTTTTTGTAGAGATTGTAGTAATTTCAATAGTTCAAATCATGAGTCAATTGAAGCTGGACTACCGTGAAAAACCTGGAAGAACTGAATGGCCGTTTCATCCTATTGTGGGACTCCTCAGCAGTGCGCATCCACGACCCTGCTTCGCGAGACTCGAACCGAGGGCTAATCGGTTTCGCGCGCGAACGCCTAACCACTAGACCACTGGGTTGGACGGCATCCAACGGTGTGAATGTCTAACTTCAACTGTTCAGTGCTTCCAGTTTTTTCATGGTTGTCTAGCTTCAATTGACACATGATCTCAACTATTGAAACTTTCATCATCAATAAACCTGTCTAGTCTTGGATGATAGTTCAATAAATCTTTGTTCAAACTGACCATAAATTTATAAGAAATAGAATAAATCACTTTAAATGAGATCCAGTTAGAATTTCAATATATATATATATATATATATATATATATATATATATATATATATATATATATATATATATATATATATATATATATATATATATATCTTTCGAATTTGTATTTGTACCAGAAGGGGTTCTATAGATATTACAGTATTGTTTATAGTTGATATCATGAGTCATTAATACCATTGGATACCGGCCATCTCAGTCGTCTAGAAGTTAGACGTTCACCTGTGGGACTGATAGGTCCTGAATTCGAATCTCGCAGGGGGGAAGGATCGTGGATGCACACTGTTGAGGAGTCCCACAATAGGACGAAACAGCCATCCATTGTTTCCAGATTTTCCATATTAGTCTAGCTTCAATTAACTCATCTTAACTACTAGAATTTGTATTTATCAAATAAATTCGAATTTAAGAGAAACTCTTGTATACCACATTTCAAAAACTCAGATTAATATTAATCTATAATCACATATCATTGATTATCAAGACGTGTCATGATTTATCAAGAATAACTTTATAAAGAATAGATTACAAGGAATTGTGAAGAAATTGATGAATTCACAATAAGTAAAATACTATTTGCTACATCAAAGATTAATATTGAGTACTTGAAAGTACTTAAAAATTGTTTCATCCTATTGTGGGATTTCCTGGCGGTAAACATTCAAGACTCTTATCTAAGATCGAACTCATAACTTCTGAATTTTATTTCTAATCTCACTCAATTCAAATTATTACATAATCATCTTCTGTTGGCTTTTAACGGACAACTACTTAACAATGAAGTTGGTTGAACTCGATCACTTTCTTGATTTTTGATGATTGTCTAATTAAAAACCTGTCAATAAAGTAAACATATTTAACTAAATAATAAATATACTGTGGTGTGTACTACTTATATATTGATATAAGTAGTATATGACGCGAGTCAGGAATGTAATGTCTGGCAGCAAAAGATTAAGAAGATCAAGAAAGAAAGAACGGGAATAGAAAGAACAATGAAATCCGAGACAATTATTGAACATTTTGCTAATTAAGCATTATAGTGTATGGTTTTTCTATTTTACCAAATAACTCTGTAATATTGTGCAAAATATAATTCAGTTGTGCTCACCTATATTTTCCTTCACTACAATACTACTCTATATAATATGCACATAAACGTAAAAGTGGATGATTGTTTTGTTTCCCCCCTCCCTTCCTCCTCTCCCCCACTTTTCTCTTTATAATCAGTCCCTTATCAACCACCTTCATTATGTTGTTACCTTCTATGTATATATATTTTTTTCAATATAAAGGTACGTCAATATGAATATGATTTAATATTAAATCCTGATATTAATACAACTACTTATATACAATGGTTTTACTTTCGTGTATCTAATATGAAATCGAATATTTCATATCGTTTCAATATTATTAATTGTGAAAAAGTAGATAGTCAATTTAATGATGGTAAGTTATATATTGTATACCTAGAAACTATATGTGTGTTTTTGTTTGTTTGTATTAAAACATTGACAATTTTCTAATGCCAGTGACCAATGAGTTACTTGATTGGTTGAAAAACCGCTCAAGGTCGTCGTTAGGAGAGACAAATTTTCCCGTTTGATAAAATATATAATATTAATATCAGATGGATTTTGTGGATATTATAGTAATTTCAATGGTTCAGATTATGAGTCAGTTGAAGCTAGAAGTATATCTTGGAGTTCTAGTGAGAAGTAGTGATCAGTGGAGTTCAACCAGGTCTGTTGTGAGATAGTAATTCATTGAAGACAATGGTGGATGTGTCGTTCAATTTTGTGGATTACTTAAAGTTAGATATTCACGCCGCTGAATGTCGACCAGCTCTTGTGGAACAACAACCTACATTATAAACTGTTCTAGGGATTTGTATTTTTCGTTGTCGCGATGCATATTTCTGGGCGACAAAGTAAAAGCATAGTTAAACCTGTAAATACCTTAATCGTCATTCATCTAGTACAAACGAGTCATACAACCAACATAGAGTAATCATGTACAGTGATATATAGTATTAATAGCTATCTGATTAAATCCATCAAAATAAGAATCCTTCAAATGACTGAAGCAATAGCTAATTGGATCAAAAAGCCAGAGCTTTTCGTCCAGAAGAAATACTTTCAACCATTTCTTTTAGTTTGCTTAATGTACACACAGCCTTCTTCTTTATATATATATATATATATATATATATATATATATATATATATATATATGTATATGTATATATATATATATATATATATATATATGTATATATATATATATATATATATATATATATATATATATATATATATATATATGTATAGAAATCTGGCGAACGTTCTGAGGGATTTATTTAGTACCTACCCGTATTTACTAGTTCTTACCTAATTCATGTGAGTGTAGGGGATTTGTGGAGATCATAGTATTTCCATTATCGAAATCACAAACTGATCTACAGGAGGTCATCATTAAAAACCTAGAAGGACTACACATATGTTTTGTCCAAGTATGAGACTCTTCAGTAATACGCGTCCATGTAATTCTTCGTCAAACATTTATTTTGATCTGTAATTAGGCTAAAATCTCTCATTCTATCTTACTCATATAAATTAATATTATATATTTTATCATATGGTAAAATGTACCTCTCCTGACGACGACCTTGAGCGGTTTTTCAACCAATCCAGTAACACTACTTAGTTATAAAACAATGAACAATACAAAACAGACAATTTACAATGAAACAAGAATTTCAATGTGAAAACTAATCCCATATATGATAATCTATTCATTATGATAATGAAATAAGGTTTATTTTACATAGAAAGAATTAAGTGTATGTATGTGTGTGTGTTGTAAGATAGATGGGGTTATAATTTAGTGATAACTTACCATTCTTTTCATTGCAAACTTGACAAACTTGAGGTATTTCTTGTGATCTAATTTAAACGCTATGTCATATTTACTGTTTTGTTGCATGATAGACAATTTTGTTTCATTAATTTCAAGCAACTTCTGTTGCAAGTAAGTATCAAACCGAGCTAGTTTCTAGGCTAGCTACCACTATACCGACAAGTATAGATGAGCATTAGTTGCAATTGCATGACGCCATGAAAATGGCGGGTACAGTCAGTTGTGGGTTCGCGAAACGTCCCTCTTATAAGCACTGGGTTTCTTCTGGTTCCTTACAACTTATTGAAGCCCATCGGTTTACTCCGGGTGACCGTGAGTTTGACCATAAACGAAGGCTGTTACGTAAGGAAATTGGGCGAAGCTTGCGTAAGGACCGAGAAGCCTGGTGATCGAAGCGTGCTAATGAGCTGGAAGTAGCAGCTGCATCTGGTAATTACCGGAAGCTCTTCCAACTCATCCGAGCCACTGGCAGCAAGAAGTCTGGTGTGAGTGAAACAATCTGCGAGGATGATGGGATGCCAATCACTAACATCCATCGACGTCTTGGACGATGGGCAGAATTTTTTGAAGGGCAGTTCAACTGGCCTGCTGCTCCGGCAACATCGGCCAGACTGTCCTGCCCCCCATGGCAGGTGACGACTGATCCACCAAACGAAGAGGAAGTCCGCAAGGAACTCCAACTCTTGAAGCGCTACAAACCACCTGGCCTAGACGACTTGCCTCCGGCTCTTTTTAAAGAAGGTGGTGACCTTCTGACTAAGTCTTTCAAAAGCACTATGTTTTGAAGATTAAAGTCTTTTTTTAACTACAATTCATTTCTAGGTATGCAGCCTCTTCTTTTCTCAGTTCATGAATCACTTCAATCTCATCCATGCTGGCGACGTGTTGGTTCAAATATTATTTATTATAGAAACTATTTCACTCGACCGTCAACTCGTAAATGTAAGTATATATGTATATATATGATTCATTGTGGAATTGTTCGCTGATAAGGTTATTGATGATAGAGCCTATAATGTTGAAGTAAGCATCGAATTCACTGTAAATTCAGTGAATATTTAGTCTCATCACTCATTTGATTGATTGGATGTGTTAACTAGCAATTCCACTCAATCGATCATGTACAAACTAGAAAATCATGTGAAGTATTAACATCAATATCATTCAAAACATCCCAGGCAATCGTGTTACAGATAGAGATAGACCTTCATGAGTAATAGCAGGAATTTCTTATTATATTACTGAATGTATGGTTCCAATTAGTTGATTAGTTTTACTTCATATTCTTTATTAAATAGCTTATTCAATGGTATAAATAAACGATTACAGACAAAGAGGCATGATTCATAATCCACAATCAGATACTGAAAGGGTTAAATTCTGGCAACATCTTATTATTTTGGCAAGATATTCGTTGTTTTCACATTTGTTGCGTCTAACTGCTTATTATTTCTGTTCTGTAAGAACTCAAGGTATTGAAACTACTTTATTTATGTGTACGAATTTTCTGTATTAGAGTTAAAAGCCAATACCAATTGCTTGTTCTATGTTCACTTTTCTTCTATGAAAGAGATTCTGAATCTCCTATTTTAAACAATGTTTTTTGATCAATCTTATAAACATAACTTTTCCATTCTGACTAGCCTGGTTAAGTCTTGTGGTGATGGTGATGGTGGTCAGTTTGTAAGATGTAGTATTTTGTTATGATTGGTAACCTTACAATGAACTACCGTATGTGCATCCGATTTTTGGTAGGTTCTCTATAACCTATATGTTTAATAAGGTAGATTGAGTGATATCAAGATACACACAAGTATTCTACTTATTGATCTGAACAGAAGCATATTTCTAGCGATTATGTTATCCAGTGTTGTTAGAAGTTATGATCATCTTAAATATAAAATGATAAACAATGCACATCGTTGAATGTAGCCAATTATACTTCCAATCAAGGTCTCCGCCTACGTGTCCTTGTCTATGTCGGAAGGAAAAATTGATACACACTAATAAGATTTGTACATATTGTAAAACACGACAATTGATAGGAAGAATGTATATTTATCGCGAAAAGTTACAATGTATTTGCATAATACACATACATAGCCTTCGCTCGTTCACTTTGATCTTCCAGTGTGTCCCACAATCTGAACTGTCTTCTTGACTGGCCTCCAAGTGCTCGACCAACAGCGTGCTTTCGATGCACTGAAATTTTTCAGTATTATTTGGTTTTTTTCCTAGTCGTTTCTCAATCTTCGCTCTCCCTAATCTATGATTGGACAAGTTTATAGGAGAAATGTGTTTATCTATGGCTAAATCTGATGACCTTAGAGCGTCATAGTTAAAACGTTGTATAGGTCCTTCATAACCCAATGTATCTCTAATTTATTGATTAACTTACATGATACACTTTCATCATCATCATTGTTGTTGTTGTTCTTTCAAGGTAATGTGGATGGTGGAACGTATTATACAGCTACATTTACGATATGCTTTCCATATACTGGCGATGTCTGCTATCTTGCTTATCATTATCCATATACTTATACACGTTTATTAACTGATTTAAACAAATGGCAAAATAAAATATTAAACCAACCAAATAATATTTACTTTCGTATTCAACAATTAACTTCAACTATCCTTTCCAATCCAGTCCCATTAATTACAGTAACACAAACTTCGGACACTTCAGGTGAGTATTTATTTAGAAATTAATGTTCTTATACAAACTAGACAACCGGTGAAAAGCATAAAACATTGGACACTTGTTTCATGCTATAATGGTTTTCTTAAATGGCTATGTGTATTCACGATCTATCCAGATCCATGATCTGAAACTTTTATGTTTGGTTATGAGCACTTAAACTATTGGACTACTGAGATGAAATGTAGTATTGTGAAAGCTCATTCCATTACCATTTAAAGGCAATTGTCTAACCCCCGATGTTGTTGAACTCCATTGGCGATGTTTTCTAATTAAAGCTATGTAGAATACCTTTTGAAATAAGTCGCTAGTGTACAAATGATTATTTAAACATCAAGGAAGATAGTTGTACAATTTTGTGAATAGGTTAAAGTTAAGAACTCATACCAATAAATGTTGAACCAGTAGTTTATAGGTTAACCATTTATCACTAGAACTGGAGATCATACATTCAAAACTCACTTCATTCGTGGGTGCCCGCTATCACTTGGGAAATAAAACAACTGTCCAATTCCTCTTTATTTTAAATGTATGTTTAATCAAAATCAATTCATGATCCAAATAATAGTTTTATTCATTCTAATATTTTTACCTTGAATGACATGGATCAAAATCGTTTGCAATGTCACAGGTGTATATACTCTTTGTGTTCTCCCAAATTCTAATCTTTTGAATTCTTCATATCTCTTTTCTCTCTTTTTCAACTGGATTATACTCCTTGAATAACATCTTCAAATTCTAATCTTCCCAATTACTGCTTATACTTTTACTACTTCTACCACTACGGGATTCGAATCAACAACTGCATCTCTGTGCAACTTCAACTGATGTACTCATGTTTTTATTATTTATTTATTTGAACACATAGATAATGGTACAAGAGAGCACTAGATACATATGCGACACACTAGTCTCATTCCATTTGTATGAGAGCTGTGATACTGACCGGGTTCCCAAACCGGAGCAGGTGATTTTTTTAAAGAGGGACCACACCTGGAGCCTTCGACCTAAAGTTCTGGTCCACAAGGAATTGGAGCAACGTAAAGAGATGCAGTCCCATGATAGTCGGTGACCAACGATTGGTTCATACGCCATTTGTCTCAATAGGATCATGGAGCCTGTGTGCACCATTGGTTTGGAATGAGCATTTTCCAGCTTGCCTAGGTGAACTCTCCATATCCGTCAACCCGGTTAAAGCCTTCGCCGAACATTCGCTTTTCGTCCTCTCAATTTTGTAAACAATACCCGTGGTGCGAAAAGGCAGTGAGTATGACTCCCCTGACATCGGCTGCATACGCGTGGCCATGTGAGAGCATTTGAAGAGGGAGAGATGACTCTCCCTACTCTCAGCCGTACCAGTGCATTTTAGGGAATGTACGCACGTACGAAGTTCTATGTTGTTGACTGACTGACTTAATGACTAAATTTTGTTAAAATGTATCGGACTAACTGTTGAGTCGGCTTTCCGAGAACTGCAATGGAGCCTCCAGAGGCCCTAAAAGAGCCGAAGAGTCCTAGCCAATCAGAGTACGATGAAGATTTCTAGAATATCAACGTGGCGTGCTACTATTGGTCAATAGCATAATATTTCTTTTAGCGGATTGGTCAAAATATGATGTTGATTTAACAAATGTGAACATCTATGAATACCCTTGTTTTTTACTTATTTTGGGCCTTTTCTCTCAAATTCAAATCACTGCATAGTTTCTAGCTTGCGAATTACCAGAATAGCTTAAGAACTGAATAACAAGACTTATCATTAACACATTTGTATTTCAATACCTTCTTAAATTCCCTTGCACTAATCCTTATTACATTATTTCTCAACATTTATATTCTAAATTAGATGAATTGACAAATATCAATCAACGTCCTTACATCATTCTTACATGTCGTGTACATCCAGGTGAATCAAATTCTAGTTGGATAATAAAAGGTTTAATAGAACAATTATTATCTAATGATAATATGAAAATGAATGAATTACGTCAAATGTTCATATTTAAAATAATCCCTATGTTAAATCCTGATGGTGTCATTGTTGGAAAGTGAGTATTATTCAGTTAGTTGTCAAGGCAATTTTATAATGAGATTATAATTTATGAATGAACCAATTAGATTGAGGATAACAAGTCTTAGATTTTGGCACGAAATCCATTCATCCATTTAGCGGAATAGAGTTTTGACATTATAGCTGATATCAGTTGGTGATGAAAATGCTAAATCTAATTCCTAATCCCTAACCATCATCTATAAATTTTAATATTTATTCTTCAAACTGTTTTATAACCCTCATTTAGCCATGGTAACGAGGTAGACACACTTAAGGTTACTTTGGCGTCACTTAAAGGTCGTCCATAAAATATCGTCTCATCGAAATTGTTTTATTTTATCCAGAAATGTTATTATTATATTCGAAAACTCTGAATCTGTAGACTATAGTAAGTGTTTGAAATGTACCGACTTGAACTTGAAAGATACAACGTCTAAATGACTTGATATGGAATTACTTATTGAACACTTCACTGAGCCCTTCAATTGGACAATAAGAAGTAGACAATCGGTCTAACCTCTACAAATCTAACTCAGAAATTCACTTGATGAAATACGAGACTATAATGCACCATAAATAAGAATCCATAACATGTATCAAACTGGTCAGTCCGTCAGTCAGTAACAACGTAGAACTTCGTACGTACGTACATCAGTTCGAGTTGCCATACCACATTAGCACTGAGGTATCAAACTGGTGCACTTAGGAAATAAAACTGGAATAGTTTGAGAATTGAAAAACATATGAGAACAGATTAATATGAATAGTGATGCCTCCTGTTATTTCGACGAAGAAATTAAGATTTCTTGAGTTGTATTGAATCCCATGTGATTAGGTTGTAATGACTGGAAATTGGTTGTGTGATTTCTTCCTCTGTTCTGATCATCGATTAGTTTACTTATATTGCCAGAAGGACCAGTGACCTATTTACCAGTTGACTAATCGTCCAATAAACAACAAGCAAGATCCTAATGCTTATTGGTCCTCAAGCTCCTTCGAACTCCAGTGTCCAATTAAAGGGCGAAGACGGGAAGTAGATTAGTTCATTATTGTATTCAATCCAATCTCAAGTCAAACTTATACAATAATATATTTGAAGTATCTGACTAAACAACGAAACTAATTGGGAAGTGATACCAAACCGGGCTAATTAATTGACGATAATAAGATACAAAATCGATTTCTGAGTTAAACAAAAACTAGGAAATAAGAAAATATGATGTATGTCAGTCTGAGAGTCTACTAATCAATATAACAAAAATATGGTAATCTAGCTTAGATCAACTCATGAATTCAACTGTTACTACAATCTCCATAAATCCCCCGCTCTGATAATAATCATGTACTCACTGGTGGCTAGCTTCAAGATATATTTCCTGGAGCTCTCGTTGTGAAGCTGTGACAAGTGGAGTACAATCCATGTCGAGTATGAGACAGTTGCGCGAGATGATAGATCAATTGAAGTTAAAGATTAACACTGTTGAATGCTGGCTCAATGGTCTAGAGATTAAGCGTTCTCGGACGAGACTGAAAGTTATCAGTTCGAATCTCACGTGCTGGATCATAGATGAGCACTGCGGAGAAGTGCCACAATAGAACGAAACGGCCGTCCAATGCTTCCAGGTTTCCAATGGTGATCTAACATCAATCGGTTTATGATTTGAATCAAATACTTTACAGTTACACAGTTTTTTATTATTTTTGTTTGACTGATTTCATTTCTTCTGTCATATATATGTTTTTTCTATGAAGTCATCGATGTTCAATATCTGGTAAAGATTTAAATCGTCATTGGATTAATCCATCATCTTTAATTCATCCAACTATTTATCATACTAAAATGTTAATGGAATTTCTTACGTTGTGTGAACGTTCACCTTATGTAAGTCGGTTCAATATATACATACATATATATATGTTGATGTGTGTTATTATGTAATTCATTGTTCAGTTCAGTTGTATATGTACAGTTCTGATAATTAATCAGATCACTTAAGCAGAAGAAGAAGAAATCAGTTTCATCATAGCCCCCAAATGCCTTGGTACGGTCGACATTGGGAAGAGTTCGCTCCCGCCTCTCAAAATGCTCTCACACGACCACGTGCATACAATCATTGTCAGGGAAGTCCTACTCACTGTCTTCTAACTGCACTAATGTCACTTATGAAATTGAGATGATGAAAATCGAATGTCCGACAGAGGCTTTAACCGGGTTGGTGAACACTGAGAGTCCACTGGTCAACATGGGCTCCAGTATCCTGAAGGAACAAATGGCGTATGAACCAATCGTTGGTGACCGGCTACCATGAGACTGCATCTCCTTGTAGTGTCGGTTATTATGTCAAGCCCATATACCTTATTCCAGCATTCGGACAGCCCATTCTATTCATCCTACTTGAGTCACATTCTGACCTTGTTAATTATTTGCTTATCAATCTTGACTGTTTTTATATGAGCGCGTAGATGTGTGTACATTTCTTATCCCATTACTCATCACATGTCTGTAACTTACTTTTGTGTAACTATAAATATTGATTAACGCTTGGTTAAATGGAAGTTGGCTTACCCGCCATCTCCACTGCGCGTCGTTTCGCTTCGTTCTATCCAATTCGCTTTATATACAAAATATATGTATTCACAAGTCCATTCTTGTTATTTGACTTATTTAATTCCGTTATTTAATAACGCGATTAAAGTCGACGAGTATATACGAGAAAAGGCGACATATATATTTCAACAACAATCATCATTACAATCTCCTTGGGGTCAGATCTCGGGCCACTAAAGTGGAGAGCCCTTTCGACAACATTCGTTCGATCTAAATAACGGGCCTCCTCAGCTTACAACTAATCTGTGTTTATATAGGTGATGAACAAATTGATTCCCCTTATAAGTATGTCAATAGTAGTATTGATGTTAACTAGATAAATAATTCATATATTCACTAATAACTTGTTGACGTCTATATTTCAATCAGTAAACAATTTTATGAGATCTGTTGGGAAGATCCGGAAAACCCCTCGAAAAAAAAGCTAAGAAAAGCTCTGAAAACATTGTGATGCATCTTATCCAGTTAGCGTTTAGTAGAAGTTTTTCCAGAACCATCTAGAAATTGGAAAGTCATATTTTGAGTTTCTGATTGAATGACTACTATATTGTTGCTATGTTTAGTAGCATTCTAGAATTTTCAGAAAAACCCAAGGATATCTTAAATACTATAAAAACACTATATTTTCTGTATATGAATGAACCTTCGGAGTGAAGTGGCTTAGCGTAAATCACTTCTTCAGAATAATGTGTTTTCTTGCATATTTTGCGCCTTTTCTCTCAAGTGTTCAAGTCACTGTGTAATTCTAGATTGAGTGTTACTACAAGAGCTGAGGAACCGAATATAGAGCGTTCCATTAGAAAGACTTATCAGGATCAAGATTTTGTTTAGAATTTGGTTACTTTATGCTGTTATGCATAATTTACTATTCAATAAATCTTTGTCTATTCAGCTATCGTTTTCTTCTCAATCGATACTTTAACTTGTCTGAATAAACTGTTTGACTAAACTCTAATTATAATTTTCCTAGATATCTAAGTTAGCACTTTCAGTACTCATTTTACAATGAATTCACTAGTTGATAGGTTACCAGTATGTATTTATTTATTTGAATACATAAATATTGGTATAAAGGAGTATTGAATACATCTATGCCATACAAATCACTTGATTTGTTTGTAGGCTGTGGTACTATCCGGGTGCCCAAACTGAAGCGGGTAGTTTTCTTAGTGGGCCACACTCGGAGCCTTCGATCTAAAAGTCTGATACACAAGGCAGTGGAACAACTTTAGGAGATGCAGTTCCATGGTATCTGGTGACCAACAATAGGTTAATACGCCATTCATTCCTTAAGGATACCTGAGCCTATTTGCGCCATTGTTTTGGAATCAGGGTTTCCAAACTCCTCTTGGTGAACCCTCTGTGTTCACCAACCCAATTGAAGCTTGTGCCGGACATTCGCTTTTCGTCCTTTTGATTTTGTAAACTACACTCTCGGCCGTACCAGGGCATTTGAGTGCAGGTGACCAGAAACTACAAATCATCAGACATTTCAAAATTAATACTCAGTTAGTTTGTCAGTTCTGTGATGTTAGCTCTTATATCCCGTATAAATAAACTGAGGTTTTCGTAAACAAGGTCTTTACTGTTTATGATGACTTTTGTAGAATGTTCAATAGATTAATTCAATGTGAGTTTTTCCTCAGAAACTAAATGTGATATTTCATTTAAAAACCATTGCTATTCCAATAGATTTGAATTATCACTTCAGGGTATTATTTTTATTAGTATGGGTTTGTGGAGATTGTTACGTTTTTTTTAATGAGATCATGAATCGATGAATGTTAGATCACTATTCAAGACCTGAAAGCACCGAACCATCGTCTCCTCCTAGTGTGGGATTCCTCAGAGGTGCCCATCCACGATCCCACATGCTAAATCTGAACCTAAGACATTCGGTCTCGGGCTCAAATCTCACGTACAGGATCGTGGATGTGCATTACTGAGGAGTCCCCTACTGGGCCAAACCGACCGTCTAGTGCTTCCAGGTTTTAAACAGTGATCCTAACGTTCATCGATTCATGATCTCAATCAAAAAGAGCATTATTTTTAATTATCGATATATGCCTAGTGTTTCTAATTTAGTCGTTAAGCAATTATACCTTGAGAGATACATATACCTTTATTCTATCTATCTATTCACAAACTTTGGGCAGAAATAAGTATATTAGAATAATTCACTAGTTAAAATCCTGAGTCAATTGAAGCTAGACCACCATGGAAAACCTGGAAGCACTGGACGACTGTTTCGTTCTACTATGGGAGTCCTCAACAGTGCGCGTCCACGACCCCCCCGCGGGATTCGAACCCAGTACCTATCAGTTTCGCGCGCGAGCGCTTAACTATTAGCCCACTGAGCTGTCCGGCATCCAACGGTGTTTTCAACTAGTGAAATTTCTAAAATCTCCACAAAACCCATTCTGTTAATAATCATCTGCTCACTAGTGACTGACTTCAAGCGACAATCCTAGAATTCTAGTGAGAAGCCGTGACCAGTGGAGTACAACTGATCTGTTTTGAGATATCAGCTCACTGAAGACAATTGTGACGATGGAACAATTTCGTGGATTGGTTGAATTTAGACACTAACATCGTTGGATGCCGAACAGCTCAGTGGTCTAGAAGTTAAGCGTACGCGCATGAGACTGATAGGTCCTGAGTTCGAATCTAGCGAGGGGGGCGGGATCATGGACACCCACTGCCGAAGAGTCCCACCATAGGACGAAACGGCCGTCCAATGCTTCCAGGTTTTTCATGGTGGTCTAGCTTCAATTGACTCATGATTTTCAACTATTGAAATTCCTAAGATCTCCACAAAACCCCTGATATTAGAATATGTTATATAATATTAAAAGTAGTGACATTACATTTTTATTCAACTACCTTACGAAGTATTAGTCAAAATATTGTTTATATTCCCTTGAAGTGGAATATTATAATTGAGTGAGTGTATATTTAAACTGCATTATCTATACTAACTAATTGACTTCATTCATGTGTAGTGTGAATATTCTGATTGAATCTCACTTTGAACTTTTGAATATCAAGACATTTCATAAAATTCATACATCAGTTCCCGTTGCTAATCGTAATCTTATTTATACTTCTGTTTCTTTTCTTTCTCCTTTGTTTGTTTGTTTGTGTGTGTGTATGTATGAGCAGATTTTCATTGATTTCCATGGTCATTCACGTATGAAGAATATTTTCTTATATGGATGTAGTTCCATTGAATCATGGTTATGTCCAGATATAAAAAATCCAACTTATCGTGGTATCAATCAATTAGAAGATAATTCATATCGTAAATTAGCTGATATATTAAATCAATTATCACCATATTTTTCAAAACAATCATGTTTGTAAGTTAATTTTTGTTGTTATGCTAATATATATTATCAAACTCCTACGAGCGGGATCGTGGATGTGCACTACTGAGGAGTCTCACAATAAGACGAAACGTCATTCCATTGCTTTCAGGTTTTCAATGGTGGTCTAACATTTATCTGTTCATGATTTCAATCAAAAACATAACAATCTCCAAAACCCCTAAACTGATAAACTTTCATTTTATTGACTTTATTTTCTAGATTATTACTTACTTACTTACGCCTGTTACTCCTCATGAAGGAGCATAGGCCGCTCACCAACATTCTCCATCCAACTCTGTCCTGGGCAATCCTTTCTAGCTCCGTCCAGTTGTAATTCATCGTTTTCATATCTGCTTCTATTATCCGACGCAATGTGTTCTTTGGCCTTCCTCTTTTTCGCTTCCCTTCAGGATTCCAAGTTAGGGCTTGCATCGTGATGCAGTTTGACGATTTGCGTAATGTATGTCCTATCCATTTCCATCGTCTTTTCCTAATTTCTTCTTCAGCTGGAAGTTGGTTTGTTCTCTCCCACAGAAGGCTATTGCTTATGGTATCCGGCCAATGGATGTTGAGTATCTTGCGTAGACAACTATTTATAAATACTTGTACCTTCTTGATGGTGGTTGTTGTAGTTCTCCAAGTTTCAGCTCCATACAGTAGAACTGCTTTGACGTTGGTATTGAAGATTCTCAGTTTGATATTGGTTGAAAGTTGTTTTGAGTTCCATATGTTCTTTAACTGTAGGAATGCTGTCCTTGCTTTGCCAATCCTTGCCTTTACGTCTGCATCTGAACCTCCTTGTTCATCGATGATGCTTCCCAGGTATGTGAAGGATTCTACATCTTCCAGAGTTTCGCCATCAAGAGTGATTGGATTGTTGTTTCCGCTTTGAATTTGAGGACTTTGGTTTTCCCTTTGTGTATACTGAGGCCTACTGATGCAGAGACTGCTGCTACACTGGCTGTCTTCATCTGCATCTGTTCGTGTGTACGTGATAGGAGGGCTAGGTCATCTGCGAAGTCCAAATCGTCTAATTGATTTTGAGCTGTCCATTGTATTCCGTGTTTTCCTTCAGACGTCGAGGTCTTCATAATCCAGTCGACCACCAGAAGAAAGAGGAAGGGAGAGAGTAAACAGCCTTGTCTGACTCCGGTCCTTACTTGGAATGCATCTGTCAGCTGTCCTCCATGCACGACTTTACACTGTAGTCCGTCGTATGAGTTCCGGATAATGTTGACAATCTTCTCAGGAACTCCGTAGTGTCGAAGAAGTTTCCATAATGTCCTCCTATCTACACTGTCGAATGCTTTTTCATAATCAATGAAGTTGATGTATAGTGATGAGTTCCACTCAACTGATTGTTCGACGATGATCCGTAGTGTTGCAATTTGGTCTGTGCATGATCGATCCTTACGGAATCCAGCTTGTTGATCTCGAAGTTGGGCGTCTACTGCATCTTTCATCCGGTTCAGCAACACTCTGTTGAACACCTTCCCTGGTATTGACAGCAGTGTAATGCCTCTATAGTTTTCACATTTGCTCAGATCTCCTTTCTTTGGAATCTTGACGAGGTGCCCTTCTTTCCAGTCCATCGGCACTTGTTCCTCCTTCCAAATCTTTTTGAATAGAAGGTGAAGCATGTTTGTAGTTGCTTCGATGTCTGACTTCAGTGCTTCAGCTGGTATGTTGTCCGGACCCGCTGCTTTCCCGTTCTTGATTTGTCTGACGGCCATTCTGATTTCTTCCTTCGTTGGTGGGTCGACGTCTATGGGAAGATCCGTGTGTGCCGCTTCGATGTCCGGTGGATTCATTGGAGCCGGCCTATTCAGGAGTTCCTCGAAGTATTCTACCCATCTGTTCCGCTGTTGTTGAATTTCGGTGATTGGCTTGCCTTCTTTGTCTTTGACCGGTCTCTTTGGTTTACTGTATTTCCCTGATAGTTTCTTCGTTGTATCGTAAAGCTGTTTCAAATTTCCTTCTCTAGCAGCTTTTTCTGCTGTCGTTTCTAGTTCTTCCACGTATTTCTTCTTGTCGGCTCTAATACTCCTCTTCACTTGTTTGTTTGCTTCTATGTATTCAGCTTGTGCTTGGACTTTCTCTGCTCGTGTTCGGCTGTTGTTTATTGCTGCCTTCTTGTTCTTCCTCTCTTTGATCTTGTCCAGTGTTACTGTAGAGATCCATTCCTTATGATGGTATTTCTTTAGACCCAGAACCTCTTGACACGTTGAAGTTAATGCTTCCTCGATGCCTTTCCAGTTGTCCTCCATACTAGTTTCTTCTTCTTTCAGTAGATCTTGTAAGGCTTGGAACCTGTTGTTGAGAGCTATCTTGAATTCATTGAGTTTGTCAGTATCTCGAAGGAAGGCTGTATTGAACCTTTGTATTGCTGTTTGTCCACTTGTCCAGTTCTTTTTTAGCTTCAGTTTTAAATTGGCCACAACTAGGTGGTGATCTGAAGCTACATCAGCACCTCTCCTGGTTCTCACATCTTCCATTGTCCTTCTGAATTTTTTGTTGATGCAAATATGATCTATTTGGTTCTCTGTAGTGTGGTCCGGTGAGATCCATATAGCCTTGTGTATACGCTTGTGTGGAAATATTGTGCCTCCTATGACCAATTTGTTGAATGCACATAGATTTGCAAATCTTTCTCCATTTTCGTTTCTTTCTCCCAGTCCATGTCGTCCCATAATATCTTCATATCCAGTGTTGTCTATTCCGACTTTGGCATTTAGATCTCCCATCAGAATAGTTAGGTCCTTTCTTGGGCATTTCTCAATGACTGACTGCAGCCGCTCGTAGAACTGATCTTTAATGTCGTCGTTGCTATCATTTGTGGGTGCATAACATTGGATAATATTCATTAAGATCCCCTCCTTCTTTGTTTTGAATGATGCTTTGATGATTCTGGATCCGTGAGATTCCCATCCTACAAGTGCATTTCGTGCTACTTTGGACAGCATAAGAGCGACTCCCTGAGTGTGTGGAGCATTGTCCTCTTCGTGACCGGAGTATAGCAGCATCTCTCCCGTAGCTAGCCTTTTCTGTCCAGCTTGGGTCCAGTGGGTTTCGCTGATTCCCAGTACGGCTAAGTTGTATCTCCTCATTTCCATTGCTATTTGACTGGTCTTCCCGGTTTCCCACATTGTTCGAACGTTCCATGTACCTATAAAAATTTTTGCTCTGGTTGTTAGAAAGGGCATCGGCCTCGTGGCTTCCGAAGGAACTCGGCTTTCACCATGAAGCGTCATAATTCTTCTAAGTGAAGACCTTCTAACTCCCAGGGCAGAGTTTAAATGGTTTGGATTATTTTTTCTGGTAAGCGTTTTTTTAGCGAGTTAGTTTTCTACGGGATGGGGACGCTAACCCCATGCCCAACCCTCCTCCTTTACCCGGACTTGGGACCGGCAGTAACCCTATGAGAGCTACAGGCGGAGTTTTCTAGATTATGGATTAGTTGATAAGTTTCCAGGTTTTAAATTGTTACCATAGTGTTTGTGAATATTATTGAATTTTGTAAAGATTACATCATGGTTAGACAATCATTAAGAAACCAAAAGACAATGAGCACTTGTTTCATCCTAGTGTTGAACACCTCGGCAACAAGCATTTACGATCTGCCACCCACCCACATACACCATCACCACCAAAACGATCGAATCGTGGATCATAGAATTTTCGTTTAACGATTGGATCATTGAGTAACTATTCAAAAGTTTATATATTTGATTGTAACCACTTCTTAATTTTACACAAATATCATCTTTTTATATCATCGGTGACTAATTGCCTTATACTTAATATGGTTGAACTCAAGTGGTATGTGACTAATAACTCCATGTCTAAATGTCTAGCGACATGACTGAGTACTCAGAGTTTTTCTGGCAAGGTTGTTTTCTAAGAGATGTGATTGCTGACTATATGCCCGGTAGTAACCTTACAATAGCATAAGAAGGAGTTATATAATAGAGTAGTTATAAACAATTGTTTACGTAAGATACTTAATATCCGTTGACCGGATACCATCAATAACAATCTACGGCAGAAGTGAACAAACCAACTTTCATCTAAAGAGGAAACTAAGAAAGGACTATGGAAGTAGGAAAGATATACATTGCAAAAATCATCAGACTGCATCACGATACAAGCTCTAACATGAAATCCTGAAAGGAAATGAATATGAGAAAGACCAAAGAACACATTCCATCAGGAATTGGAAACAAACATCAAAGGAAATGAATAAGAACTGGAAAGGATTGCCGAGGATAGAATTAAATGCAGAATGCCAATGATCGATCTAACGCTCCTTTATGAGGAGTATCAGGCTTAAGTAAATAACTAAGTAATGATCGAGTACTTAAGTTAGTATTGTAAATTCACTGTAAACAGTGACAATCATATAAAACTTTAACGATGCAAAAGTTTGTTTTCTTATCCATTTTCTTTTTCTGTAGTTTAAAATGTATCATTTTATGGATATGCCTAAAATTATATTCTCTCTAATGTTCACAGTCAGTCAGTTAGTCAGCTACAATGTAGGACCAGGCGCATATATGCATCGGTCCAAGTTGCCATACCTCATTAGCACAACACGATCAACACCGGACTTATAGAAGTAGTGGTGGTAATATATAAAAGAAAGATTTCATATAAGGATATAGTACAGGAAGAAAGAATTAGTTGATAGAAAGGAAGTTATGAAGTGATTTTAACCTCTTAGTTTAATGGAAAACAGAGAGTGTATACACCGACACCATTGTGATCGATTCTGAGCTTGTTTCGTCATACTTTATACTCATCAGTCAGTTCAGTCAGTCATCTACAATGTAGGACCATGCACATATGTGCATCGGCCCAAGTTTCCATACTTCGTTAGCATAGCAAGATGAACACCGTATACATAAAAGTAGTTAATTCAATGGTGGTAATATATAAAAGAAAGATTGCATATAAGAATATGATACAGGGAGAAAGAATTAGTTGATAGAAAGAAAGTTATGGAGTGATTTTAATCTCTTAGTTTAAGGGAAGACAGAGAGTGTATGTTAACCGTTAGATACTTCATATGGGATTTATTCATTATCTATAAGATAATTCAATATGTCAATAAAGTTTGTTTATTCCGATTTGTACAATCTATGTACACGTACGTGTGTGTGTGTGAAGGGAGGATTAATGAATGGACTAGTTTTAGGTCATAAACTATGAACAGGAATATACATATATCTATCTAAATACTTTATCATTCAATCAAATTATGATCTATTTCTTCTTTTAAAAGTTAAAACTTTATATTCATATTTAAAAAGCTTTGAAAATTCACACCAATTCATCATTAAATGTAATAGTTTCTTCCTTGAATTGATTCAAGATGTATTTCCCTGGAGTTCCTGGTGAGAAACTGTCATCAGTGTGTGCAGTCCAATCCATGTCAGGTGTTGAGATAGTTATCTACCTCAAACAATAGATGAAGGGTTAAGCAAAATGATGGATCAATTGAAGTTAGACATTAAAACCGTTGAATGCTGGTTTATATAATCTAAAGGTTAAGCGTTTTCATATGAGACCGAAGGTCCCATACTACGACATAATGACCATTCATTGTTTCCAGGATGGTCTAGCTTGTGAAAATGTCACACTATTTGAGTCCTAATAAGTTTTAATTATTTTTATGATCAATATCTAATTCCTTCCTTATAAGTCACCTTCAGGATCTCTCAAGTTCATCCCCATTCATTAGTCTTATGATATTTATAAATTTTAAGCTTTTTTGTTGCTAAATGTTTCCAAAATTTACTTAACTATAAACATGCATCAAACTACATGTCACTGTCATCTGAATCTCGCATAAATGTCCGACAGTCACTACTTTCAAAGTTATTGATTTGTTCATGGTATAATGTCCGGCAGGTGCTTCAACCAGATTAGTAGATATAAAGGATCCACTTAGGAGAGTTGAAAAACCCTCATTTTGAACCAATAATGCACATGAACTCTAGGATCCTGATTGAACAAATGGCGTATGAACCTCTTGTCGGTCACCAGCTACGATTGAACTGCATCTCCTGACATTGCTTCATTGCCTTGTGGATCAGACCTTTAGGTCGAAGGCTCCGGGTGTGGCCTTCTAAGAAAACCACCCGCTTCGGTCTGGACACTCGAGCACTATCATAGTCCACATACAAATCATGTGAATTATGTGATGCATATGTAAAAAAAATGCCTCATCGTACTAATATTAACATGTTTAAATAATCATAATGCATACATACATACTATTATTATTATGTTACACCTTTAATTATCTTTTGGCCCTTACATTTGTCTAACTGTTTATTACTTCTTCATGGTATAAATCACGAATTGATTCGAGCTAAACCAACATTGAAACCTAGACTTAATGGACGACCGTTCCACCCTATCGTGGTATACTTTAGTCCCAGTCTGCAACTAAAGACCATTTACAAGGAAATGAACCCTTTGATTCAACATCTATACCATTAAGCTAACATTCAATGGTTTTATTGTCTAACTTCAAACAATTCACAATATTTCTTGCTCAACCTTTATTCATCATATTTTTTTCTCTTTATCATTTCAGATATATGGTTAGTAAAGCTAAAGAGACTACAGCACGTATAGCTGTTTGGCGACAATTCAATGTAGTACGCTCTTATACAATTGAAGCTTCTTATTGTGGTATTCGCCGTAAATGGTATAATAATCAGTTAATTCCAAGTAAGATACAAGAAAAACACCAACAAGAAGATAATGATAATAGAACAATAAAGAAAAAACAATCAAATGAATCTGTATTAGTTATTGAACATCAAATAAGGCCAATTGATTTAATGAATTTTGGTTCACAATTATTAAATGCATTTTTATTGTTATCAGAAGAAGAAACAACAATATTGATGTCAAATACAAATAAAACAGTTTCATCCATATCTTCATCACCATCTTTAATGACATCTTCAATGTCATTATTCAATGTATCTTCCCCTGAGCATCCATCATCATCCTTCGATGCAAACATTATGCCTCAGTATGGTGACAATGATACTGACGTTTACGATGATGCTGATGAAACTAATAATAATGATGATGATGATAATAATAACAATGGTAGTAATGTAAACGAGAAACCTCAGCTATCTTCTAAAATACATTGTAGCAAAAGAAAACATCAATCTAAGTTAAAGAAGTTGAAACAACATAAACAAAAATAATAAGAAGAAGAAGAACCACAATATGACAAATACAAAGTCACATATATTTCGACTATGTCGCCTTCGTCTAGTATAGTGAAACCCAATTGTGTTCTTCATTCATGATCCAACTATTCATCTTTCTTTACGAATCAATATCATGATCGTGACATAGATATAGAAGAATGGTGATGGTAATAAAGTGAACTAAATGAACTGCAGACAAATAAAGAGAGTATCATGTCATTGAAATGGAAAAGATAATCTTTTTCACCATCTCATTGTATATTTTCAAATGTTTTCATATAATTGAATCTAAACTGAAACAGAATGTTGTACAATAAGCATTTATTTGAAAAATATTGATATTCAACGTTTCTTAAATAAGAAAAACTATTTCTTCTAGAATTTGGACTATTTTTTTGTTTTTCATACTTAACCTACTTTTAAAATTTGTCAGTAGTACAAATATTGTTTTAGATTTTTATTGATCTTTTAGTTTTCATATATTTTTTTAAAAATCTGAATGAATATATGATTACGCTTGTTATTCTAGAATGTACTATTGTAGTGAACGAGACGATAGGCGGGGACAATCAGATGTATTTGAATACAAAATTACAGGATCTATTAGTAAAACTGTTATCAAGCTATCCAGCTGTGGATAAAACTATCGAAGTTGACGTTTTATCACTACATCACCCGTTATACCTAATAAAAATGAGTATCACTGTCTATCGTCTGTGGATTTTTGAAATCGAGAGAACAAAACCTGCCGGTAGGTTTTCAGTTTTCAACCATACTGGTTGTCAGGACGCTCCATGACCCTTCTTATCATAATATTTATCCTTATGTTTCTGTACCACACCTAACTGCATTCGAACCATATTACAAAACCTTGATATATCCTTCTTCAGCTTCACCACCATGTATGATAATAATAGAGGTTCTTAATGCATGGATGATGTCAGTAACTTAGGTGGAAGCCTCATATACCTCCCTGTTTATAATAAGTGAGACATATAACCAGTAAACATACGGATGCTACCGCAATATCCCAGTGAAAGTTCATTTATTGCTGAATCCAACAATCTAGAATCTTTCTGATTACCAAACGCTCTCAGTAACGTTTTGAAAGTCCGATTGATTTGTTAGACAACCCTATTGTCAGTTGTTTGTTGTTAGCGTATTTCCAACAATTCACACACCTCTTCAACTTTAGTACATCTATACGAATATAACTGAACTGGAGCACACCAGGATAACCTGGTTTCAGATTCACGAACGTTGGATTTGAGTTTTCTTTTGAGCTTTTAATCATTTGACAAGCCTTAAAAGTTCTGACCATAGACATCTACCTTCTCAATAGACACCATGGATTTCTTCTGAAGTTGGCCGAGAAATCTGGATTCTCAATTTTCCGAATCTGTTGTTTGAATATAAGCCTATTTATTATCTCCCATAATTTTCAGCTCCTTCATATTCATTGTAGATGTGACACACGAATGACAGTTTCCATGACGTTTAGCTGCTCTACGCGATAATAATAGTAATAATAATACTTTATTCTCAAATAACAGTTTGTTACATGAGGCATGCCAGTTTACAGGCAAGATCAAATTGTTACAAAAAATACAATATCCACTGAAGTATATTACTCAGCTGGGTTGATAATTTAAAAGATTTGAATGGAGGTGGTTTTAGTCAGTATCACAGTTGGCGCGCTTCATGAAAGTTGCGTTGCGAATGTACAACTGTTGGTCAAGTATAGGTCTATTGAATGTGGAAGCTTCTAGAAACCACTACCTTATGTCTATTTGGAGTATTTAAGGATGGTGCAGGATGAAGTCACCAGTTCCATATCTCAATGGGCTGAAAGAGGGAGCAAGTAAAAGAAAGGACGAGAGGCAGAGTAACCAATATTCTTGAAGGAATGTTTAAAGTATGATTAATCAGTCTAATTCTCTTTAATTAAGGTATTTGTTAAGCAAGAGATTCTTAATAGGTTAAAGAGAATAAGTGTAAACAAGGTATGAGTGGACATACAACTGACAAATGTGGGCGATTCAGAAAGGAGCTGAGAGTATGGGATTATGTGTGGTTATAAAATAAAATATAGTACTAGAAACAGTATTGTGATATACAATAGACTATCTTCCTTTTTTTATCGAAGCTATTGAAGCCCTTTTCATCTTTTTTCGTATTATTATTTTTTTAGGTATCATAGGGTCTTGAGTAGGCTTCGCATATTATCGAATTGTCTAGTTTGCTTGTAATAGGATTACAGGGTAGGAAGTGAAACCAATTCAACGTTCGTAACACGATTTGATGAGGTATTTTGCATGATAAATCAGCATTAATACCTTAAGTTCGTGACATCCCACTAAACCATAAGGAGCTGTAATTAAACAAAATGTTCTGCCCCACAGACATGGGTGGATTGTAGTTATCTCCTCACCATCATGTTTGCTGGTCAGTAACGCCATCTTCCCTCTTTTTGTGATGTTGGGCTCTCTTACGTTTGTGGTAAGTATAAATACTGCTTTAATCAAAGCCCATAATTAGAATACACTGTCTGTACTTGGTCCAAGTTACAAGCAAATCAGATAGTTAAAAAGTTTTTTTATGGGTTAGATGTCCACATAGTATATCACCCCATATATATTTCCTAACTAAGACAAACTTAGATAATCATTGCGAACTGTATAATTAAAGCACCAGTAACACTGGCTGCAGCCAGGTACTACAATATATACTGATGTTTCAAGAGTGAACAGACTCCTACATATGCTTGGTTATGTGCATTGTGTCGTTATCCACAAGTAGCATTTTGTGCACTGAACAACCAGAGTGCAGGCTACGGATAAAATTAAAACTTAATGGATTAATATTTTTGAATCGAAATTTTGTAACATAATAAGGCAGCTTGGATCCGTCAATTCTACGAACGTCTGATATTCCAGAATCATGTAGAACAATAACCGTTTCACACTAGGTAATTTCCAATCAACACTATATGTAGATATTGTCATAAATTATTGTCATGACTTGACAAGCACGTAGTATGATTGATAGGATTGGTGAAATCATAAACAAAAACTCGACTGGTATCCTAGCTTATATTTATCATCAAATAGCGTTGTTTTCTTGTTTTTATCTTTTGTCTATTATCAATGATTTCAGTATGTTTCTCTATCAGTTACTCATTTAGTAAACACCTTGGAAAATTTTCAGTCCAGTTGGAGGAATAGCGACACAATCATGCATGCAAATCATCATCATAAACAGTCTAGCAAATCTTCTGCAAATTGAAAATATCACTGTCAAATTTACTCCAACACTAGCAGAGGTTCGTGTACTTTTCGTGCTTATAGGTCACCCTCATGCTATTGACAGAATAAACCGGACTAGTAGTGAATAAGTCTTTATTTAGATCACGCAGTCACAGTGGAGCGTGGGATTACCTGTTCAGACAAACAAAGTTTATCAACATCCAATGTAAGGTAATAGGAAGTATAATGCCTATACAAAATAAGGAAGTGAATGAATACATGAACTCTATTGTTTTGACATATACTTAGTTGTTTTAGGTAAACTATTAATCAATCAACCTTAGCTATTACATACTCTCCTTGGTTACAACTTATACTCTGCCTGATAATCACATGAGCAGCACTCACTGTTTAGCATTGTGTAAAGATTTATTTAACCGAAAACACCGTGCAACCCTATTTCACCTATATTTGTGGCACATAGGCTTTGTTAGGTTCAACAATTTATATTCACTCTACTTCAAATAAGTCGTTTTCTACCTTGTGCTAAACGTTATACTTGCAACTAACTTATATTCACTATCAGGCGGTAAGTATAAATTGAAATAAAAGCATTGAATCTAGAGCAAATATCTCACGAATTCATCCATGTTTGACGAATAACTGCTAGCGGTCTATCCGAACTTCACACAATTATCGCTATTTTCAAGTGATAATGGTATTTTGATAACAATTCATATGTAATGGTAGTACTATAAAATTTTATCAGGTTCAAGCAATCATGAGGTCAACAAAGTCTCTCCGTAACTAAGTAGACCGTACTTAACAAACTAACTGCAACACTAGTTGAAATTCTTCATTTCCACGGTTACCCTCTCGTTCATTCGGTTAGCCTCGTTGTACAGATGCGATTGGAAATCAACTCCTACCAACAGCATGTATGCATAAACATTAAACCACCTTCTAGATTGACATAATCTTAATGTCAACATTTCTGAAGTATTGATCGCTCCTTTGTTTATAAGCACAAAATAATGATAGGCAACCTAACGTGACCTGTTAAAATATATATGCACTAAATCATTCTTAATTTAGGTAATCCCACTTTGATTAATGTCCAAATAATATTCATGTAAGTTTTCATTTTAAGTGCGTTGAGAATGAACCCAATTTTCGGGGTTATTACAAGCGTTTTGCGACTAGTAGCTTCCGCCTTTTTGATTTATCTTTCAGACTATCAATACCCTTTAGGATTTGCATTATTATTTTGATAACTTTCGGCGCACAACAATTACAATCGGTATGGTATTGAACCAATGTCACGTTGATCCTAGTGGCAGAGTAATATTGTAGTACTGGTTCCTAGCCACACGACCTTTGAAGCTGAGAGTATAATTGCTGAGAGTATTTACATTCAACATTTAACGCTGAGTTAAGGTCAAAAAATGGTGAACGCGGCTTCAAGGAACCGAAATAACATGGCTCAGCCATGCATGCGAGGTCACTCTATACTATTTATTGCTTTTTGTATTGAATATGTCACTCTCTATCCAGCTCAAATATATTCTTCGTAGGTGCTAGACGTCATATTGCCGATTGTTACGATGTGAAGAGTGGGTGTGGACAATGATGTGACGTTCAAGTAAGATCTTATAGATTAGGTAGTCACAACATGATATATCTACATTTTGGGGTCAGATCTATTATAACAGTAGAGAAGATAAAAGTGCTAATACTGAATTAGACTATAATCCTACAATTACACTATTTTAGGAGTTGAACTGCAGAATTATGGTCTATTTCCTTATAGGTACTGTTCTCATAATAGACCTAAGCCTAAAATTGTAGATTTGTCATAGGTATGTGAGTTCCTTCTTTTCTATTCTTCATCAGCTTTTTACTCTCTTGTACACTATGTTGACTTGCTATTAGTTTTATTTTACCCCTCGTTACCATATCAATAACTCATATATTTCCATACATTTGTGCCTACCTTGATAAACAAATATCCTACCTTATTCCCTTCTTAATGCGTATTCTCTGACTGGCAAACTATACCTTATAATATAGTCAATTAAAGCATTGCATCGATATTTACTGACCAGCGAGTACTGATGGTAATGGCAATGACTTCGTTTGGTTCAATCTTTAAAGTTTCTTCAATCGTAAGCACGTTTCGGACCGTTCATATTGTGAGAGGTGCGAACTTGTCTTGACCCTTTGAATTTTCTTCTACATCAACCAAGTAACAAAATTAATGGCATCAAACTCACACCAGATTTGGCCGAACCTGTTTCTTTTTGGATCATTATTGACACAATCGGTCTTATATACTTCAAGTCTGGCTGATAAACAGAATCCTGAAAATAATTCATTGACGTTTTACTATTTTACAGGGTGACTTACCATGTTTTTGATACTTAAAAACACGTATATATTTTACTTGAACTACTTATGTTTATATCTGATATGAACCACTTTCAAAACCGTTTTGGGGATAAGATATATTTATGGAATTCAAATGACAACATACCGGCATGAGGAAGAGTGTTTTTTTGCAGAAGAACAGTATTCCATTCAAAATTCATTCTAAACTTCTTTCTGATTATCACCACATGTTTCTGAATGTCACCAGGCTAACTACACTAACCACTTATGAAAATTCTATATTACACTTGTCATGTTCCTAACTATAGTACCTTAATCCATGTATCAAAACTCAGATTTTACCTGCTAAGTTTCTTTTTCAATTGTAATACCCCTCAACAACTTACTTTTTAATTTGGCTTGTACATGCGTTGCATTGTATAGTCTTTATTTGAATTTAACGGTTATTTTAACCGTCTTTAACATTTCTCACCAAACCTATCAATGAAATCGCTACCGAAACGTATCCTCGAAGAAATGCGTATTGGTTTCCAACTACATACAACCGTTCAATTTAGATTATAAATCCAACTAATCAATCAATCTTTAATCACAAATCAAACTTCGATTCTATCTTACAATGCTGTTAATGTTATAAAACATAATGAATATTGGAACCCTGTTATTACAGAGCGTTCTTTAAAATTCGTAGGAACGCGGGGCTTCAACTCCGGACGGTTTGTGTCACCCTTATATTTACCGGTAATTCTTCTACTGTTTTACGACCTTTCTTTCTGTCATGAATAAAATACGCAGTTTTGGGCCTAATATTGGTCAACATGGTCTTCGCCAAGAAAGACTTGTTCAGAATATTTATTTTGCTCTTTTTAGTTCATTAGCCATCACACCGTAGACTATTTTGCTCTTTTTCAGACTTATGATAAAATCTCATCATAACAAATGACATTTTCACTTGAGTATCCCCTACGGATGTTTTTCGTCCATTTATACCCAAGTAGTTTGTGTGTCTATGTGTTTGTACTAAGTTACGTTTTCACTGTTTGTATAATGGTATTAGGTAAATACAATAAACACTTATAATTTGATTTTACGAATGTATTAAGTTCACTTTTTTGTTAAATTATTGTAACAGGACTTGGTGTTAGGCTTTTGAATATCATAGGCGTAAAACAGTTGTATTTGGCCGGTATGGATCTATCATGTTTTTCATGGATAATATGTCATGAAATATACTTATTCCATATGATCTTTTTAACCATTACATTCGATCTTATGTTATGCGTTGGTCCTGAAAAACGTTTGAGTATTTATGTAACCGAAATACTTAGAGGTTATGAAACGATTATTGGTTATTACGGCAACAAAATATGCATGTTGCGTTCAAGCCATGTGTTGTAGTCGGCGAGTCTATAATATATTGACGGACCGATTGGATTCTAGATAGTAAGTCTCGTTTTGTTTGATCCAAATTCATTCGTCGATACGGCTAAGTGATGTTTCGGCATTATAACAGGTCAGTTTGTAATCAAACTCTAACTCTTTCGCAACCATGTCGTCCAACTGTAGATCATAATTTCACACTCATTTATAATCGTCTTTTAACCCTTAATTTAATTGGACACAAATATTGGTACAAAGGGGCACTAGATATATATGCGCCACACAAGTCAATTGATTTGTGTGGACCATGATACTGATCGGTGCCCAGACTGAATCAGGTGGCTCTCTTAGGAGCCCACGCCCGCAGCCTTCGACCTAAAGGTCTGACCCACAAGGCAATGAAGCAATGTCTTGAGACGCAGTTCAATGGTAGCCAGTGTCCTACAACTGGTTCATACGCCATTTGCTCCTCCAGGATCCTGAAATCCATGTGCACCATTGGTTTGGAATGAAGGTTTTCCAACTCACCTCGGTGAGCCCTCTATATCCACTAACACGGTTGAAGCTCTGGACATTCTCTTCCCGTACTGTCAATCTCATGAACAACATCCGTGGCACGAGAAAGCAGTGAGTAGGATTTCCTTGAGATTGGTTGTGTGCGCGTCGCTATATAAAATCTTTTGGAGAGCGAGAGCTGACTCGCCCCACCTTCAGCTGTGCTAGGGCATTTGGGGGCCATTTAGCCTTAGTGAGTTGGATATTGTCAAACTCACTTAAGAATCGCTCAAAGGTCGTTGATAAATTATAGTCCCACCGAAAATTCAGCTATTAATGAAGTCACTCCATTTTGATGTACGTAAGCGACTAAGTGGATAGTTCAGCTCATGAACTACAAAATGCAGTATACCATGATGTCACACTTCTTGGCAGATCAAGTTCTAGTGTTTTTACATAACATGTTCATCGGGTTGATCATTATCCGTTGATAATTCATCCACCTGACAGTTCCATTTCATTTAAGCTATCAGCGAAAGGTTATCAATTTTTATCATCTATATGCTGTCTTCCGTTTGACTATTATGAAAATTCCTCATTGCCTTTTCAAGTTTCGTCAATTCAATTGTGTGCAGGACAACATATTCATAATAAATATAGATAACACAACTGTCCCACTCAATTTTATCATATAATTCGGGTTTTGTGTTTTGTTCTTATGTATTTTTTTCGGTCAGAATTGAACTAGTCCATAAATGACAAACCCATCTGAACTCCTTAATGAATGTCCACCAATCATGAATGATGAAGATATTCTTAATGATTGTGGACCTGTAGATATCCCTCCACCGCCTCCGTTAGCACAGTCTCTAGATGCTAATGGCCCAAGATTAATAATCACTCAAATTGTTACGGAAAATTTCAAATCTTATGGTGGCATGCGTGTTATGGGACCATTCCATAAAAATTTTAGTTGTATTATCGGTAGGTGGACATGTTTTATTGTGTGTAATGAAAAAAACATAATTTCAGGTCCTAATGGAAGTGGTAAAAGTAATGTAATTGATTCAATGCTGTTCGTGTTTGGTTATCGGGCATCAAAAGTTCGTTCGAAGAAAATTAGTCAACTTATACACTATAGTGAACTGGTACCTAATGCTAGTAGCTGTGAAGTGTCTGTACACTTTCAAAAAATTATTGATCATGGTCCTGGTGCTTTGGACTATGAAGTAAGTTTATATATGTATTTATGTATACCTTCAGTTATTCAGACTTTTACTTTTTATTATCTCCCGTCGGATCATTGTATTTAAAGCTGTTCCATCCACTTTAGATTGGATATCTGGGTCGTGCCACTAATTCTTATATGCCAAAAGCTACTACTACAACAAAATTAAGGTCTTGTGCTTATTATTATTCACACTGAAATTATTTTCAACTTGCTACGACCACATTCTATAACGCAAAATAGCAATCGAAATGTTAGTGTAATAAACGGATTCTTTAAAGACTACTACTACTACTACTACTTCTATGAATCCGGTGTTCATCTTATTGTTCTGATGAGGTATGGGAACTTGGACCGATGCATATATGTGCCTGGTCCTACGTTGTAGCTGACTGACTGAATGAATGAAGGACTATACGTACATGTGGTTGCTCAAATTCTGGAAAAGTTAAGTTTCTGCGAAACTGAACTTGAACTCTTTTGTTTATTATAATTTTGTGTGTGAAATGAAATGCTTTTCTTAGTCGCCTTTAGATACCTATCAATCAGTCATTTACAATGTAGGACCAGGCACATATATGCATAGGTCGAAGTTGCCACCTCATAAGCACAACAAGCTGAACACCAAACCCATTGAAGCATTTACCTTAGTAGTAATATATAAAAAAACTGCGTGTAAGGATATGATACAGGGAAAAAGAGTTATTTTGTAGAAAGATATAAAGCGGTTTTAATCTCAGTTTAAGGGAAGACTGTGAGTGTATACACCTACGCCATTGTGATCGATTCTGGACCATGTCACACAGAGTCTAGAACCATTGGTTACGATAGTCATGTGTACTCCAACCAAGTAGTCTGCATCAACCAACATTCCTCAGACTACAAGTTAGTGACTTCAAGGGCTGATGCCACGTTTTGGCTTGGTCGCCTCTAACTTTTTTCCAACCATCCCTACACTAGTCAGCATTGTGCGTTTTGGTAATCAGTGTTCAGGCATACGTAACACGTCCAACCATCTCAGTCGATGAAGATTCACAACCTCATCAATTGATTTACCATCATTCCCTAATACCTTGTGTCTAACCTCACTATTACTTACCCAGTGATCCCATCAGATGCGAGCAATATTTCTGAGATATCTGTGATCAAATACTAGTAACTTACGAGTATCCTCTAGCTCTAATGGCGTTTCGCTGTCAGCCAAGCTTTGTTTTTCCATTCTTAAGTATCTTGTAGCAAAAAGCATTTTCCAGTTGTTTCGTAAGAGGAAAATTATGCTTATATAAATACTTATAAATAATTACGTTCAGCGCACTCATATTATCCTGTTTCATGAAAAAGCATTGCTTTTTGTCATAGGTTGTTCCAAATAGTCAGTTTGTTATTTCACGACGAGCATACAAAGATAATTCAAGTTGCTATTTGATTGATGGTACTCGAGCTGTTTATCGTGATGTGGCTAATCTTTTGCGCAGTCATGGCGTGGATATTGATCATAATCGATTCCTCATATTACAAGGCGAAGTGGAGCAAATTGCTTTGATGAAACCTAAAGCTCCAAGTGAACATGAGGATGGATTTCTTGAATACTTAGAGGTAAACTACTGTTCATATTTTTATTTTGTTTCTTATATGTTTAAATAATCGCTCTCCTTCCAGCTAAGAAAGTAAGGACACACAAACAGAACTTTTTTGATCTACAACTAACAAATGCACTATAAACTTGTGTTTTTAATGATGACCTACGTATTATTCAAAGGTTCATATAAATTAACTACTAATAACTCTCCTTATTAGTTACATCTAAGCTTTTTAAATAAGCACATGCTCACTAAATGATTTCTAGTGGTATGGACTGTTTCTGTTTGATTATAGATTTCGTTCTAAAAATGATTACTTTCGTTCTAGTCTTAGTCGTTTCTTGAACCGCATCTGATCTATCTTACCGTGTGACCGGCGGAGACTGTTAGCGGCACTAAGAAAGATATATGTCCATTCTTTACGTAAAAATTTGTCGTTTTCAACGCGGGAATTTTCATAATTAATGGCCCTTCTCATTCGTAGTTCTGTCTTCACATCTTAAGAATTAACCAGATCATCTAGTAGAGAATTTCTGTTCATCATGTGTTTCATAGTTTATGATAGCATAAGAAACTTTGGCTATGTTGTTAAGGTTCTTAACTCTGTATCAAAAATCAAGAGTTCAATCCTTATTTCTACACACAGACCTCAAGAAGAGATACGAACTAACAATGTTATGGTAAAGTACAACGATAGGTCATGTGATTTGGATTAAATCGATCTTCATGTTTTATTATAATTAAATTCCCATTAGCAGTAGTACCCCTAACATTTTCTTAATCATCCTAATATCATTATTTTAACTGACTACAAAATCGTTGAAATAACTTCATCATATGTATTAGTTTATGGAAAAGACGACAATAATATTGCAATGTAGATCGAAAAAATCAACGATATCTATACTCGTCTGAATGATTCTAGATTATCCACCTCCTGGAACCCTTAAAATGACAGATTTTTAAGAGTCTCCACATTTTTGCCAGTTAAAAATTAGGGAATTTGTGGTTAAGGGTCCATGAACTGACATCAAATGAAGTGTAAAGTATTCTATTTATATTATTAAATGAATTTTGAACAAAAAATATTATAGGAGCTATCTGATTAGTTCGTCCATAAAATATAGTATCACAAGGTTTCAAGTTACGATTTAGAGGTGATATCGATTAGCCTGTTGTGTACAATCTAAAGAGGTAGAATTGACCACTTAATAGGTTTAACATTGTCATTTCTAGTCCATGGTTGCAAAAACGTTTTTTTTGCTCTGTCATTTTAAAAATTTTGAGTAGTATACAAAGACATTTTTATTTCTCATGATATATATACTATTTGAATTCCGCACAAAACCATGAAAGTCGTGTCCTCCATCATGGTATGCTCTTTCCTATGCCATACTTCTATCATTACTGAAGCAATGATTATTTTATCATTATTAGTATTAATGGCTTTATTCAATATTATATCTTCGGTATAATACAGTATTTTCAGCATAAATCATTTCAGTAAGTTTCCTCTTCCTATTTCGTGATCGATCCTGACGAGATAAGTATTGAGTGATCGTCATTTAGATGTTAACAGTTCAGGAATCGATATCTGAATAATGTTCGTTCCTTTCAATCTATATTGCCAGCTATTACGATATTTCCGATTGTACTTTTTTATAAGTTATACAACGAAAGGTTGTAAACTTTTCATAAACTCCACCTGAATAGGTTATGTGACTGATGGATATAATGATGTATTAAAACAAACAAACAAAAAGCAGATAATTTGTTGAAATATCTTGATGAGAAGGAACAGATAGTCCAGATATCTAAGAGGGCCATTAACACCGTCGGATGCCGGCTCAGTGGTGTAGATGTTAAGTGTTCGTGTGCGAGACGGGAGGCTTTGGGTTCGGATCCTGAGAGCCGGATTGTGGATGCACACTGCTGAGAACTGCCACAATAGGACAAAACAGCCGTCCAATGCTTCCAGGTTTTCAATTGTGGTCTAACATCAATTGGTTCACAATCTTAATCAAAACAAAAGATAATTTTAATTTGTTTTACCATTCATTTTGTTACTTTACATACAAGTCATCCCAATATTGTAGTACAACTGTAGTGGACAAGAACACGAGTGGGGAACATCGAATGTATTTGAGCACAAAATTACAGAATATCTCACTAAAATCTGAGAACCGTATAGTCAATAGTTAATTTGTAAATATCAATCCATCGTCTCAAACTTGACTATTCCTCTTGCAAAAGATCAATTCATTGTTCATGCATTTTCATACCAATTGTGTTCCGTTCCCGTTGTTTCCTTCTCAATCTTCTACTGAAATACATTAATCTACCTGACCACCATTATATACTACTTATATAGATATAAGTAACCCACACCATATAACAACAACTTTAACTAAGTTATATATCGTATCTAAGTGTCTATATGAATACCGACTGTGAACATAAACTATCGACAACTAAATATCATCTTTAAGATATTGTCTTACTTTTAAGATGATGATTCGATGGTGGTTGGAGGTAGTCGACAGGAAACCCTGGACCCGGGTTTCGTGCTACTTGGCACTCGTCAGCAAGGTGTACCTTTAATCTTGAGGGAGCTGGTGTTGCCTGGCGGATCCGATATCGTGTCACCTAGATTCATAGTCAGAGACGTTACCACTGAGTTATCCGACCTCCTGTATGACTGAGATGTAATCACAATTGATTGATCACTGAGTAGTGATCAATGTCATGCGTGTCAAGTCCTTATTAGTGCAGATCGAATGCTATCGATCAATATATAGTGCACGCAGTGTTGAGTCACCTAGACTGGTGACTACATTACAGCATGGTCGATAGCATTCGATCTGTACTAAATAAAGACTTGACACGCATGACATTGATCACCACCCAGTGATTAATCAATTGTGAAGATGATGATTTGTTTACTTATTCTTTGTTGTCGTTCTCGTTGTTGTTTTTGTTTTCTTTCCCTGTCACACATACATACACACACAAAAACAAACAAAATATTTATTTTTAATTTTTATTTATTTATTTATTTATTATTATTATTATTATTATTATTATTATGATATAAAAAGCTTTCAATTCATTTAGGATATAATTGGTTCATCAAGATTTAAACAACCATTAAATATATTTATAAATCGTATTGAAAAATTAAATGATTTACGTTTGGAAAAACTTTCACGTGTAAAATTAATTGAAAAAGAAAAAGATGAATTAGAATCTGTACGTAATGAAGCAATAGATTATTTACGTTTAGTTAATCAATTAATACGAATGAAAAATATATTATATCAACAAAATTTATTAAAAGAATATCATACTATTGAAATAATTAAAGAGAAATTAATAAATATACAAAATGAAACTGAAGTAAGTAATCCATGAATAATGTTATCATATTAATTTTTGTTTGTTTTGTTTGTTTGTTACTCATTTTATTTGTCAATTCTTTTTACTGAAATATACTCTCTATCAATAAAAGGATGAGTATATTGCGCGGCAGTTCGTTCTGTTTTAATTTACGGCAGTGAAACATGGCCATTAAGAGTAGAAGACACTCGTAAGCTATTAGTATTTGACCACAGATGCCTTAGAAATATTGCTGGCGTCTGTTGGGATCATCGGGTAAGTAATAGTGAGGTTAGACGCAGAGTATTAGGGAATAATGGTAAATCAGTTGATGAGGTTGTGAATCTTCATCGACTGAGATGGATGGGCCACGTGTTACGTATGCCTGAACACCGATTACTACGACGTGCAATGCTAACCGGTGTTGGAGATGGTTGGAAGAAAGTTAGGGGCGGCCAAACCAAAACGTGGCATCAGTGCTTGAAATCACTAACTTCTAGTCTGAGCCATGTTGGTAGGTGCAGACTACTTGGTTGGAGTCCGCGTGACTATCGTAACCAATGGTTGGAGACTCTTGGTGACATGGCTCAGAATCGATCACAATGGCGTCGGTGTATACACTCCCTGTCTTCCCTTAAACTAAGAGATTAAAATCACTTCATATCTTTCTTTCTACGAACCAATTCTTCTTGTACTATATCTCTATATGCAATCTTTCTCTTATATATTACCACCTTTTACCTAACCACTGTTATGAATCCGGTGTTCATCTTGTTGTAGCTGACTGACTGACTGACTGACATCTTATTTGTCAATTCTTCTTACTGAAATATACTCTCACATGGTGATAGTCTTCTAATCACTTTAAGCAACAATGCAAATATGTTCGGAATGTAATTCTTCCCATTCTTCAAAATGCGAAATGGTTGCTTCACGATTGAGTTACATCAACACTTGAACTAATAATAGGGAGTGAAGTAGTTGATCGGTTCAACTTCCCTGTCTAGCCCAGACAATCGAGTCCAGAACGCACGTTTTAGCGTCTGAGATATGAATCATTGTATTTCAGACATACTCTGTTTATATACCAAACAAACAAACCACATCGTACCATAAAAATAAAAAACAACATTTGTACAATATTTAACAAGTGAAATAAATATTGACCAATAGGGAATCTCCATTTAACGTCCAAGGACACCATTATACTTAACACGATAATTATTGGTATATTCCTCTGCATCTCTAACACCCCCCTTTTTTGAAGATCCGGATTTTGAAAATTTTCCGCGTCCATCCTCCCCCGCGAAATAGTGTTGGGTCCTCATATCCCCAAGTTACAATTAATTCGACTTTATTTAAAACATGTTTCTCGCATTGATTGTAGAATCCACTAGAAATGACTAGATGGTAATGAACGATTTTTGATTTCAGGTCAGAGTTTAGTTCTTCTGAAGTATTATTTTCAAATTCATTAAGAATCTCATCAGCTAATAATGGGTCATTAGGAAAATCAACATCAAACAAGATTAAATTAGATCTTTGACCATCATTTGACTCAGCCGACATATTCTCCTCATTTTTGTAAGAAATTTCATCAAAATTATGTGCATTATTATCAGAACCCATATCTGGTACAATGTCATTAGAAACTGGATAAGTTGATTCAATATAAATTTCTGTTTCTTTGTGGACGGGTACTGCAATACATTTATCAGCATTTAATATGACATCGTCTTCCTGTGATCTGGACAATTCAGTGTCTGTACATAGTGTTTCGGACGCAATGGGACTTGAGCCCACGACAGGGCATGTCTCTGAAATGGACATTTCTGGACCACTGGACGGATCATGAACGACTGCTTCGTTTGCATTACTGCTCGTCAGGGATTCATAGAGGCTTTTATTGGCACATTCATACATTCTGCAGTCATTTTCCAGTTCAGTATGCAAATGAGAAATTAATCCATCAATTTCTGTCACATCTCCGAAACATGGGAGATTTAGCAGTCGTGTGCGTAACTTGTCCAAAACATTCAATCGGCTCTTTCTGAAACGCTGCTGTTGGAGGTCAAGTAGTAAGTACAATTGATCGGGAGAGGTGACCATTTTCTGAATCAGCACAGTAGTGAGAAATACCGTATGATTAACTAGCAACCAATGTCTCCCAAGGACACCGATGATAAATCTGGAGTCTGATTGGTCAAATTAATTAGGCTGGATCTCGTCCAATTACAGGGTTCAAAATGTTCTCTACCCCGTCACCAATTGTTGTAGCGTGTCGATTGCAGATTATACGCGCAGCATATATATCGATCGGATCAATGACACGTAAAACACGTAAGAACGACCTAAAGTCCCGATTGGCCCTGCTTCCCTGTGTAGCTCAGCCAGTTGAGTTCAGAACACAAGTCTCAGCCTCTGAGATAACATCTTCAAATCCTAATATTTCCGATTACTGCTTATGCTTTTACTATGTCTACCACTACGGGATTTGAATAGACAACTGCATCTCTGTGCTAATGTGGTGTGGCAACTCGAACTGATGTACGCACGTACGAAGTTCTACGTTATTACTGACTTACATGGTCATATGCATACAATCACTGTCAGGAAAGTCCTACTCACTGCTTTCTCGCGATGAAGGTGTTGTTTGTTTACGAAATTGAAAGGATGAAAAGAGAATGTTCGGCGAGGGCTTTAACCGGATTGGTGAACACGAAGGGTTCACATAGGGGAGTTGGAAAACCCTGATTCCAAATCATTGGTGAACATGGGCTTCAGGATCCTAAAGGTACAAACGGCATATGAACTAATTGTTGGTCAAGGACTATTGTGGTACTGCATCTCCTAATGTTGTTCCACTGCTTTGTGGATTAGACCTTTAGGTCGAATGCTCCGAGTGTGGCTCCCTATGAAAACCACCATTTTCGGTTTAGGCATCCGGGTAGTATCTCAGCGCTCACATAAATCGAATGATATATGTTGTATTATTTCTTAACCTTACGGAGACGTTTGACTTTGTTGATTGTGAGATTCTATGGTAGTGTCTGTCATTGAAAGGTAAACTAAAGAAATACAATAACCTTGTAAAGGTTCTCTACTCGAACATCACTAGTCAAGTCAAAGCTTATAGCGAACTGTTATAGGAACTGCTTACTTCGAGTGGTGTTTGTCAGGGTTGCTCGCTTTCGTCCTTTTTTATTTAGCTTTGTCATAGATATACTCTTAGAGATCATTTCGTCGTCTGATTTTTCTGTGGTTGATTCTTTACCAGGAGACTCACCTGTTGACGTGGAACACGCAGATGGTGTAGTTCTGTTTGATGAAAGCGCTGACAAATTACAGTCATCTGACCGCCTTAAGCAACAATACAAGGATATTTGGGATGCCATCCTCTTCCTCAAAGTGTAAAATGTTTCTTTAAGATTGCTCTGCGTCAGCACTTGAATTAATGATGGAGTTTCTGGTGTCTGATGAAATCTCGGCACAGATTTAGAAGGCTTGATCGGCTTTAGCCTCCTTGCGTCATTTGTAGCGTAGGCGAGTTAACATGGCATCAGTTCATGAAGTCATTGGTAATTGACCTGAGCCCTGTTAATAAGTATACACTATCTGTTTCGAGTTTACGTGATTATCGTAACCAGTGGTTAGAGACTGAATGATATCGCTCAAAATCGTTTACAATGGCTCAGGTGCATCCATTCATTGTCTTCCTCCAAATTCTGAATTCCTTATAACTTTTTTTAATTTCACTATTTTTTATATTCTTGAATCGTATCTTCGATACCTAATCCTCTCTATTACCACTGATACTATTACTATCTCTACTATTCTGGGATTTGGCCTGACAAATTCATCTTTCTTTGCAAAAGGGGTATAGCAACTTGAACCTACGTACATACATACCAGGTTCTATGTTGTGACTGACTATTGGTGATACACAAGCTTCCTGTATTCAAACCCACCTAGCTAATTTAAGTGAAAACAAACCAGATTGAATAGGAGAAACGAGACTTAAAACTAATGGAGTATGTCTATCTTCCTCTAGGAGTTAGGTCAAATCATGACTGACAATGTGCACCTACCAGCATTTCTCTCTTATCATTTGGCCTTAAACTGATGTTCATAATCGACCAAGCTTATCATCTTTAACCTCAGAAAAATATCCCTAGGTTATTGGATTCTACGGCAAGAATTTAGTTCTGTATCGATCATGATATACAAAACGTCCAGACCATATTATGTTTGACAAGTTTTGAATTCATAGCTAAATAGTTAAAGCCGACAAAATTGACAAAATATGCATTTACTCCATTCATATTGTAATTATATATATTGAGAAATTGGTTTGAGGATAGGATTTTATGGAGATCGGTTTAATTTGTAGATAGTATTTGTATCAAATCGATTTCAATCAAGGTGTAATCAGATATTTTAGATTGATTTCAATTAGAAATGTGTACTGTTGTATGATAACCTAGTGGTCTAATAATTATGTGCTTGCCATGAGACTTTAAGATGGTGAGTCCGACTTTCAATAGGGTTATGGATGCACACTTCTGTAGAGTCCTATTCTAGGATGATAAGTCTGTTCATTAGTGCTTTGTAATTTTCAGTGGTACCCCAACTAAGCTTACTTTGACGAATACAACTATGTTTCATAACTTTAGAGTTGTTAAGATCATCTGTTTACTTCAAACATTTATCATAACGCTATTCATTTAGTACAAGTTAGTCGGCAGTTTATGTTATTTCTAGAACCATTTGATTTCATAGTTTTCAGCCTTAGTTAGGATATATTTATTAATATCCGATTTCTACCTGAAAATAACCTTTAATTGTTTTCGCTACTTCAATGGTTAAGTGCTTGATGTCTCGTGGGTAGGGCATTGTTATTAGGTTTTAGGTCTTAGGTTTTCTGATAATTATGTTAGTCGAAAGAAATGTTTAGTATCTCCTTTTTCTGATAGTTTTTCAGAGACCAGTATCTAAGTTAATTAATTATTTTTATTCACATTCATTTTTTATTATAATGAGTTATAATTGTATTGTGTCATAAAGCTACGACGGTATTAACCACCGATGTTCTTCCTGTTTTCACCTGTTTCTTTTTAGATTTTATCAAGTCAGGTACGTGAGAAAACTCGACAAATTAAGCGATTAGAATCTGATCGTGATGAGCTTACTCAACGTCATGCTCAATTGCAAATAAGATATCGTGATGGGAAAGCAAAATTTGCTGAATTTGAAGCTCAAGATGGACAACTGCGTGATGAACATGCACATACAAAAACTTCAGCACGTCATTTAGCTAAAGCAATTCAAGTAGAACGAACTAAGTTACAAGAGTTAGAACGATTACCTGAAGAAGCAAATGCTCATCGTGAAGCAATTAAGAAACAATTAGTGGAATTAGAAGAAGCTAGAAAGAAACATGAAGAAGTTTATAAGGCAAGTTTCTTTATCAATTCTATATAGGCTGGATATGAGTACCTTCGAGAATTGTTTTTTCTCTCAATCTGGAACTATTTTCTAGTTATAGTTGAACACTACTATCCAATACTAATGTTTCTTTATCTTTAGAAGTGATCAGCCAAATACTCATGCATTTCAAGGAGGCAATGCGTAAAGCTTTTCCAGTCTCATTATTTGTTTGTTATAATGCATTGTTACGTCTTTGTTTCTTCACAAAAATTTCCACAGTCCTAGTGAAGTGTCTGATTGCTTCGTCAGTAGACATATCAATTTCCCGTTTTTTTTGTAACTATGATCATTCAACTTTTAAAATCTAATAATCTTTGATATTTGTAAGTCTCTGTCAAACACAGAACAAACCATACGTGAATACTTGGAACTACAATCACGGTTTGCAGTCAGCCAGTAAACTGGTTACTAAGAAAAAAGGTTGTTATCATCAAAGTAATTTTAAACAAGTGTTTCTCAAATATACTTAGTTGGTCGTAGTCTGCCTCGTTATTCAATCACAAATACATCGGAAATTCCTCAGTATAGTAGTGGGATAACATTCTGAAGATCATGTTGAAACATAAAACCTTTCGAAGAATCATCAACTGTCAATCTTATTGAATCTTTTAATCTTTGTGATCAAGAGTGGGTATATGAAGTTAAAGGCTAATAACTGTTTTAGTCATAGTAAACGTATTTGAAAGTGATAACGGGGTTTATTCGTTGGCAAGATGTCTCGGGTACTGTTTGATGTATGAAGAAAGTTATCATTTCCCAGCTCCTCCACACTGTGAGAGAATAATTATTAAGGGACTTGAAAAGAAAACTGGATTAATAGATGTCTTAAGGACCTAGAAGCGTGACCACAAAGGCCAGAGGACATTTACTTGAGGTCGATCACACGCGCCATTTGTTGGTTGTTTTAGGAATAGTTAACCCCATCTTTAAAGCCCTTACTTCCTGAGACTAAAATCCATGGGTTAAGGTAGGGTGTGACACGTTTAGGGCAAATCTTTTCTAATCTCTTCCATTGTGGGGAGGTTGCATTGCTGCGGACGTTATTCACCGTACTACCGCCAAACCTTTGTACAGTCGGCTGTATCATTTCGCTTTCGGACCTCAGGTTGCTGCTTTTAGTCTTACCTTTCACCAACTGATCTACTTGGCATGGTAGAAGACATACAGTCATTGTAGCTCCATTGGGTCATCACGATTGGCAAGCTTGACTACCACATTTAGGTAACGGCTACGGAAAAACAGTCAACTTTTTAAATATACATGAATATCAAAGATCAGTTTATAACGTCCTTCATCCTTGGACATACTCAAATATAACTGTTCTAAAATTGTTGCTTTCTTTTCGGAAAACTATCTCAGAACTCATCATCCTTTATAAAACTTGCTTTTTATGATTAAATCAATTCCAGTTTTAGGACGGTGTTCTTTCTCTCTGTTTTCATAATTTCATGTGATGTGATTGTTATATCAAATTGTTTATTGGTGTAGGAAACAGTTGATAATCTGTCTAAAGAATCTGCACCTTTACGAATTAAAGTTGAAGAAAGTGAATCCATGTTGGCTCCTTTACAAACAGAAGCTGATCAAATTACAAGTAAACTAACACTGGAGCGTCAACAATATGATCTTATGATGGCTGGCCAACGAAGAGAATTAGAACGTATGGAAACAGCAAAGAAAAGTATGCAATCAACTCAAAGTAAACTTAAAGAGAGAGAACAAGAATTAGCTGATGCAAAAAAACAATTATCATCTTCGGGAAGTGGAGGAAATAAAGGTAATTTAGAGATGGCATTAGCATCAGCTACACGTGATCTAGCTGAAGTGAAAACACATGAAGCTGATCTGACAAAAGAACTAAATGATTTACGTAGCAAGTTGACAGAGTCAAAATCAGCTCTTCAGGTAAAAAGAAAAACAACAGTTTTGATTGTGGTCACTATAAGTTGGATTATGATTCTCTGTTGTTTTTTATAAATTGTATATAGTCGATAGAAATCGTAGTCGTGACTGAATATGACCAAAGTGATGTAATCATATTCAAAGCATTGTAATTCTCAAATTGTCCAACTCTGCTTCATTATTATGTGTTATAATATCGTTTATTAATATCAGTCATTATTTTCCTTTTCATGGCTCTGTTAGTAGTTTTGAAGGTGAGGCTATAATTTATGGAGCGATGCCTGCCTACTAACTAAGACTAAATGAGGTTTATAAACCAGAGTGAGGAGTTAGGATTATGATTTACAGTTTATGGTTAGGGATTAAATTCAAGATTTTCACCACCAACTGATATCAGCTATAATTCCAAAATGGTGTTTAACCAAATGGATGGGAATGGATTCCGTGCCAAAATCCAAAACCTGATATCCTAAATCTTTTATGCCTTGGTACGACCGAGGGTGGTGAGAGTCAGTTCTCCCTCTTCAAATGCTCTTACATGGCCACGCGTTTACAGTCACTGTCAGGGAAGTTCTACTCACTTCCACAAGTCATTGTTTCCTTATTCTTCTGATTGATATCCTCGTTTTCTTATATGATCCAGTTTTATCATGCCTCATGTTATACAATATCCAACAAATTTATTTTCAAATGATCATTTTCATTAAAATGTTATAACGATCATTGACCAGCTACACTATGTCACACATATTATAGATTAGTATCTTGTTAGTGTTATGCTAATCATTTCGAAATATCAATAATTTTATATTGTCGTTGACCTTGTTCTTCTATGTGTTCAATATTTTCTTTGTTGTTTTTTTTTTTCTTTACAAACAGGCGGATAATTCAAGAAATCGTATGTTGAATGCTCTACTTGAAGCAAAACGTTCTGGAACATTGACTGGAATTCTTGGTAGACTTGGTGATTTAGGTGCAATTCCATCACGTTATGATATTGCAATTTCAACAGCATGTGGAGCTTTAGATTATATTGTCACAGATACCATGGATACAGCTCAGAAAGCGGTGAATTTTCTGAAACAGAATAATCTAGGACAAACTACTTTTATAGGTAATACTGATTGATTGCTTGAAATTCTTGATAGTTTACTTTTTATTTATTTATTTGAACACACAGACATTGGTAGAAGGAGAAAACAAATATATATATGCACCACATAAATCATTCAATTTGTGTGAGCTTGGATATTGGTCGGGCGCCCAAACCGATGCAAGTGGTTTTCTTAAGGAACCACCCCTGAAGCCTTTGACTTAAAGGTTTAATCCACAAGACAGTGGAACATAAAGTCTAACAGATGTGCACTCTAGCTTAGGTTGTCATACCATATCTGCACATTGAGATTGAAAATAATAGGGCAAGTATCGAAGGAATCGAAGTGATATAGTAGAAGCAGTGATGAGAAAGACTAAGTATTGAGAAAATAATTCAATACGACAAAATAAAAAGATACTTTTGGAAGAATACCGGCGCTTAAGATCTAGAGGAAGACAAAATGTAAATTCATCTAGATGTGAATAATATCACCCGTATCCAACCACTGATCACAGTTATTGCGCGAATATTAACTAGATTGTCTGTATCTCTATCTACACGGCTTAGACCAATAGTCAGTGACTTTATGAAATGCTGTCTCACTTTAATTTGACAGTCCCTGTTTCTTCCATTCAACTCATACTGACCAACATCCCCCATCGAGGTAGATAATTGTTAAACATATCCTTACTACTTCAACCAGTGAAGATTCACAACTTCATCAATTGATTGATTCGCCATCAACAATATTTGTACGTATTGATAACCTTATATAATTTGACAATCAATTAACTCTTAAGACATATTTCACTATTAAATGTACGTTCATTAATTTAGTTCTTTTTCATTTTAAAAGAACATTTTCTCTATGATTAATTGTGTTTTATGTATTTATATTCCAGCTCTGGATAAAATGAAAAAATGGGCTGAAAAATCTTCAATTCCATTTAATATGCCTAAAGTATCATTTCAAGTCGAACGTTTATACGATTTAATTCAAACAATTGATCCCAATGTGAAACCAGCATTTTATTTCGCTTTAAGAGATACTTTAGTAACAGAAAATTTAAATGCAGCTACAAAAGTTGCTTTTGGTCAACAACAACGTTATCGTGTTGTTACTCTTCAGGTAAGATTTCATTTACGTATGCAGTTTGTTTTTTTATTATTTTCAAAATCCAATCTGATATGTTTTTGTTACCTTCTACTCGCCCACCTACTACAAAGTGTGTTCAACAACAGGTCTTTAATCATTGGCAAGCTGACCACGGATAAGTAGATATATTTTTGGATTAGTGATTATATTCCAAAATATTATAGGTACAAGTACTTGTTTCTAAGTTTAATCAATTTTAAACATAAGCATTGAAACTAACTGCCTTGTTGACCATTGACGAATGTCATGGATATATCATATTTTTTATTGTCTTTGTAGAAAATACTTAGGATAATCAATGTTCTTTTCACAGTTTTCGCTTCCAAAATGAGATTTTTGTTGACGGAGAAGTCATTTAAACAGTTATCAATGTATGAGAGCGACTAGGACCTTGATTTGACTTAAAGAAGTACTCAGTTTACTGTATAGGCCAGTGGTAAGGAATCTAACATGTTATAGATCGATCTAGTGAATTTCTGGATTCTATCAAACTTAATGAATGAATGGTTACAACCTCACTCCGACTAACTATGAATGAGAAATGAGACGAACCCAGCGAAATCTAATGATCATTATCTTGATTGTCAGAAAATACTAGTTAGATTGACAGAAGTGAATAGTACCCTCAATTTCCTACAGTTATCATGCGAAACATTTTCTGACCTTAGGATGACTAAGTGAAAGAGCTTAGAGAGTCGATTAATGCATAACATCGTACAATAAAATAAAATTTGTTTTATTTAGTATGTGGTGTTACTAACATCATGACTTCCTGTACATTGTACAATTCAGTGTCTTCATATGTCATCAAACAGTGTGATGTATAACCGGTAATTGTATAACAATAGAAATAGTAAATATTCACAGTATTTAGTAAGCAAGATTTGGTATAAAGAAAGACTGATTTCAAAGTTCAGGATCTAAGAGAAAACAACGATTGAGCGCACCTACGCCATTTCGAATAATTGTGAGCCGTGTCATCCAAAGTCTTTAAATATTTGTAACAATCACACGGACGCTGACTAGATAGTTTGCATCTATCTACGTCGTTCAATCTAATCACCAATTACTTTTTGAACTGATACCACTTCTTGGTTTGGGAACATCTAGCTTTCTTCCATCCCACTCCTACATTGTACTCGTGAACTGCAAACACGAGAGAACCAAGGTGGCTTCAGACCTGGTCGTGGCTGCATGGACCACATATTCACCATTCGTCAGGTTCTAGAACACAGGCATAGCTATCGGCGTCCGACGATGGTGGTCTTTCTTGACTTAAAAGCATTTGACTCTGTAGACCGCGAGATTCTGTGGCAGTGTCTGTCATTGAAAGGCGTACCCCAGAAGTACATAAACCTTGTAAAGGCTCTTTACTCGAACACTACTAGTCGAGTCAGAGCTTATGGCGAACTGTCATCTAGTTTTGCAACCTCAAGTGGTGTCCGTCAAGGCTGTCCACTTTCTCCATTTTTGTTTAACTTCATCATAGAGCTATTGATGGAAATAACACTCTCGTCGACTGAATCCTTGGGTATTGATCTCCTACCAGGAGGTCCACTTATTGACTTAGAATACGCAGATGACATAGTCCTGTTTGGTGAAGACGCTGATAAAATGCAGTCTTTTGGTAGCACTAAGCAACAATGCCAGAATGTTTGGAATGCGCTTCCCTCCCTCTAAATGCAAGTTGTTGCTTCAGGACTGGCCTGCGTCAACACCTGAATTAAGGATAGGGAGTGAAGTAGTCAGACACGTCGACAACTTCACTTATCTTGGAAGTCTGATCAGCCCTAATGGGTTGGTATCGGACGAAATCTCAGCACGGATTCGAAAAGCTCGTTTAGCTTTTGCCAACTTACGTCACCTATGGCGAAGGCGAGATATCCGTCTATAAATTAAGGGACGAGTATACTACTCGGCCGTTCGTTCTGTTCTACTTTAAGGCTGCGAAACGTAGCCTTTTAGAGTAGTCGATACTCGTAAGCTACTAGTATTTGACCACAGATGCCTTAGAAATATTGCTGGCGTCTGCTGGGATAACCGAGTAAGTAATAGTGAGGTTAGACTCAGGGTATTAGGTAATGATGGTAAATCAGTTGATGAGGTTGTTAATCTTCATCGACTGAGATGGTTGGGCCACGTGTTACGTATGCCTGAACACCGATTACCACGACGTACAATGCTAACCGGTGTTGGAGATGGAAGAAAGTTAGGGGCGGCCAAACCAAAACGTGGCATCAGTGCTTGAAGTCACTAACTTCTAGTCTGAGCCATGTTGGTAGGTGCAGACTACTTGGTTGGGGTCCGCGTGACTATCGTAACCAATGGTTGGAGAATCTTGGTGACATGGCTCAGCATCGACCACAATGGCGTAGGTGTATACACTTTGTCTTCCCTTAAACTAAGGGATTAAAATCGCTTCATATCTTTCTTTCTACTAACTAATTCTATATTCCGGTACTGTATCCTTATATGCAATCTTTCTCCTATATATTACCACCTTTAACCTAACCACTCCTATGAATCCGGTGTTCATCTTGTTGTGCTAATGAGGTATGGCAACCTGGACCGATGCACATATGTGCCTGGTCCTACATTGTAGCTGACTGACTGACCCTCTTGTTACACAAAACCAACATCCCGTATATTTTGTATATCACTTGAATATCTTGATCCACAGTGCTGAGCGTTGAGTGTTTATAGATTATCGCCAAAATTCTTACAATTGGTTTTTTAGATTACTCAACTAATGCTTAGCATGATATTGGGAACTTAATCAAGATTGAGATTACTAGTCATTACTCACAATCAGCGTACCGTAAATACTCCCGATACACTTTGCAGTTAATAGGTTTTTCATAATATCTTTCTGAGCACTTAAGCCGTTTGACTTTCTTCCACCAAGTCCGGGGTTCGAACTTTGTTCTGCTTACTTCGTTTTGGGCAATCTGATAGTATCGTTGGTCCTTACACAAGTCAATTGTGGCCCATACCCAAGTAGCTGGTGAAAAATGAGTTTATTAATTGGCTACTTGTTATTGAATATTTGTAAAGTGGGCTGTTTTGTTTTTTTTCTGTCTCGACTTCTTTCCTTTTTCAGGGACAAGTTATTGAAGTATCTGGTGCAATGTCAGGTGGTGGAGGTCGTCCACTTTCAGGTAGAATAATGGCAGATATTGTACAAGTGAAAAAACTTCATGAAGCCAATTATAGTTGTGAATCTAGACACAAACGACTATCAACCGATAGTTCCAAAGAAACAAGCGATCTATCTGCATTAGAACGTCAATTAACTCAAGGGGATGCTGAACTTGGTCGTTTACGTGACACTCGATCACGTTTGGAAGAAATGATTGTGCGTATGACTCGTCAACGTGATGAATCCGAGCGTACAATCAAACGGTGTGAAGTAAGTTGTTCACTCGTAAATTCGAAAATAATCAAACTCTTTCTCTGTGAAGCGTCTTTCATGTTTTCTGATATGTACTTTTACTTCTGAATACTGTAATAAGTAACTCATTCGTAAGTGTTTGCGTCTTCCCGTTGTTGATGTTCTTATCTACAATCGATCAGTCTCTTTTGATCTCATTTACACCTTGAATGGATCACCTCCATATTGCCATTTAGTCTCATGTTTTGTAAAGTAGTTGGATAGTGGCTAGCAGTGGAATCCAAGACTCACGTTTCGTTCTTTTTGGGACTCGTCAAATGAGTGTGCTTACATTCGACTGTTGATGTTCATATCGGTACTCAAACCCGAAACCTTTTCTCTAAACACAGTACATTACCCCACTGAACTACATAGTCCAGATTAATAGCCAGCTGCTTGATTAACTGCATTTGTTAACACAAGCAACGGGGAAATACATACACTTACAAATCAACTTAAAGTGATTTAGATTATCCCTTTGATATTTTAACTGAAGTTTCATCAGTCTTGGGGTCAACTCTTGGATATAAGTACATTTAGCTGATGATTCCGAAATAAAACACCGGAATTCCACTGCTAACCACATTTCATTTATTCTAAATTTAAAATTCAAATTCATACCCGTCGCACAATGAATAATTGAAATTTCATGTCAGTAATAGTACAACTGTAGTTGAAAGATAAAACGGGAAACTGGTCTTGATGAAAATTGTGAACTGTGTGAAATCCATCGAAATGATCACTACTTACCTCCCAAATGCCTTAATACGGCCAATGTCGAGGAGATTTCGCCCTCCCTCTCGAAATGCTCTTACATAGCCACACGTTTATAGCCATTGCCTAGAAAGTAGTACTCATTGTCTTCTCGAGGAGAGGTTGTTGTTTACCAAATCGAGAGAAAAAAAGCCGATGTCCGGTGGGGTTTTTAACGGGGTCGCTGGGCACGAAGGATCCACTTTGGAGGGTCGAAAAATCCTGATTCCAAACGAGTGGCTCACATGGGTCCCAGGATCCCGAAGGAACAAATGGCATTATTATTTATTTGAACACATAGATATTGGTACAAGGAGGCACCAAATACATATGCGCCACACAGATCTCATTTGATATGTGTGAGGGCTATGATACTGTCCGGGTGCCCAAACCGAAGTAGGTGGTTTTCTTATGGGGGCCACACCCGGAGCTTTCGACTTAAAGGTCTGATCCACAAAGCAGTGGAGCATCGTAAGGAGATGCAGTCTCGTGGTAGCAGGTAACCAAATACGCCATTTGTTCCCTCAGGATTCTAGAGCCGATATACACCATTTGTTTTGGATCAGGGTTTTCGAACTCTCATAGATGGATCCTCCATATCCACCAACCCGGTTAAAGTGCCGGACATTCGCTTTTCGTCCTCTCAAATTCGTAAACAACGCCCAGGCTAAGAAAAAGCAGTGAGTAGGACTTCCCTGGTAGTGGCTGTATACGCGTGACCATGTGAGAATATTTCAAGAGAGAGAGCGGAATCTCGGCCGTACCAAGGCATTTAGGGGCTTTCATCTGTTCACTATTTCCATTCATTCGAAAAATAATAATAATAATTTTTTTCTTTTCAAAGAATGAATGTGTTCACTTACGTGCTGAATTGAAAGCATTAACAGATGAAGTTAAACAATCTGAAGAACGTGTCAAATCAATGGGACCATCAGATATTGAACGTAAAAAATTTGAAAAACAATTAGAAAAACTTGAACATTTAACACAACAAAAATGTTCAATTGCCGCGAAAAAACGTGAAGAATTAGAAATTTTAAAAAATCAATTATTAAATTTTGGTTCAGATCGACTAGCTACTGTAAGATCTCGTCTTGATGTTATAGAAAAGAAAAGAAAAGATGTAAGTTTCTTTGTGAGTGTATTTTTAAAAAAAATTTATTCAACTGAATTCATCACTGAAATCATCAGACTGACTGACTGAATTCATCACAAACTAGTAGCTAAATACTTACTTACGCCTGTTACTCCCAATGGAGCATAGGCCGCCGACTAGCATTCTCCAACCCACTCTGTTCTGGGTCTTCTTTTCTAACTCCACCCAATTCTTGTTCATTTTCCTCTTGTCTGTCTCCATTTCCCAGCGTAATGTGTTCTTTGGTCTTTCTCCTTTTTTGGCCTTGAGGATTCCATGTGAGGGCTTGTCTTGTGACGCAGTTGGGTGCTTTCCTCAATATGTGTCCTATCCACTTCCAGCGCTTCTTCCTCCACTAGGATCTAGTTTGTTCTCTCCCACAGTTGGTTGCTGCTAATAGTGTCCGGCCAACGGATCCGAAGTATTTTGCATAGACAACTGTTAATAAACACCTGTATCTTCTGGATGGCTTTCGTAGTTCTCCAGGTTTCTGCCCATACAGTAGAACTGTCTTGACATTTGTATTGAAAGTCCTGACCTTGCTGTTGGTTGACAGTTGTTTTGAATAGATACGCTGCTCTTGTTTTACCGATCCACGCTTTCACATCTGCATCAGACCCACCATGTTCATCAATGATGCTGCCAAAATATGTAAAGGTTTTTACATCTTCTAAATAGTCAATAGTTATTATGATTGTCGTGTTCAACAATTGTATAGCTTTAAATAGACAGAATAATTCGAATTAGTGTTGAGTATATCCAGAATATTGTTGGGAAAAAAAGCTCTAACGGGTCCTGAGAACTTAAGAGAAATAGTTTAGCCAATCAGTAGTAATAAATAGTAGTTTTTCAGAAATATCTAGGAAATGATTGAATGACTGACTACCTATCCTCCGGCTATGTTTAGTAGGGTTTGTTGAGGATAATGTCCTCAATATCTGACTCCAAATAATAATATCCCGTAACTGAGTATTTTAGGTAGGCTTAATCTCTTAGTAGAATTGCGAATTTACTCGAGATTATTAAAAAGCCCGAACACCAGTTATAGAGATAGTTTATTGTTAATGAATAATAATAATCCACAAGCGTACGGTGAGCAAGCACACGATGAAACAGAGAGAGTGAGAGAGAGTGAGTGAGTCTGTTAAAAATCCATATATATTTGAGAGTTAATCGGGTGTGGATAGATTATCGATTATCTGCATATTGAAACCAATAGGAAAATAGCTTAAGAGTTGATGTACAGACATACATTCGATCATACACACCGAAATTAACATAGTGAATTAAGAGTTTGAAATGCACACAGAAATTAACATGATGAATTAAGTGTCTGAATTACAGTGAGTAGACAAATGATACATTAGTTGAATGGGCTTGCTACAGGTTCCAGGTGTCTAAGGTCATCTGAACTGCTGCTATAGATATCCTCGACTTTCTGTACATAAACTAACATTAGAGTAAAGCGATCTTTTCACACTTCATGCCTTCTTTTCCATGTTCATGTTGGGTAAATTTAGCCTGAGATTGTTAGAAGAGTTTAGGAAACCAATTCAAATGTTCAGTCAGAAGATTTATCCATTGGTACATAAGGTCGCTGATTAGTTCCTTTCCAAATTATGGAAATCATTTGTTTTTCGATTCACAATTGTTTATACTCACCAAAGATAAAAAATACTATAATCTCTCTAATCCAAAAAGTGGAATTCTTTGTTTTCTGATTAACAATAGTTGAACAAAAAAGAAAATTGATAGTCAACAGGGTGATCTCAAGTTTTCCTGAGATTGTATAAGTGGTTTCTACATCGCACAACATTATTTGTTTTCAATACAACTGAAGTAATTTTGAATTTAATCTATTCAAACAGTTGTTGAAAGGTTGATGAAAAAGACTTTATTAAAATATTCGTTTTCAGCATAGCATGATTGAGTTTTCACTTTCAAAGTCTCATAATTGTTATCAAACACTGTTCTGCTTCATCTATTCGAAATGTGTGATGATGGTTGATGTAACAGTCGGTTTCGAAAAGTGCTGGTAGCGGAGAAAACCAAGACATGGTATTAATCCATGAAGAATTACTATTGTACTGAGCCATGTAGGTTGGGGCAGACTACTTGGTTGACGTTCGTATAATTATTGTAACTAATGATCAGAGTTTTCGGGTGGCGTTGCTCAAAATCACTGTACATATTTGTTAGATCTCAACACGAATTCGAAAGTCTCGTTTGGCTTTTATGAACTTACGTCACCTATGGCGAAGGCGAGATATCTGTCTATCAATAAAAGGACGAGTATACTGCGCGGCAGTTCGCTCTGTTTTACTTTACGGCTGCAAAACGTGGCCATTAAGAGTTGAAGATACTCATAAGCTACTACTATTCGGTCAATGATGCCTTAGAAATATTGCTGGCGTCTGCTGGGATCACCGGGTAAGTAATATTGAGTTTAGACACAAGGTATTAAGGAACGATGATTGTAAGTCAGTTGATGAGGTTATAAATCTTCATCGACTGAGATGGTTGGACAACGTGTTTTGTATGCCTGAACACCGATTACCATAACGCACAATGCTGACTAGTGTACGGATGGTTAGGAGAAAGTTGGAGGCGACCAAGCCAAAACGTGGCATCAGTGCTTGAAGTCACTAACTTCTAATCTGAGCAATGTTGGTTGATGCAGACTACTTTGTTGGAGTCCACGTGACTCTGTGTGACATGGTTCAGAATCGACCACAATGGTGTAGGTGTGTACACTTTATCCTTCCCCTAAACTATGAGATTAAAATCGCTTCTTGTCTTTCTACGAATTAATTCTTTCTTCCTGTACTATGTTCTTATATGCATTCTTTCTTTTATATATTACCACCATTGAATTAACTACTTCTATGAATCTGGTGTTCATCTTGCTGTGCTATTGCGGTATGGTAACTTGGACCGTTGTATATGTGTGCCTGGTCCTACGTTGTTGCTGACTGACTGAGATTTTGATGTTGTTCACAACTGAAACTGATCTAACTCCATTTGACAATTTGAAATTAATCCATGAATCTGTTAGCAACTGCCTAAGAAAAACATTTTACTTTTGTTACACACAGTGGTACACTCAGTCACTCGGCGACCTGAAAGTTGCTTTACTTTAGTTTTACTATCTAATACAATCTTAAATAACTGATATTCTCGTCGTAATTCTACTGGTTAGTCATTAGGATAATATCCAATGTTCATTTAACAATTCATATACATTTACATACCTTGTAACATTCTTGATTTATCTAACCAACTAGTCTTAACTCAATATACAAAGAGAGAGAGAGAGAGAGTTGTCTCAATCTAGTTTACGGATATGATCCAATATGTCCCTTAGTAGCAACCTTGAGATGTTTACTTATACTTTAGTTTATAGATGTGATAAGAAATTATCCCACTACTGATCTGATTAGTTGTCAAATGGAGAAAATAAATGATTTAACTGGAACAGTATATACATATAGCATTTCAGACGACCTTAGACACCTGGAACCCTACTAAACATAGCCAGAGGGTAAGTAGTCAGTCATCTAATCATTTCCTAAATATTTCTGAAAAACTTCTATTTATTACTACTGATTAGCTAAACTGTTTCTCAATGTTCTTAGGACCCGTTAGGGTTTTCCCCCCAAGAATATCCATTTAGTTCCCTAATTCAACTATCACTTTACAAACATTATTCACTTAACATTATATCATTGTAATTGTTCCTTCTTTTTTTTTTGTTGTTGTTGTTGTTTGGTCTTCTTTATAGGCAAATGATGAATTAACTAAATTAGAAGTTAGTTTAAAAACGACTACACGTAATCAACAAAAATCTATAGATAAATTAAAAAATATGGAAAATGAAGCAGAATTATTAAAAACAAAATTAATAGATATTGATAATAAATTAAAACAATTAGAAAATGATGCACGTACTTGTATGTTAGATTATCAAAATATTCAAAATGAAGTAAGTAATCATTAATATTGTTACTATGGTTACTAATAATGATAATAATATGCGTGTGTGTGTGTGTGTTGGGTGTTATGTTTTTAACTTTATAGTTGACACTGAAATTCATAGTTGAAGAATTTCAATGATCTAAATGGTTTATAATTGTTTCTATGGGGTCAGAAGGTAATTTTTGTACTAGAAGAATTATGAAGTAGCATGAGTGAAGAGTTAAAGAAAAGAGAAGAGCAAAAGAGGGTGGGTTGTGACAACACAACAAGCGCTTATACAAAATGTATTTACATGTATTAGAGAATGTAATTGACAATGATCAGAAATAACACAAGTGTTAGATGAAGATAAATTGGAAATTGAAACTAGAAGCAAATGTTTTAACTCGCTACAGATCACAATTACGAACTCCTTCCTGTCTCTCACTCTACTGGACTAGAAATAGGAGTATTCAAAACACTGAATTAATACTAGTGTGTTTGGCTTATGTTGTGTACACCATCCGTATGCCTATCGTGTTGTATACATAATCTACCTAATTCCATATATCAAAATTTGGTAAATTCAATACACCGTGGAACTTGATTATCCTAGATCCAGCTTAAAATTAATTACACAACTGTTTCATTAAAATAAGAAAGTTAGTTTCTCTTTTATTTAAATGTGATTTTAGTGACTTACTCTGCGGTCAGCAAAAGATCCTGATCGACCTAGATTTCGTGCTAGTTGAGGCTCGCCAACAAGTTGTACTTGTAATTTGGAGGGGATTGATACTCTTTGTATGATTCGAATTGGTATCAGTAAACAAACTAAGATTTTGACAAAATAAAATAAAACTGATTAATTGCTGAGTAATGATGAATGTCATGTTTGATTAGTCTTTCAGTGATTGATAGATTACGACCAATCTAAAAGATTAGACAAGCATAATATTGGTCACTATTTAGTAATCACTCAAATACACTTGTCTAACCTGTTTAAATTTGTTTATTTATTTGAACACAAAAACATTGATGCGAGTAGGCATCAAATACATATGCGACACACAATAACAATAAGTTCATTAGCAGTTATCATTAATTGGTATGAGGGCTGTAATACTGACCGGATGCCCAAACCGGAATAGATGGTTTTCTTAGGGGGCCACACCCCGAGCCTTCAACCTAAAGGTCTTATCCACAAGGCAGCGGTACAACGTCAAGAGATGCAGTCCCATGGTAGCCCGTGACCAACAATTGGTTCATACACCAATTGTTCAATCAGGATCTTGGAGCCCATGTTCATCATTGATTTGGAACCAAGGTTTTCTAACTCCCTTAAGTGGATCCTTTATATTCACCAACTCGGTTAAAGCGTTGAGGATTCGCTTTTCTTCCTATCAATTTCGTAAACAACACCCCTGGTGCGATAACGGAATGAGTAGGACTTCGTTGGCAGTGGTTGTATACGCGTGGTCATATGAGAGCATTTGGAGTGAGTGAGCTGACTCTCTCCACCTTCGATCGCAACAAGGCATTTGAGGCTAACCTGTTTAAAAGCCTAGTTTATTTACTCATTCCCATTTAAGAGAGATATCAAGTATAATTGACAGAAGTTTTGCCGATTACCTGCAAAAGTTAGGCGAATATATTCACCAATCGTTTCAATGGATTTTTCAAAATGATTAGGACAATAGAGTCCGTCAGTCGATTTATAAGCAACGTAGTACTTGACATCTCTATTCAAGTTGCTGTAGCACCTTATTTATTGTTATTATTAGGTTGAAGAATTACAAAAACTTAAAGAAAAATGTCAAACTGAATTAACTGAAGCAGAAAATACTTTGGCAACGGTACAAAAGGCTGAAAATTCATCTCGTCGTTTAATTACTCAATTCGAAAGTGAATTGGCTCAAGCTACAACCAATGCTCGTCATTGGGAACGTGAACTTAGAGGTCTTCGATTACATCGTATTGACGATGATAATGAAGAAGAAGAAGAAAAAGGAAAAGAGGGATTAGATGTTGTAATAGGAGAGGAAAATGTAACAGTATCATCAATTTCTCAAGATGTTTCTCAATCGATTGTTAGAGATTCACTAGTTCATTTGAATAATGAAAAATCACCAACTTTACAACTAAATGAACAACGAATCGATAGAAAAGCTGATCGTGAAACTAAGAATCTTCCGAAATTCACAGATGAGGAATTGCAAAGTAAATAATGATTGATTTAATTCGAGTTAGTGGTCTAGTACTACTCTTCACTGTCCTTAAAATTGATTAATTCACCATGTTGTATATTCACAGTTAATTTATAGTCTTGGTAGATTCCCTTTCTGCAGTGAGTTTGTTTTCACTATGTGCGACAGCTCTCCATATTTCTAGTACATTTTAGGATCTAAGGGGGTTGGAGATAGTTGATTTGGGTTTCGTGACATTTTGCACTTGTCAGCGAGGTGTATCCATGGTCTTGAGGCGAATGATACTCTTTATGGGATTTGATCCCATATCGCTTATTTTCACAGTCTCATACGTTACCACCTAGTTATTCGAGCCGCAATCGATTGCCTGTATGACTGATAAATATACAATTGACTCGTAACTAAGTGGTAATTAGCGTCATTTCATGACTGCCAACTACCACGAAGTCTAGGTTAATACAAAGGGTTACCTTCCAGCTAACATCTCAACATAATACATGCTTTGTCTAGTAAATTAGACTAGTGATCACAGTTCGAGTTCATCTATAGAATTCGGTCATCAGCAAAGTAATCAGACAAGCGTGAAATTAGTTACACTACTCAGTTAGTGACCAATCAATTACACTTAATAAGATGCATTTCATAAATTGGAACATAATGTAATACACACTCATTTCGATTTTTTATTGAGAATAAATTCATTTTGTGACACCTTGTTTCCCAAGTTTCTCCATGTGGTTCATGCTATTCAAATTTTAAATTGTTGTCTCCTCTTCATTGGATGACATCATTAAAATGGTTCTGAAATGAAGCACGTGACGGTGGTATGACGCATCATAAGCTACACAAACAGAACATATTCACAGATTGAACTCATGAGTCAGTTGAAGCTAGATCACCATTGAAAACCTGGAAGCACTGGATGGCCGTTTCATCCTAGGATGGTGGTCTAGCTTCAACTGACTCATGAGTTCAATCTGTAAAATTTCTAAAATCTCCACAAAACCCATTCTGAGAACATATTCAATTGACTATCAACTCAGAGAAAATCAATCGTTCTCATGTTAAACTAGATAACCCTTGATTTCTTAAGTGTTGCCATATTTTGTTGGCTTTAAGACTCTATATTATCTGTCTATTCGGAATAAACAATTTCTTGTATCAATACAATGGTTCGAACTCGTTCACTATTTATGATACTTTAGATCCTTAGTTTTGAAATTATTTTATACCTTTCATTCAGTAAATTCATACTTTCTCCTCGATACATTGTGTATACCTAATCTTTGCTACTAATATTAATACTACTACTAGTTTCACTACTCTGGCTTTCATTTTCATAGTTTTGTCTCACTGTTCCGATAGTTTGATGCGGAAACATGTACCGTTGTACTTGTCCCAGGTTCTACATTGCGTATGACTGACTAACTGATCAGTACGAAATATATCATAAGCATATACGCTTTGTCGGAGAAACTTATTCATGAGGCATAGGCTATCGATGAGAGATCTCTATGCTTCTTTATCTTGGGTTCTAGTTTCCAGTTGTTGCCAAGTGGGACTCCGAGTCTTAATGTCTACCTTCAATTTCCAGTGCCATATGTTCTTTAATCTACCTATTCCTTTTCCCTTAAGGATTCCAAGTAAGGTCTCGCCCTGTGATGCAGTTTAATGATTTCTGTAAACAATCCACCTGAAACGTCTTTTCATGAGTTCCCTTTCAGTTTGAAAGCTGGTTTGTTTTCTCGCAGAGGTAAATTATTCCTGACGGTCTCTGATCAATGTTTCTGGAGTATTTTGTGTAGACAACTGTTTATAAATACCTATACTTTTTCGACGATGACTGTGGTAGTTTGTTTCGTATTCTAGATATTCTTCAACTGTAGGAATGTTGGTTTTGCTTCATTAATTCGTGCATCAGACTGTACCTATTTATCAACAACGTTGACCAGGTACGTAAACGTTTTCACCACTTCGTGATCTTCGCCATCTATCGTCTGTGATCTGATTGCTGATCTTTGTTCTGTTTTCCCTTGTGTAAGTCTAGGCTTATTTCTACGCTGACTGTCTTCATCTGAACTCGTCTCTGAATAAGTTAGCAGGGTTAAGCCATCTGTGAAGTCCAAATCATCCCGTTGCATCTAAGACATATATTACATTTTCCTAGATGTAGGGACTTTCGTAATCCAGTTAACAGTTAACCGACAGAGAAAAAAGAATGGTAACCTTGTTCGACAACAGTCTTCACTTGGAACCCATCTGTGAACTGCCCTTTGTGCAAGACTTTGCAGTTTAGTTCCTCTTAGAAGTTCGGAATAGTGTTGACGATCTTCTCTGGTAATTTGTAGTGTCAAAAACGTTTTCTATTTTATTTCATTATCAAAGAAGTTTATGTATAGTGATGAGTTCCATTCAGTTGACTGTTCAACAATGATCCATAGTATCGCAAATCGTTTGGCACACGATCATGGAATTAATTGTATGGAACAGCTGTGCAGCTTTATTATTACTATTATTAAAAAAAGGAATCTTCATTCATATTATCATTGATCTCTTTTTCTTTTGTTTCTAAATTTGTAGATCTTCATGCTGATCTAAATGAAATGAAACACTTGGAAGAGCGTATAAATGCAATGGCACCTAATATGGCCTCTATAGAAGAATATCGTCGTAAAGCAGAAAATTATTTAACACGTGTCAGTGAATTAAATCGTATCACTAATATATTAGGTGAACAACGTAAACATATGGAAGATGCTAAATCAAAAAGATTAAGTGAATTTCTTGATGGTTTTCATGCTATTACAAATAAATTAAAAGAAATGTATCAAATGATTACACAAGGTTCGTGTTCTTTTGTTATTGTTGTTGTTGTTAATGAATTGCATTGGTTGTGTTTCATTCAACTACATATTTTCTAATAAAATCACAAACCAATCCAAGTTATAAAACCATTAAAAACCTGGAAGGCCGTTTTTTCTTGTTATTGAACCACTCAATCGTGAGAACCGACGGCTCCGCAACCCAGAATCAATCTCATGACCAACCGTGTTGTAGTTGGATCTTTAACTTCAAGACCACTGAGCCAAAATCCTGTGGTGTCCAAGTCTAGATTCAATGACCATATTCTATGTTTTGTCGCTACAAAACTGTGACAGACATTTTTGAAAGAAAAACAAGCAGAGATCTCATTAATCCGAAGATAGTTACAATTTCTAATTGATTGTTCTGTTCTTTTAGACGCTGGAACTAATATGTCTATCACAGTGTAAGGTAAACTTTGAAATTATAACCACGTAAACTGAATCAGTGGTCTAAATGATCATGAGATCTGATGATCCCGGATCCTAATCTTTAGTGAGATCACCGAGTGATACACTGCTGAAAAGTTAACGCATTCAATATTCATCCACAAAGCCTCATTCCACCTGCTCTGATTTAGGCGACCGAATAATGTCACTAAGCCAGGTGGTTATATTGCCTTATTTCTAACGAGTATCATTTCATCTTTGATTCTTGATCAAATTACACTGGATAGAACAGTTTTTCAAATATCATCTGGTTCAGATTCCTAGACACGCAGCTTATGATGATACTTTATCAGTATTTTGTACAGTTCATACTGCATAGTTTTTCTAAGTTCGACCTCGTCATCAAACTAGATTTTATTATATCCTGAGAGATAAGTTAATTTTTTAGTGAGATTTTGTGACATGATCATTACTAGGAGTTGCTATCTGTATATTGGAAATTGCACAGTTACCACCCAGCACTGAGCTATTATCCATATTTATTCAAACATCAACAGTAACCACAATATATATTAGTTGTTTATCACCAAGTTTGTTGTGTTTTCTTTATGAAATCCTTAATTAAGTATTTAACTAATTGTAACACTGATTAATTATGTAATCTCGAAGGAACTGATGCTCCCTGGGGGATAATACTCAGTAATTGACCAACTGTAAATATATCTCATTCTTACATGAGTTCAACCGAGGATCAAACAGCTCATTGGTATCATTCCTGACTATGAATCTTACTACCATGGAATCGAATCCTCCACAAAGCATCAGTTTCTTCAAGATTACAGGCACATCTTGCTGAACAGTGATAAATGGCATATAATCTAGATTAAACAAAGTTACCTGTAAACTACCTTTACTCATCCCTGACTTACATCTCAATACAACGCACTCATATCAACAATAATCACATTTGTTTTAATTTTGTTTATAAAATTTCTTAATTATATAATTTCTTTTAATTCATAATAAAATAATATAGGTGGAGATGCTGAATTAGAATTAATTGATTCACTTGATCCATTCACTGAAGGTATTGTATTTAGTGTACGTCCACCTAAAAAATCTTGGAAAAATATTGCTAATTTATCTGGTGGTGAAAAAACATTATCTAGTTTAGCATTAGTATTTGCATTACATCATTATAAACCAACACCATTATATGTAATGGATGAAATTGATGCAGCATTAGATTTTAAAAATGTTTCAATTATTGGTAATTATCTTAAACAACGTACTAAAAATGCACAATTTATTGTAATTTCATTAAGAAATAATATGTTTGAATTATCCGATAGATTAATTGGTATATATAAAACATATAATATAACAAAAACAATTACATTAGATCCATCACCATTAATAAAACATTTACATAATTTAGTTATACGTGTAGCTACAGCACATGGTCATGAAAAAGATTTATCATTGTTACCATCACAACAACAACAACAACTAAAACAAATATCATCATCATCACCACCACCACCACCATCCTCACAACAACCACAACCACAACAACAAACAATGATGATTATGAATTCACCAATGAATACAAATTGTTTAACACCAGTCAAATCAATAAACTATTCAAAAGTAACTAATTTAGAAAATCATGATACTGTTTTATTAAAATCAAATATTACAGAGATTATTCTAGTTAATGATAATGATGATGATAAAGAAGAAGATAATGATATGGATATGCAAACAAGAAAGATAACAATAAATAAAGAAATTGATAAACGGAAAACATTGTTTACAGTAAGTTTGTTTTTCTTTTGTGTGTGTGTGTATGTATGTAGATACCTGGAGCCCCTTTGGGGATATTGCCAGTTCCAAGCCCGAATAAAGGAGGACGTTTGGGCATCATGGGGTTAGCAACCCCCCATCCCTTAAAAAACGCCAACCAGAAAAAAATTTTTATAGATGAAGACAAAAATCAATTGATTTCTACTTGAACTCTGTACTGTTGATATCATTCAGAAGAATGATGAATGTTCCATGTTGTGACTTTAAGTTGTGGTTGATTTTTACCCTGTGCTAATTGTTGTGTCCTTGACTGAAAAACTAGAGAGTAGCGTATTTATCGACCGATTCAATGACACGTAAACACGTACGAACGTAATGGACGACCTAGAGTTACGATTGGTCCCAATTCCCTGTCTATCCCAGCCAGTTGAGTCCAGAACACAAATCTCAGCCTCTGAGTTATGAATCACTGCATTTCAGACATACTCTATTTATATACTAACCAAACATACCACATCGTACCATAAAAATAGAAAACAACATTTTGTACAATATTCAACAAGTGGACAGATATCGACCAGTAGGAAATGTCCATTTAAAGTCCAAGGATACCATTGGACTTAACATGATAATTATTGGTCGATCCTTTCGCATCCACAACACTCCATGATCAGACTATTCAGCTGAAAAAATAAAACTTCATCAAAATAATTGATTAAATTGTCATAGATATTGGAAGAGTTCTATTCATATTGATGAATCGTATATTACTTATTTCAGTTAGTAATCAGTTGTAAATAACATAGAACATGTCAGATATGTTCATCGCTTGAAATTCTCATACTACATATTATGACAGCTAGATAACAACGTAGTAGGAAGTAGTATTTGCAATAGTGATACTGGTAAGTATAAGATCATAGAACATCAGAATTAAAATAAAGAGTGAAAGTATCTATGTTATTGTAATTGATTCTGAGGTTACCTCAACTTACAAAGATAACTGATATCGCAAAATTGATTATGTAGAGTAGAAGTGACCAAATCAAAATATGATATTTGTTCCAGTCTGTCAGTTACAACGTAGAACCAGGCATACCTCATTAGCACAGCAAGATGAACAATGAATTCATAGAAATGGTTAATTCAATGGTGGTCATATATACTAGATCTCATTTCATACTAGCCGAACAGTTTTCATCAGAAGGGTCTATTAAACTCTTCAAATTACAATTACGTTTCCTCAGCGACGGTCTTTATGCTCTTCAGCTTTCTAATCGGTGACTATACTATCTTATTTAATGAAACAATCAATGTATCATTCAGAATCATTATTTTTCTTTGCTAAGTTATCGGGTCTAAAATTCGGGTGAAGATATATTTCTTGTTTGAATTTCTGATCAAGTATTACCTCAGGTAGTGGTTCAGAATCACCTTCGCTTTCACTTCATCTGTGATGTCAGTCAGCCAGCTACAACGTAGGACCAGGCACATATATGCATCGGTCCAAGTTGTCATACCTCATCAGCACAAGATGAACACCACGTTGATAAAAGCAGTTACTTCAATGGTAATAATATATAAAAGAATGATTGTTTATTAGAATATGATAAAGGAATAAGATAAATTCGTAGAAAGAAAGGTGTAAAGTGATTTTAATCTCATAGTTTAAGGAAAGACACAGAGTGTATACACCTACGCCATTGTGACCGATTCTGAACCATGTCACACAGAGTCTACAACTATTGGTTACGATAGTCGTATGGACCCCAACCAAGTAGTCTGCATCTACCAACACTGCTGAGACTAGAAGTTAGTCACTTCAATGACTGATGCCACGTTTTGGTTTGGTAGTTATAAACTATCTGGTTCATGTGATAACCGGTATCAGTGTTTAAAAACTTTGGTTTTCATTTCTTAGAATCATTGACAATAGCGCACATATATTCACTCTTCATTTTCTTCTCCATTTCTTTAATTTCCAGTATTCTATTTTCTCCTTTCAAAACATATTTTTCATGCTTAGTCATTTCCATTATCACTGCTACTAACATTACTCCGATGTTATTTACCATATATCTTGTTAATTTCATCTCAAGCTAACGAGTTTCGCAACTTTCGCCAAAACATATTTGTGTTATACTCTACGTTGTTTGATGTCTGCTAATATACCGTGGTAACTTGAATTGATACACATATGTGCCAATTTCTACACTGCATATGACTTACTGATTGAGGCATGTCACCCAACAACTTTAACCTAATGATATTGATAACGATAATCGCACATACAGTCAGTCTATATTTATTTCCAACACAGTTCAGTGACCTCATGAACCTACGAAGATCCTATCATGGTTTAACCTCTTCTAGTTAGTGAGTTCTATTTCATCCCCCAAATGCCCCGGTACGGTCAAGGGGAGGAGAGTTCACTGTGCCTTTTGAAATGCTCTCACGTGGCCACGCGTATACAGCCTCTGTCAGGGAAGTCCTACTCCCTGCCTTCTCGCACCAGGAGTGTTGTTTACGAAAATGAGAGGACGAAAAGCGAATGTTTGGTGCTTTAACCGGGTCGGTGGACACGGAAAGATCACCTAGGGTAGTTGTAAAACCTTGATTACAACCCAATAAAGCACATGGTCTCCAGGACCACGCAGGAAAAAATGGTGTATGAATCAGTTGTTGATCACCGGTTACCGTGGGACTGCATCTCCTTACGTTGCTCCACTGTCTTGTCACCTGTTTCAGTTTGAGCACCCGGTCACTACCCCAGCTCTTAGACAAATCAATTGACTTGTGTGACGCATATAGTTCATTCGATACCCCTTTTATACCAATATTTATGTATTTAAATAAATAAATAATATACAACCAACGAAATGTATTACACTTCATAATATTTAATAATTATTCTTTATCGTTTCATTTTTGTTCTTTTCAGAATCAGACTAATGATAATAACACTGAGTCTGCTATGGAATGTTGAATGCGATGAGGTTTGGAGTGTATATTATAAAAGTGTAATAGATGAATAAAACATTAACAATGATGATAATATTAACATTGTATATATTTTATTTTGTGTATAAGATTTATGTCTGTTTTTTTTTCTTGCATTTATATCTATGGTATTTATTATTCATATATGTATATAGATAAATATATGAATTTCTGTTTAAGTTCCCTGATGTTTTCTTCGGAAAGGAGGAATGTACGTTTATGTAACAACCAGTGAAGTTTATGTTCATATTCTTTGCCTTAAAACACATTGAATCTTAATGACACCAAAGCAGTGAAATTTGAGATTGACGACAAAACAAAATCTTATAGTTAACATTGGTGATCACTCACATGTTACTAATAACAATGTCGTATCATTGATGGTGTACGAAGATAAGTAACTAGATAATTTGATTAGTTTTATGCTATAAAACAATTATCTACTTATAAGCATAGAGGGTTTATGGGCATTGTTGAATTTCATAGTTTATGACAGGGAATGAGAATCAGGAAGCGTCGGAAACCTATGCATGTGAAATTAGTATATAAATGAGTGAACTAACAGTCTGATACCGAAGTCGAGTCCGTTCAACTTCCCAGGTTAAACTGAAATGCCGACACAAAACTAACCAGATGAATAGTAATAGAGATCGAAATCATGTAGTAGTAGTAGTGTGGTGTGAGCTACTTATATTGACATAAGTAGTATATAACGTGCGTTAGAAGGATGTAATGTCTGGCAGCAGAAAATGGAGAAGAGCAAGAACACAATGGAATTTGTAAGAAATCGCATGAACAATGAAATGGGAGACAATGGATTAGTGTTTGCAACTTGAAGAGTACAGTTTGATATGATGCATTGATAATTTGCAAATTGACGATTGACTTTATGGTATTCAGATTTTGTTGAGATAGTCTGTAATTTTCGTGCAAAATACACTCGATTGTCCCCACCCATGCTCTTGTTCACTACAGTAGTAGTAGTAGCAATGATAATAAAGAAGATTGAATATTGAGAATATGATTCAATAAGATGAAATGAAAAGAATATTGAAACTGAAGATCTAAAGAAAGAGTGATTGAATCTACGCAACCATAATCGATTTTAAAGCACATCCATTCGCGATTGATATCATAGTTTGTCATGAATTCACTAATGGATAACTTCAATAGCTCAATTAAAGGATTACAGACAATATGAGTGTTTTGATAAGCTAAAAAGAAGCATTACGTACAAGCTTGACAACATGGATCATGAAATATGTGACGACATTAGACATTGAATAGTTAATTATCCATCTGAATATACTACTTAATTGATGAAATAGACAAAATGTGTATAATCCAAATATGATTATATCAATCCAATTCATATTTATCAGAATACCGGCTAAAACACATTGAAGATTTTCAATTATTATCATTAAATAACAAATCTGTGAACTACTACTAACAAGTTATTTGAGTATCTAGTAAGATATTGAGTTGATATACGAATTCAATGGTATAGAGAAACCTTATCCATATGGCCAAGTAACAATTTCACAATCTAATGTTTGATTTTTTTATCAAAATGTGAAAACAAACATTGGAAAACTCAACATCAATCATCAGGAAAAAAGCACATTAACAAAACCTTCACTCAACAACAAGTTAGTCAAGTTGACTGTTTATCCTACTAGAAGAAGAACGGTACAGGAAGATATGAAACTTTGTGAATTGATTGAAGATTGAGGTTTTGGTGGTTCAAACATTTACAGTGAGACCAAAGTGGATGAGCATGGATTGAGGAGTCCTATACTAAGAACAAAACAGCTTTCCACTGATTACATTTTTTAAGCGCTGTCTAATTTAAGTCGGTTCGTGGTATTATCAATCATCACCACAAACTCCCTGTATAGATAGACAATTAGAAAATTGGATTTCACAAACTATAACGATCAATTGGAGATATTTCCGAATTATTATCTTCTACACTATGCAATTTTGTAATATTAGTAATTAATAAGACACATATGCCAAGTGAAAATTTGTGTAACTGGCTTTGAGTGAAACTATTCCTGTGAAAGTTAATGATATTACCCAGTGGCCTACATCGAAATAGGTGGAATTGGTTGTTAGGAGTATTAGTCCACATGAAATTAACTTGCTAATCTTTTCAAGACACCTCACTAGCTCCCATTGGTTGAAAAAAGACTCATCTACAAGTACCGACGTGATCCTGACTTAGACATGTAGATTTAAAGACACTATCCTGCTAGGCGTTACAAAATAATTTATTAACAAATCATGTTCTAATTTACATCAACTAACCTAAAACACTTTATTGTTTGAAACGGGACGACCAGCTGGTGAACACCTCAAGGGATCTAGGTTTACTTGATAAGATGTTTTATTTAAAGTTCTTCGTTTAAAATGTCTCACTATATTGTTAACATTGGAGTCAAAAATTTCTATCATGTATGATCGATGTTATGAGCTCCGGTTTACTTATTATGTAGACCACGTCTGTTTGATACATTAATATTATAGAAGCTGGTTGATACTTATCAACTCAAGGCATAATTTAGAAACAAGTTTGTGAACAGTCAGTGCACCTATTAGAAGTTAGTGGTCGGTTCAAGGTCAATGGTGCTGGTCAATTCAGAGACACTAAGCTATACAGTAAATAATAAACCAAATTAAAATCAGGATTTTGATCGGTGATTTGAAACGTGACACTGGTCAGAGATCTACAGGGCATAATATTAAGGGCCTCGAGAAATCAATGAGTTAAAAGATTGTTTCAAATATCGAACCAGTGCGATTCAGAGATTGTGTATCTGGAGACTCAGCAACATTTTCTTATGGTGCTGCTGAAGTAGATATAGTGCTAAATTCGAAAATAGGACAAATAATTCTTGAGTAGATAACAGTAAACAGTCGCTTACAGGTTGCCAGAATAAATGTACGGTTAGAATTCTGAAATTCAGAGATATATGCCGACGTCTATTCGTTGTTTTTGTATACGTCTTCGCTGACTGCAATGCAGATGAAACAAAAACTCAGTTTCATCAAAAGTTTTCTGACCTCTAGAAGGGTAAACATTCAGATGAATTAGTTGTAGCCCGATTAGATATATCAAGAAAACTTGAAATACATGTGGATAAGTCATATCCCATTCCAATCCAGAAGGTAAATAAGTGACCGTCTATTACAACCATATACATAGAAAACCGTTTATGTCCTAACTGCAAAGCATAACTTAATGTATTGTCTAACTTGATATCTATCAATATCATTATATAGTTGAACACAAATAAGTCAAGTTCCTATCAGTCATCACAGAAGCGTTGCGATTGAAAAATTCCGGTTCTCTTAGCGGATATGTCTGTATTACGAATACACGACTATCGTAACCAATGGTTGGAGACAGTGTGACATGGCTCAGAATCCATCACAATGGCGTCATTGTATACACTTTCTATCTTCTCTTTAGTTTAAAGGAGATTAAAATCGCTTCATAACTTTCTTTCTACCAACTAAATCTTTCTTCTTGTACTATATCTTAATATGCAATTTTTCTTCTATATATTACTACCACTGAATGAACTACTTCTATGAATTCGATGTTCATCTTGTTTTGCTAATGAGATATGGCAACTTGGACCTATGCCTATATGCACCTGGTCCGACGTTGTAACTGACTGACTGACAGATAGTAGATATCGGTATTAACATTCAGTTAGTAACTATCTCATTTTAAATGTTTGAGAGAGAGAGAGAGAGAGAGAGAAAATAAAAGAAATAATGGGAACATTTTTTTTTTGAAATGAACAATCTATAATTCATTGAATTATATACAAATCATTAATTTTCTTGGTGGTATTGCTTGTTTTAAACTTTCTAACCAAGTTTTTGTACCGGATAATACAGGACATAATGCTTGAAATACATGTAATGTAGATAAAACATATCGACCTACAATATGTAAATTAATTTCTTTTAATGGTAATCTAGCTGTTCTATAACCATGTTCAATAGCTTGTTGATAACAATAACCTTTTAAATTATTATGATCAATTAAACCACCAATAATATAAATATCATCTTGAGTAAATTGAATAGTCTCATTATTGATTAAATTCGTTTCATATTTGGTATTAAAATGTTCCGGTAAATGATATTCTGATTCAGCGCATAAATAAACAATTTTATCCGCTGAAAATAATTTAGTAAAATCATCCTATAAAAAAAATAAAAGGAAACATTTTGTTTATAATAAACAAAACAGAAAAGATATTGATAATAAACAATATTATCTGTCAATTATGTCTATAGGTTAGGTGTTCGCGTTCAAGACCGAAGGTTCTAGGTTCGAACTCCATATGCAAGATCGTGGATGTGCATACCAGGACAAAATAACAGTTGTGTTTTTCGATGAAGTTTCGTTTGCTGAGCTGAATGGTTTGGTCGTGGAGCTTTCATCGTTGTTCTGAACGACATCATAAGCACAAACTGCCGGAAAAACAACGTAAGCTCCACGACCAAACCATTCAGCTCAGAGAACATAACTCTATCAAAATCATCCAACTGAGCTACAAATCTTTTTCACCATCTCGAAATCATATGAGCGTAGTACACTTCTGGTTGTTAGAAAATGGGAGAATTTCGCCAAAAGGCAGGCTTCTACTCGAGAACAACTGTATTTTCTCCACGACTCTCTTCGCCAGCATGTTCTACTATCAAGTGTAAGATACGAATCTCCAATCAGCTGACCAGTGGGATGGAGAATAGCTGAGCGAAGTGGAAGAAAAATGGTACAACCATTCAGTGTTTCTAGTTTTTCAATGATGGTCTAACATTGGTGGATTCATAATCACACTCAAAAACTTAACAATCTCCACAACCCCATTCTGACTATAACTCATATGTTACTCATTGACCGAGTTACCACCACCTAATTGGAACTTATAGTGATTGAGATGTTGTCAGCGAAATTTATCAAATTTTTGAATATAGATATCCGAATAATGGTATAAGGATCAGATAGTGAACATCCACCACTTCATGACAAAGAATAAAGAAATTTATTATAGATCTAAAACTAGAATTGTGAAATGACGTATTGTAGAATTATTCATTGACTTCAGAAGATCTATATTGGTTCTTTTCAATTGATGATCACTGAGAGATTAATAAATTGTCGTCATTTTTTAAGTAACATAATTCAGAATCGTTTGCAATGGCATAGATGTCTTCAGTACTTTGTCTTTCCTTAGATACCTAAGTTTCTAAATTATCGTATCTAATCCATATTTCTTTTCTTGGAGCATATCTTTTATGTCTAGTCTTTGTTATTACCATTAATATTATCTCTACTACTCGATGATTTGCTCTGACAATTTTATCTCCCTATACGCTATTACGAATGCAGCAACTTACATTGACATACACATATGAAACATCTTAGATTGTGTTTGACTGACTGACTTCTATAATAAAGTGTGTATTTTCTTACACTTTTCATTGTCCTAATATCATTTGTCACTTTCTATGTACAATTTTCATTACAATAGATATTACAAATTCAATGTTTTTGTTTAGTTTACATCAATTGCATTCATTTCACTTCATACGATGCCAACATGAAATAAGGCAATTTATATCGATATGAGTTCGTATAAGGTTATGTAGATACACTAATCTATCACATGTTAGTAACCAAAGTTTTGTTCTACCAGTTAATTCATCCAACGAGACCGATTAGATGAAATGATTCGGGATTATGACATAGTTTGATAAGCTAAAACACTTTTTCCAGTAACTGTACATTTAAGAGAACGAATAATAGATCTCCTCGATATACAGCTCTTTGCAAAAAATATGTTATTAAAATAATTATCGAAGATCAATAAATACTTTCTAATGCTCTTAGGAAGTAGACGTTCTTGTTAGATGGAGAGTCAACAGGGTGGTGATCAATCAATTGTGATTATATTTCAGTCCTACAGGAGATCGGTCGCGGGCCGGATAGCCCAGTGGTAACGTCTCTGACTGTGACGCTGAGTGACACGGGATTGAACCCGTTAGAGAGCATCAGTTTACACAATATTACAGGTACAGTTTACTGACGTGTCCCGAATAGCACGAAACCTAGGTCGTGGGTTTTCAGTCAACTACCTCCAACCACCATCTTATCTCAACATAGTGCACGCAATGTCGAGTCACCTAGATTAGTGACCGCATTACAACATGGTCGATAGCTTTCGATCTGCACTAAGAAGGACTTGACACACATAACATTGATCACCACCTAGTGATCAATCAATTGTAGACGCTATTGTCTCTGTATAGTAGATCGAGCATCCAACCTAAATGTGTTGATGATATCGATTTCATATTGATTTTACGCAACCTAGTTTAATGGATAAAATAATCCCAACATCATAAACCAAAATGTTCGACATCTGGATAAGTTGAGTATACTGTTTAACAACAACACCATACATTAGATTCAAAAAATGTCAATACATTGGATTGACTCCTTTCAAAAGTTCATTCACTGTGTGTAAATTGCTGTTATTTCATCAAAAGATGAACATATGAGGTTAAACTTACATTTGCTTGGAAAAGTGTGGAGATACGCCTGACAAGCTTATTTTGTAAATAGTTTTTAATACTATTTGTATTTATTTTGTCAATCTTTCACTGTCTATATATTTTATCATTAAATGACTGTAACTGTTGTTTTAGTAAATGACTTTGAACTCACTTTCCGTTGTGATACTCACATAGCGTGACATACATTTGGGGTTGTTCTCAAATACACTGCTATGCACACACACACACACACACTCCTTGTTCTACTCTCATTCGTTATTGAGCTAATTGCATCCTAAATCGAATATTATCCACATTTATAGACTGTGAGCTGAGACATATCGCACATAACAGTGGATTACATTATTGGAGAGTTCAACAACCTGTACGGAATTATCGAATATTTATAATTGTGGATTTACAATACCAGACCTAACCAGAATACGCAACTTTTGGTGAATTTAAGTAAAGTCCATATTTTTTATGTTGTATTAATAACTATTAACATTATTATTTATTCTTCATAACTTGGTTAACAGCTTTTCGCGTTCATATTTGTCTGGTCCACCACAATTATTTGGTGAGTCTCGAATTTGTTATAGACATTTACAGGTCGACGCATTATTTATGGCACGAGGCATACGATCACAGGCAACAAAGTATACATATGTAGTCGGCGCACTCCCCATAGAGATTGCTGCTGAGATTGGAGACTTGACTGACCATGTGCCAGAATCAGAACCTTATGATAAAATAAAGGCAGCTGTAATCCAACACACCTCGGTCTCAGACGAGAAAAGACTGCATCAGTTGCTAACGTCTTGCGAATTGCGGGACAAGAAACCCTCGCAGTTACTCCGGCATATGAAACATTTAGCAGGGTCATATAAGGTAGAGGACGCATTACTTATATAGATGTGGTTTTAACGTTTACCACACAACGTCACCCAAATTCTCAGCACATCAGGAACTTCCGTCAATCTCGATCTAGCTGATATGGCAGAGAAGATGATGGAAATTTATCCTGACAGTCGACGCCTAAACACCATACAAACCTTAATCATATCTACTAACAAGTTGTACGCGCTGAGGAAATCGGCTCCGATGATGGGTTGTTTGACGTGAGCTACTATAAAAACCTATGTAACTCGTCTGCGGAGTCCGAGGTCTAACACCAGTGATTGTTGTCCGTATGTTTTGACGATTGAATCGTTAGCCGCTACTAAGGACAGTTTAGTGCTTGTCGTCTGTTGTTGGTACCACACTACATTCGATGAAAAGGTACGTCGTTGCACAAAACCGTGTAATGGCGGCGGCTGTTACTGGCCAACATGTTAGCTATCTCTTCCACAACAGGGATCGCATTTCTGGCTCGGACGTTTTATTCGACACTGGAGCAGAAATCAGCATCATCCCACTCCACCTCTCACGCAGACAACAGACGACAAGCACTAAACTGTCCTTAGTAGCGGCTAACGATTCAATCGTCAAAACATACGGACAACAATCACTGATATTAGACCTCGGACTCCGCAGACGCGTTACATAGGTTTTTATAGCAGCTCACGTAAAACAACAGTTACAGTCATTTAATGATAAAATATATAGACAGTGAAAGATTGACAAAATAAATACAAATAGTATTAAAAACTATATACAAAATAAGCTTGTTAGGCGTATCTCCACAAAAACATCTATAAACTGACTTACCTCACATAAATTCACATCCCAACTGTCACAGTTGCTTAACTTTAATCTATCATATAATCGGGTAGATATACATTTATCTACAGATAACAAATTATCTTTATTGTTGATGTTGGTCTCTGTGGTGTTATTGGAACCTAAGCCGGTGATATAAAGTTGAACTGGATGTTTGGCACGTCTATTGATAGAATAACAATTAGCAACCTAGAGAGTGTAAAAAAAATATGCAAAGTTTAAATTGGCTTCTTGAAGCAAATTCATCACAACAATCCATGAAATAAATGAATATGAAATTAGTAGGTTCCATAGCTTGATTACTTACTTACTTTACTTACTTACTTACTTACTTTACTTACTTACTTACTTACTTATTTACTTACTTACTTACTTACTTACTTACTTACTTACTTACTTACTTACTTACTTACTTACTTACTTACTTACTTACTTACTTACTTACTTACTTACTTACTTACTTACTTACTTACTTACTTACTTACTTACTTACTTACTTACTTACTTACTTACTTACTTACTTACTTACTTACTTACTTACTTACTTACTTACTTACTTACTTACTTACTTACTTACTTACTTACTTACTTACTTACTTACTTACTTACTTACTTACTTACTTACTTACTTACTTACTTACTTACTTACTTACTTACTTACTTACTTACTTACTTACTTACTTACTTACTTACTTACTTACTTACTTACTTACTTACTTACTTACTTACTTACTTACTTACTTACTTACTTACTTACTTACTTACTTACTTACTTACTTACTTACTTACTTACTTACTTACTTACTTACTTACTTACTTACTTACTTACTTACTTACTTACTTACTTACTTACTTACTTACTTACTTACTTACTTACTTACTTACTTACTTACTTACTTACTTACTTACTTACTTACTTACTTACTTACTTACTTACTTACTTACTTACTTACTTACTTACTTACTTACTTACTTACTTACTTACTTACTTACTTACTTACTTACTTACTTACTTACTTACTTACTTACTTACTTACTTACTTACTTACTTACTTACTTACTTACTTACTTACTTACTTACTTACTTACTTACTTACTTACTTACTTACTTACTTACTTACTTATTTACTTACTTACTTACTTACTTACTTACTTACTTACTTACTTACTTACTTACTTACTTACTTACTTACTTACTTACTTACTTACTTACTTACTTACTTACTTACTTACTTACTTACTTACTTACTTACTTACTTACTTACTTACTTACTTACTTACTTACTTACTTACTTACTTACTTACTTACTTACTTACTTACTTACTTACTTACTTACTTACTTACTTACTTACTTACTTACTTACTTACTTACTTACTTACGCCTGTTGTTACGTGTACGACAGAAGATCCAGATCTTTTGCGAAGCCCAGATCCTCCACCTGCATCCTAGCTGTCTACTGCATTTCATCCTTCCCTCCAGATGTTGACGTCCTCATGATTCAATTGATCACTATTGACCGGTCACTAAGTTATAAATTTGAAACCATTACTCTTCTTGCCTTTATGCACTAGAAACTCTTACAGATTAGTCATTAAATTATCTCGAATTAGTAGACTACACCATTATCTAATAACAAGACTTAGATTCTAAAATAAAACCAAACTCTTCAACCCTCACTTGATTTCAGCTATGATATAACTTGGTACTAGTTTATTTTGAAAACTTATAAATAATAAAGAAAAGAAAGAACACTATGGTGAATGCTACTTATGTTAACAGATATAAGTACCATGTAACACTTAGTCAGAAGTAGAATGCATGCCAGTAAAAGATTGAAACGAATAGAAAAAGAAAGGTATATTGAAAGCAATCAAAATAACTAAAGGAATGAAGAAACGATAAAGATTGTAAGAGACAACTGATGGAAGATGTGCAAATGATAGATTGAATGTATGATTATCATATTTTACGAAAGCACTGTAACTTTCTCGTTTACTACAATACTAAAATTAATATGAATGTTATAGATTAAGAGATATAAGGTGTAAAAGATTTTGTGGATGATAAAGAATAAACAAATCTGTACTATCCTATCCTATCCGCCAGGGAGTACCAGTCCCCTCAAGATTACAGCTACACCTTGCTGACGAGTGCCAAGTAGCACGAAACCCGGGTCCAGGGTTTCCTGTTGACTACCTCCAACCACCATCTAAATCTCAATACATAGTGCCCGCTTACCAATGGGATGTTGTTCCACTGCTTTGTGAAGTACACCTATGGTTCAGAGCCTCGGAGAGTGGGACTTCCTAAGGAAATTACCTGATTCGCTGTAGGGGTCTGGCTGGTATCCAAGTCCATGTACAGATATTATAACGATTATCATTAAAGACAATATCTTCACATGTAAATATTAAATAAAATTCTTAAGAATTATTACTATTTGATTGCTTTCCTATTCAGATTTCGTAAAAAAGTTTGTAAACTTGATCGTGGTGAATTCATGTTGGATTATCATCTCCCTCATCTACTGTTAGTATTTCCCTCTGGTACTACTTTACATGATTTAGAATTGTACAAATCTAAATCTCTACTTATTCAAGACAAGGTAACGTTTCATAGATAACTGTTTAAATCATTTTCATATTGTTCAGTGTCAGTTAGTCAGCTACAACGTAGGACCAGGTGCATATATGCATCGGTCCAAGTTGCCATACCTCACCACATTAGCACAACAAGATGGACACCGGATTCATAAAAGTAGTTAATTCAGATGTGGTAATATATAAAAGGAAGATTTTAATAAGGATATAGTACAGGAAGAAAGAATTAGTTCGTATAAAGAAAGATATGAAGCGATTTTAATCTCTTAGTTTAAGGGAAGACAATGAGTGTATATACCTACACCATTGTGATCGATTCTGAGCCATATCACCAAGAGTCTCCAACCATTGGTTACGATAGTTGGAGACAAGATATATCCAAGTGAACTGGAACAACAAACATATGGCGTAAAGAATATAAGAGTATTGAGTATCCTCTCAAACAGTTAGAAACAGGTTAATCAGTATGCTACGACTTGATGTGAACTTAATATTAGTTTATTATTATTATCATTACTATCATTATTATTACGATTATCAATAACAAAGTGATGGGTAATGTATACATATTATCAAATATATAATAATCTATGTATAAAATCTACTTACTTGACTAGCCAATTTACAAATGTCTTTAAATGACATCAAATGATCATATGAACAATCAATGACAACTTTAGTTTGACACAATGATTCTGACATTTTTATACGTTGAATTTTATGTGAAGTAAAACTATCAATTGGAATTGAAAGATTATTTTCTGTCGATATACAAGTATCATTATTCACATCATGAACAACAACACAAGATGATTGTTGTTGTTCCTGCTGTTGCTGTTCCTGTTGCTGCTGTTGTTCCTGCTGCTGCTGTTGTTCCTGCTGCTGCTGTTGTTGTTGTTGTCGAAGTTTACGACGTTCTTTATACGCTTTCCTTGTTACACGTCTTGCCTATTTATATAAGAAAAAATAATTTTTTTTATTTTCTAGATAAATCTAATTATATTTTATAAAAATTACTTCTTTACGCTTTAAATATTGATCCAATTTACGATTTGCTCGTTTTGATGTACTTTCTTCATTAGTTACAGGTATAGTTTCCTGAAACAAAAAAAAATTAGAGAGAAAGATTATATTTAACACTAAATATCAATTAATACACTTTCAAGAAGAAAACGATTTGATGTCCCCTAAATACTTTGGTACGACCGAGAGTGAGGAGAGTCAGCTCTCCTCGAGATGCTCTCACATGGCCACGTGCACACAACCACCAACAGGGAAGTTCTACTCACTGAAGGAACAAATGGTATATGAACCAATCGTTGGTCATCGGTTACCATGGGATGGCATCTCCTGACGTTGCTCCACTGCCTTGTTGGTTAGACCTTTAGATCAAAGGCTCTAAGTGTGACCCTTAAAACAACCACATGCTTTGGTGTCGGCACCTAGCCTCATACAAATCGAATGATTTATGTGACGCATATCTATTTGGTGCCTCCTTGTATCAATGTTTATTCGTTTAAGTAAAAAAAATGAATAGAAAACGTTGACCTCAAAAATAGAACGTTACTTTGTTACATAGATTTCCGTAGCTGGCAGTAAAGTCGGATAAGTATGGAGTGTGTGCGACTGACCTCAAGTATTTATCTCTGGAGCACTGTGACTACACTCTTAAATCATCAAAACCAATCATCCACTAACTCAGTTTCCTTTTCAGGTTCCTCAGAAAAAAGTATACATCGATGGACTGACTAATCGGGAAGTGATATATCATGCTTAGTGTTGACTACTCATTAAATATATACAAACTAAGGGTTTACTGAACAATTGCACTTAAGATATTATTAAAATCCTAACAGAAGTCTCTTCAACAAACGATTCTATTATAATGAATTCTTCAGTAATGAATCGATAGCAGATCTAATATCAAGAAAAAGAAATACCATTTCTAGACTATACTTGATGCTACCATGTTCAAGCATCTGATAGAGGATGAGATGATGTAACCAGTGTTATAATAGAAAGAATATTGTAAAAGTTGGAACTGATTGTTTGAATAATTATTAATTATAATTGCATTGTATAATTACTATGTGTATACATTTCAATTCCGTTAATTACAGTTATACGACTTAATATTCTTAATTTATTGACAATCTATAGGTTGCAATTTGTTCTATTTAAAGCCACTTTCAGCTTCTTCATGTATGATGGGTGTGATGTGGTCCAGTATATTTATATGTAGACCACGTCTGTTTGATATCTATTAACATGATAGAAGCTGGTTGATACTTATCAACTCAAGGCATAACTTAGAAACAAGCTTGTGAACAGTCGGTGCACCTATCAGAAATTAGTGATCAGTTCAAGGTCAATAGCGCTGGTTGGGTGGGTAAATTATCAAGTCAGAGACACTAAGCTATATCATAAATAATAAATCAAATTATAATCAGGATTTTGATCAGTGATTTTGAACGTGACACTGGTCGGAGATCATCTACAGGACATAACAATCAGAGCTCTCATGTAAATATATTATACAGTGGCCAGGAATCGAAGCACATCTGGGAATAGATGTATCCATCCCGAAAACAGAATATAGTTTATATAAATATTAAACATTGACAGATATGTAATAGTAGTAACAAGAAAAATATCTGCTAAATATTTAAAATAAAATAAAAAACCATTTACCGATTCCACATTCTCAAGATGTTCTGTATTCATTATTATCAACGACACTTTCAATAGAGAAGAGATCAAATCGCCTAAAAACAAAGTCATATATAATGGTATATGTAAAACTCGTAACAATCATGCAACATTCATAATTATTGACAATATTCAATAGGAACTATTTAGTTGAGGGTTACAATGTTTTTTTTCAAATTTTTAATCATTATTTTTTCCACTGACTGAATTCATGAGTCAATTGAAGCTAAACTACCATGGAAAACCTGGAAGCACTGGATGGCCGTTTCGTCCTAGTATGGGACTCCTCAGCAGTGCGCATCCACGATCTCGTCTCGCGAGATTCGAATCCAGGACTTATCAGTCTCGCGCGTGAACGCCTGACTATTAGACCACTGAGCTTTCCGGCATCCAACGGTGTTAGTGTCTAACTTCAATCAATCTACGAAATCGCGCCACCGTACACCATTGCCTTCAGTAAGTTGATATCTCACAACAGACCTGGTTAAACTCCACTGGTAACGGCTACACACTAGAACTCCAGGAGTATCTCTTGAAGTCAGTCACTAGTGAGCAGATGATTATTATCAAAATGATAAAACAAAATCAACATTGTACATGTTTTTTTAGCTATCTACTAATAATAGATGCTCTAGAAGAGCGTGGTTTACGCTTGATAGAATTTTGTAAGGGATGTTTATTTATTTATTTGAACGTATAGACATTGGTACAAAGGGGCACCGATTATATATGCTCCATACAAGTCGTGATTTGTGTGTGGGATGTGATACTGCTCGAGTGCACAAACCGAAACAGGTGGTTTTCTTAAGGACCACTCCCCGAGCCTTCGACCTAAAGGTCTAATCCACAAGGCAGTGGAGCAACGTGAGGAGATGCAGTCACATGGTAGCCGGTGTCCAGCAAATGATTCACATACCATCTATTTCATCAAGATACTGAAGCCTATGTGCACCATTAGTTTGGAACCACGAATTTTCAAACTCTCATAGGTGAACCCTCTGTGTCCACCAACCCAAATAAAGCTCTGAACAATAACTTTTCGTCCTCTCAACTTCGTAAACAGCAGTGGCTGTAAACGCGTGGTCATGTGAGAGCATTTGGAGAGAGAGAGCTGACTCTCTCCACCCTCGGCCATACCAGGGCATTTGGGGGCTGGTTGAATATACTGATATAACGACATTAATGTAAACAAGCACTTAATAATACATTATTCTATAAGCACTTATAACCAGTTAAAAATATACAATTTCAAGATGATGCACAAGGCAGGGAATGATCATTACAAATTCAGTAGCTTAAAAGTAACGTACACCGGCAACACAAAATAAGAGTAGCGAGCTTTAAAACAGAAACACGAAGATAGAAGGTTTGAAATCATAATGAAATAATCATTCTTTAATCTTTTTAGATGCCAAAATGATATGCTTTATAATTGAGAGCTTAAAAAATCAACTTTTTAACGTACCTCCTAGTAGTCCCCAGTAATTACTACCACTACACACCGAGTAAGAAACAAAAGGTAGAAGGTGCGAGAATTTTAATAGTGGAACTGAAGTATAAGGATGACCTTGAATGGTTTCAAATATGACATTACGAGATCACTACCATTAATTCGGCTAAAAATAAGGTTAGGAATAAGTGTTGGGAATTACGATCAGAGGTTAGGATAAAAATGACATCAGCTATAGTGAATGAATCTTTTGTAACCTTTCATAAGTGAATGAGTTTCACAGACAAATTCCACAGGCACTAATATGAAATCTAATTAGTTCGTATCTCATACTTCAGTCCCACTGCTTTAAATCCTACGGTTAATTTGTGTATAAAAAACAAGGATATTTACAGCATTGTATAACAGTGAGATTCTAGAAGCTTTTGAAAAGCATACTAAAAGGGTTAACAAAATCAATTAATGTTTAATCCGATTAATAAAAACCCAATCTGTCATCAAATAGGATTCATTCGATTATTTATTTATTTTATTTGAACATATAAATATTGGTACAAGAGGGCACCAAATATATATGCTCCACACAAAACAATGAGAATTTGAAAAGAAGAAAGAAAAAAAAGAAAGGTGAGGAGCGTAAAAAAAGAACAATAACCAAGAGATTGGTGTAAGGTAGTGTAATAATAGTAGTAATAATGGGGGAAACGGAAAGGTACAATCAGAAGAATTAAAACAAAAAACTATATCCCCCCCACAAAAATACACACACACGCATACATACATACAGGGCAAAAACATTTAAAGAATTCAACACACAAAAATATGTAAAAAGTCTGTCTATTTATGTGTTTTTTTCCTTTAATTAAACATACGATTACATCATACCCTCGATTTCTAGTCTAGTTGACCTTTTACTTTTACATATAAATGTTCTTAACAAGTATATGTGTGATCAGATTGTTCGAAATGGATTGAGCTAATATATAATCATCCCATTGCATAAGCAGGTGGCTATCAGTACTCAGTAGCTAAGCGGATAATGCGATGGCGTTTTAAGAAAACGGTACTGAGTTCGAGTCCCAGAGTGAACATCAACTCTGAGATGTAGGTACATCCAGCTGACGAGTACCAAAATAGGACGAAATGAACGTCAAACTGGATTTCACTGCTAGCCACTATCCATCTTTGTGTTAAAAAGCTTGTGATTTCAAGCAATATCGAGACAGTTCGCACAGCATGCACATATGCCAAGAAGAGACTAATAAATTACAGTCTTAAATAACAATAGGAAGATGCAAGTAAACCACACCAAATGAATATCATCACATAGTTTTCAGATCATCTTTGTTTTCTTATTATACCATCGAAATTTATCAAATGGACCGATTGCTTTAAATTATCAATATCAATTCAAGATGAGGAGTTCCATACTAGAACGAAACGGCCGTCCAGTGCTTCCAGGTTTTTCATGGTGATCTAGCTTCAATTGACTCATGATTTCAATTTGTGAAATGAAGATATTAACACAGAAACAGAAAAACTATACCAACACCACCCCACACACCCCTCAAAAAAAATACACACACACACATACATGCACACAAAAATATATGAAAAGTTTTGTCTATTTATATGTTCTTTTCTTTTCTTTAATTAAACATTATAAGATTACAACATCATAGTCATAGTTACTACTAATTTACAAAATATAATACAATTTTATGACAGAAATTTAAACACTTAAAGATTAGTTCTACACTTTTTTCGTATTTTAAAAGTAAATAATTCTTGTTTTTCCAAATTAATATTTTCATTATTATTATTATTATTATTATTACAATTAACAACAATGGAAGTTGATGTATTATTATTGGATGTCAACGATGAGTTACCAGGTACACTTAATTCAGTAGTCATAATTGATGATGATGACGGTGGTGGTGGTGGTGGTGGTGGTGAGGAGGAGGAGGAGGATGCAACATTCAGTGAATTATTTGATTTATATTTTATCAATAAAGCAACAAAAAATCCATTTGTTAAATCTTTTTCAGATGAACGTATACATGATTCACATTGATAGATATCAGATAGACCACGATGTTTCCATATTGGTTGATTTATAGAATTAGAAGATGATGGAATATATGGCCAAATTGTTTCTAAGTAAAATTTATTTGATGCATAATCAACAATTTCACGTACAACTGCTTCATTTTCCTAAATAAACATAACCATCCAGCAGCAGCAGCAACAACAACAAGAAACAATGCACAATTAATATCATCAATATTTCAGAAGAAAATCTCTTCAAATAAATTAGAAATGAACTTTATAGGCTTTATAGGTGTTGTGTCCTGATGAGAATATCTCAGAGGCTGAGACTTGTGTTCTGGACTCAACTGGCTGGGCTAGACAGGGAAACGGGACCAATCAGAACTCTAGGTTGTTCTTATGTGTTTTACTGTCATTGATCCGATCGATAGTACGCTGCTGTGAAATCTGCAGTTACAAGACAATAGGTCAATCTGCTCAGGATGAATATATAATCCACAGAAAGTTATTCATTACAGTTTTTAATATCAAGAATGAGAAGACACAAACTGCTACAAATAAAACAGTCAATGGTTTGAGACTACGATGATTTTCAATGACTTTCATAAAAGAGTTGTGGACGGCGTTTTTTTCGTTTTATAAACAGTTTTATTATTGAGTTTGAGTACCTTATTCCCAAAAAAAAGTTGACAAGATTCCCAAGAGGAGATACATTGGGTATACGATGGTACAGCTTAGTCGAGTTAGAAAGAACCTCCCTTACTGGTTGGGAAAGAATCTAACAAAATTGTTTTGTAGCCCCGTTTTATCACTTTTGGTTGATGGCGCGTCATGAAGTAGACCAAACCGTTTAAAGTGACCTAGTAAATACCTTCAAAATTTCTGAATGGATTTTTATTTGATTTTTACACATATTGTAAGTTTCAGGGACTCAAGCCAAGAACTCTAGTTATTGTTTTCAAAATGTTTGTAATACGTATGTCCACTACGTAGACAAACGATGATACTAATTCTTACCACTTTTTTTATTTTCTTCCCTCTTCTTTACAAGCTGCATCCTTAGATTTCCTATTCTCAATTCAGAATTTCGTGCAGATTGACATGTGCTAGGCAACCATTTAGGTGTTAATATATCATGGCACTGCTAACACTACGAATCCAGCATAGAACAGTAACACTTCCTAAACAATTGTGACTACACACTAGTAATCTACCCATATCTTCTCAACATCCATAGATCAAGTTACACTGCCTCAAGGTAAACAGAAATAACTGTCAACCAGTATAAATATTCCCTTAAATTTACCCAAAATGGATATTATGTAAAACACTTGACATTAAAATGTGACTCAATGATCTAACTATTCAATTTTCAAAAACTGGATCTGTAAAGTTGAACTGTGGCGAGCAGTGAAATCCACGATGGGTGTTTCATCCTACTTGGAACACGTTAGCCGGATGTACATGGCACACCCCCCAGTGCTGATATCCATGTTGGAGCTTAAACCCAGTATATTTCCCAGGTACATACAGCTGATGACCCATCAAGTGGATAAAACGCGCATCCACTACTAGTCACAATCCAACTTTACTAAAAAGTATAATCGGAATAATCTGCCCAGCATGCACATATCTTAATAGAAAATGATTAAATGAAGTTCACAATAATATTAACAATGGATTAATTCTAACCCTCATGTATTTAAAACATTGGATGATGTCATTATAAAGTTGTAGAGATTGTTGAGTTTAGTTGAAACCATGAATCGACCATGGTCTCAATGAAATTCATTCGATTATGCGTTAAAAGTAGATCTGTCTAATTTTAATTATACGACAAAAGTTTGACTGATAGTTTAGTACACAAAACTGTATACAAATTGCACAGTTATACATATTTTACCTACGCCTGTTACTCGCAGGGAAGCATAGGCCGCCGACTAGTATTCTTTAGGGGTTACGATTCCTAGCCTTGACCCAGGCGACCCGAGTTCGACCCTCGCCACGGGAGTTTAACTCCGCCTGGAGCCCCTCTGGGGCTATTGCCTGTCTCAAGCGCAGATAACGGAGGAGGGTTGAGCATAGGGTTAGTAACCCCACCCCGTAGAAAACTAACTCGCAAAAAAACGCTAACCAGTCATACATATCTACAATATGATAATAACACAAAATTAGATTATATTAGAAGAATTCTTACTTCAGGGTGTATTGAACAAGTTGAATAGACAACACGTTGAACATTTGGAAACTTTAATGCATGTTTTAATAACATAGCTTGAAGATTCGATAATCGTTTTAAACGAGATGTATATTCTTCATTATATTCATCTGTATAATTATTACTATCTTTATATGTGCATTTTTCATATTGTTCACCACCATCTGGTTGACGAATTGATAAACCAGAACCACTACAAGAAGGATCAAGAAGAATTGATTGAACATTGGAAAATTTTGGATTATATGGATCTATAGATAAGAAATCTGAACAATACGCTTCAACGGATGGTTGTGAACTTTGAATAGATTTTCTATGTTTATTATTTTGTTTATTAGAATTAGACCAATCCATTATTGACAATCGTTCTACTCCATTGACAATTAGATTTTCAGTAAAACGTCGGAATCTAAAGAAAAATTATAACATTTAATCTATCCTAAGAATTGTTTACTAATAAGTCTATAATACGATTTGATTCTAAGGGTTGACAAAGAAAAAAGTACACATTTAATAAACATGATAAAAGACAAATATATGGATCCTTGAAAGGAAATCCAATGGTGTTTGATTAGCATTTTATCTCAACAAATCGAAGCTGATATCTAAGGATTAATCTTTGCTGAATTATGCTCGTGTGAAGAAATCGCTAGGATGACATTTGTGAAAACATTTCGAAATCAATGAAGCAAATGCAATCTATACTCTGTCGAATGTGAGGCAGTTACCCACTGAAGATAATAAACGATGGTCACGCAATGTCGTGAATTGATTGAGACTAGAGATCAACATCGTTGAATGCTAATTCAGTGGTCTAGAGCTTCAGGACTCACAGGCAAGACGGAAGATCCTGGATTTGATTCATGCGTGCAGGGTAGCAGATATGTACTGCTGAGTAGACACGACCAGGGAAGAAATCGCTGTCCAGTGCTTCCAGGTTTTAAGCGGTGATCTAACTTAGATCAGTTCATGATTTCAATGAAATTCAACGATCTCTACAACTCCTCACTGAATCTTGTTCGAGATATCCAGAGTATTCCTCGAAAAAAGTCCACAGAGGCCCTGAAAACTCTGGGAAAAATTTTGTCCAATCAACATTGAATTGAAGTTTCCCAGAAACATCTAGAAAGTGGAGAGTCACGTGTCACACCACCGGCTGGATGATTACCTGTACTGTGATTATGTTTAGTAGGGTTTCAGAACCTTCCAGAAGTCCAAAACCATCTGAAATGCTAAAAATTCAATCGATTTTTTGTACATGAACCAACCTTGAAGTAAAGCGTTCCTTAAACATTTTGCGCCGTTGCTCGCATGTTCAAGTTGTCGAGTAGATTTAGCCGGAAGTTATTAAAAGAGCTTAAAAACCCATTTAAGCATTCAGAAGGTTTATCGCCCTGATTAACATTTGAAATGCTGACATCATGCGATAGTAAATCAAAAACAAAATAGCTGTCCTCAAGTCAATTAATGAACAGATCTTTAAAATTCCCCCATAATAAGTGAACCGAAGGTTACTTCTATTTTTATATAGACTGCAATTATTAGTATTTAATAGCGTAGAAAATAAAAACAGAGAGAGCTAACCTGTTTGGATCACGATCTACAGCGAAAATGGTTGATTTGTTGGACAACATAGAAACTAATTGTAATGTTTTATTTCCTGGAGCAGCACAAGCATCTATAACATCTGAATTTGGATCTGGTTGAAGAATCTCCGGACTGAAACAACTGGCCTTTGAAGAAACAGTTACAAATAACACACTCAGAAAATAATAAGTGAATAGCACAAATAATAAGTAATTTTTGAATACAAATTCAACATGATCATATATGTTCATATTCATTGTTACAGATATATTAAGTTTCTTTATATTCAGTGACTAGTTCACCTTACACCTCCTTCATCAATAGCACAATGACTATAGAATACTAAATCTTGGTGATTCAACAAACTTCTTCTAAATCAAATAATACCTAGTAGATTAACCGCACTCACTATCGTATTCCATTATTAACAATACTAATAACAGAATTTGATTTCTTTTATTTATAACTTCTTGTTTCAAGTACTTCCTAGAATAATAAGAAACATTTGTTCAATAATCTTTAATTACTGTCAAATCATTGATCAATGCTAACCGGTGTTGGAGATGGTTGGAAGAAAGTTAGGGGCGGCCAAACCAAAACGTGGCATCAGTGCTTGAAGTCACTAACTTCTAGTCTGAGCCATGTTGGTAGATGCAGACTAATTGGTTGGGGTCCGTGTGACTATCGTAGCCAATGGTTAGAGACTCTTGGTGACATCGCTCAGAATCGGTCACAATGGCGTTGGTGTATGCATTCTCTGTCTTACCTTAAATTAAGAGATTAAAATCACTTCATATCTTTCTTTCTATGAACTAATTCTTTCTTCCTGCACTATATCCTTATTGCAATCTTTCTTTTATATATTACCACCTCTGAATTAACTACTTTTATGAATCCGGTGTCCATCTTGTTGTGCTAATGTGGTGAGGTATGGCAACTTGGACCGATGCATATATGCACCTGGTCCTACGTTGTAGCTGACTGATTGACATTGAACAATATGAAAATGATTTAAACAGTTATCTATGAAACGTTACCTTGTCTTGAATAAGTAGAGATTTAGATTTGTACAATTCTAAATCATGTAAAGTAGTACCAGAGGGAAATACTAACAGTAGATGAGGGAGATGATAATCCAACATGAATTCACCACGATCAAGTTTACAAACTTTTTTACGAAATCTGAATAGGAAAGCAATCAAATAGTAATAATTCTTGAGAATTTTATTTAATATTTACATGTGAAGATATTGTCTTTAATGATAATCGTTATAATATCTGTACATGGACTTGGATACCAGCCAGACCCCTACAGCGAATCAGGTAATTTCCTTAGGAAGTCCCACTCTCCGAGGCTCTGAACCATAGGTGTACTTCACAAAGCAGTGGAACAACATCCCATTGGTAAGCGATGATCAAAAATATGTTTATATTCCATTTGTTTCCTCAGGATTTTGAAGCTTTTATACACGATTGGTTTGGACTCAGAATTTTTCCCTAGGCGAATTCTTTACATCCAACATATTTGTGCGTTCTATGCTTAGAAAGTAAAAAGCAGACTACCATTTCGAGTAATACTCTATAACCTATTCACTAATTTAAGTAGTATGTTCGTATCATTTTCAGAACATAAATTATTAATGCTTTGCTACAAGACTTACAACTATATTTTCTTTAGTCTGTCATATTCCTTGATAAAATATTTTTCTTGTTTAAAATCGTTTTCTAAGCTCCCGCCTGAGCAATTAGAGCTTGTTATATCCCACATTATTGGTATTCACAAGATCATCTCGGATTCCCTTACGATCTAACGTAAAAGTATTCCCACGATCATTTCATCATCATTATATGAGAACCTGAGTCAGTTAAAACTACTACAAATTTATTAAGTAGTGATTGGGAATATATGTATGGATGAGTATACACAGATTGTTCAATTAGGTTTTAGTCCATAAAGCTTCTTTCTCGCTTAATTCACTTTGAAATGGTTTGAATTATCCCATTCCCAATATGAACGTTATGTGATTAGCAGTGGAATCTAAGGCGAGCATTTCGTCCTATTAGGGACTCGTTAGTCAGATGTATCTAATCTATATCAACTTGTGTCACAAAGGTTATATCGAGGTAATTCACACAAGAAGCCCAGTCAGTCAGTCAGTATCAACGTAGAACTTCGTACGTACGTACGTACATCAGTTCGAGTTGCCACACCACACTAGCACAGAGATGCAGTGGTCAATTCAAATCCCGTAGTGGTAGAGGTAATAAGAGTATAAGCAGACACAAGAAGCCCATATACCAACCAAGACTGATCATTACACCTTAATATCAATAGTCACTTCATCATCATTTATAAGATAACTGTAGTTTAAATACAGAATGAAATGAAACACATATGGAGAAATTCTAACACTTCACTTCTATTTGAAGTTTGTGCTGATGATGTCGTTCAGAAGAACGATGAAAGCTCCACGACCAAACCATCCAGCTCAGAGAACAAAACTCCACCAAAATCATCCACCTGAGCTACAAATCTTCTCCACCATCTCGAAATGAACAACCTGCTCTTATCCTATAACCACATACAAGACAGATATAGAACGTTGAATATCCAAAGAGATTAAACCACAACTGAGTAACGATAGTGATGTCACAGAATAGAAAATAAACACCTGAAATAATAACTATTAAAATAATGAAAAAGAAATTAATCATTTACACATTCTTTATGATTGACTGTTTAAGAGAAAAATATAGAGAGAGAAAGATGTTTACCTTCGATAAGAAGTTTCTGATCGATTATATTCCACATGTTTAAATCCACAAGTTTGAAGCTTTTCAATAACATCAGCTAGTGTAGTTTTCAAGAAATTGACACGAGCATAACATGGAAGTAATCCTGAAAGCAAAATGATATTGTAAATATTACAAACTTAGCATGAATGATTTCATTTAATTTAACGTAAACAAATCAAAAGTTGGAATATATAACCACATATTAAAATAATAACTAAATAAAATTTGAACATTTTCAAGACTTCTATCTTCAAACTAGTTAGCACTGACTGATAAAAGTCGGCAAAGCAGTGGTTTAACAGTTAAGATGTTCAACTTTTAGCTAGTAAGTTTGAGGTTCGAACTCCACTCCACCTACTGTGTTCTGGGCAACCGAGTAGCAGTATTTTTAGCCCTCATACCCAAAGTGTGGCTCATACCGGTAAAGGTCAGGATGTGACAACTAATTTATGTGGTTTAAAATATGACAGTTTGCACTGACGATATTCAAAAGAACAATGAAAGCTCCACAACTAAACCAACCAGCTCAGAAAACGAAACTCCATCAGAATAGCTATCCCTATACTATCCGATTGCCTAAACTAATAATAATTGTGTGTATAAACAAGTGGTTACTTAACAGGTACATGCTCTCTTCGGAATGATTTATCGAGTTCTTGAGGGATGAAACACATATTTTACCTAGGGGCGTCAAACTTTTAAACAAAATTAATATACGATATAACGTCAAGAGGCAACAACAAAGCAACCAAAGCTTTGACATGAGCATTGCATATAAAGATTTTTCGTTTGAAGTATGCTAATGGTAATGCACGGGCACGTGTTACGTATGCCCAACCACCGACTGCCTCGACATGCTATGTTCAGTGGTATAGGAGTAGGTTGGAAGAAAGCTAAGAGCGGCCAGACCAAAACATGACACAAATCCATGAAGTCACTGACAAGTGGACTGGATCATGTTGGTAGGTGTAGACTACCTGGTTGGGGACCACAAGATGATAGCAACCGATGGTTAGAGATCCTGAATGCCATGGCTCAAAATTGTTTGCAATGGCACAGGTACATTCACTCTTTGTGTTCTCCCAAATTCTAATCTTCTGAATTCTTCATGCCCCTTTTTTCCTCTTTCCAAATTTATTTCACGGTATTATACTCCTTGAATAACATCTTCAAGCTCTAATGTTTCCGATTACTGTTTATACTTTTACTACCTCTACCACTACGGGATTTGAATAGACAACTGCATCTCTGTGCTAATGTGGTATGGCAACTCGAACTGATGTATGTACATACGAAGTTCTACGTTGTTACTGACTGACTGAATGGTAATGCACAACTATCTAAACTGTAATTAGTCAAACAAAATTAAAACTATAAATGAAGTTCAATGTTTAAAAAAAAAAGAGTAAATATTAATGACAAACCTTTATTTTCTCTTTGATTTTCAATTTTTGATTTAAATGATTTATCAACTAATTGATAAGCATGACGAAGTTTTTTTACAGCTAAAGAATCTTTAGTTAATTCATGAATTTTTGAAAGTAGAAAATGATGTGATATTTTCTTTTCATTTAATAAATCATAAATTAAAACAATTAAATAACAATGAACACAAGCATGTACATCATTATGATGATTAGAATTGTTTTTTAAAGATAAATGAATCATTTTAGTTGTTGGTTGAAGATTGGCTTTTTTAAGAGTTTGAAGTAATATCCCATAAGAATTAAGAGTTTTTGATGCTAATGCATAAATTTTTCGTAAATTCTACAAATGTACAAAAGTAGCTTATTAATATGAATAAAAAATAGGAGATAAATTTATGATGATGTCTTTACAACAACAAAAAAGTAGACAATATTTACTGAAACTATGTGACAACTATTTTTGTCCCCGAATGCCTTGGCATCGCCGAGAGTGGGAAGAGTTCGCTCTCACTCACCAAATGCTCTCACATGGCCACTGACAGGAAAGTCCCATTCACTCCGTTATTGTACCACGTGTGCTGTTTGCGAAGTTCAAAAGATGAAAAGCAAAAATCAGGCGCTTTAAACTGGTTGATGGACACGGAAAGTTCATCCAGGGGAGTTGGAATACCCTCATTCCAAATCAATGGTGCATATCGGCTCCAATATCCTGAAGGAACAAGTGGCATATGAACCAATCGTTGGTCACTGGCTACCATGGGACTGCATCTCACAAAGTTGCTCCAATGCCTTGTGGATTACACCTTTAGGTCGAAGGCTCGGGGTGTGGTCCCCTAAGAAAACCACCTGCTTCGGTTTGGGCAGCCGGGTAGTATCACAGCCCTCACACAAATCGAATGATTTATGTGATGCATATCTATTTGATGCTTCCTTGTACCAATGTTTATGTGTTTAAATAAATAAATAAACATAAAATCTTTAGAGGACTGTAACCACGCTGAAGCTGTGATACCTGCCTAATGTAAAAGATTACCGACATCATTATAGTTTAAAAACTTACTACTTACCTACTTTCGTTTAGTAGTCAAGTACTATCGCTAATCCTAACATGCAAATAACATCGATTAAAATTAAGTACATATACCAGCGCTTGGCAAATGATTTACATATTTAGTAGGAATTACAATCATCACCGATTATATAGGATCATTTGCATAACGTGCGAATTCGAGAAGTAAAAAGTAATTAGAAATGATGATTCATATGTCTACTATTGGTTCATAGACTTAGAGGTTATCAGTATAAGCCAAATAACATTTACAAAAATTGAAAATCCTGTTATTGAATTACATTAAGGTAAAGCACTAAACCCAGGTGGACTTTCAAGAAACATCAAAGCATGTTTTGGAAAAATTTTCACTTTGATCATATTATCTAATTATAAGATTCCATTTGACTTTGCAGATCAGAATGCCTTATTTTAATAACTAATATGATCAGCAAACTAGATCGATCAACTTTTGTGTATACTACAACAATTAGTATACGACAACATTCACTTCAATCACAAGATAGTAGTTAGCAGTGATATCTATTTGGACTTATTGGTGAAAGGCTAGTGCGAGATTAAAAGTTAAACATTTAACTCGTTTGTGGTGAGATTATATGCTAATAGTAAAAAGATGTTAGATATGTACAACCACAAGGCACTCGATAATTTGTCACTTGGCACTCAGTGAACTCTGGTATGTGAAGTTTAAATAACGTTTCGACTGAGTATGTATTGACTATACTAAGATGAAGCCTTCTTTGATAAAGTTGACGTTTCTTTGATGAAGCATAAATGTGATACCGAAGAGTGACCTGAATACTGTAAAATCCTATGGTATAAATGTCATAGTTATAAATGCAAAGTGACAGTGAAAGGTTGGTGTAATTAGTTTTGCTTGTCTATGGAAAAGTGGAAAGCTGAAGATATCAGTCACCTTATATATTAAAGGTGATAAGTCACTCCGGTGAAGTGGTAAACAATTAAATCTCAGTATACATAAAGAGATTATGATTACTAATACGACAGGTTGGGCCTGGCATTTCCTTTTATACATTACATTTAAAAGAAAAATTTCAAGAGCACATTACATACAGTTGTTGATAACCAATTAAACGATAGAATGAATTCGAAGTACACAGTGGACCGACAAACGTAATAGTCCGTCTTTTAGTGGCAAGTTTAGTACACATTTTCTTGTATTTAACACATCGTCTAATTGTAAGTAATCCTATTTCAGTGTTAGACGGATGAGATTCTTGTAAAACTGATGATTAGTGTTGGGGATGGTTGGAAAGAAGTTAGGGGTGGTCAAACCAAAACGTAACATTAGTCCACAAAGTTACTAACTTCTGGTTTGAGCCATGTTGGTACATGCAGACTACTTGGTTAGGGTCCGCGTGACTATCGTAACCAATGGTTGGAGACTCTGGGTGACATGACTCAGAATCAATCACAATGGCGTCGGTGTATACACTCTTTGTCTTTTAAACCGTGGGATTAAAATTAATATATATATATATATATATATATATATATATATATATATATATATATATATATATATATATATATCTTTCTATAAATTAATTCTTCTTCCCTGTATCACATGCTTAAAAACAATCATTCTTCTATATATTATTACCATTAAAGTAACTACTTTTATGAATTTGGTGTTCATCTTGTTGTACTAAGGAGGTGTAGCAGCTTTGACCGATGCATATATGTGCCTGTTCCTACGTTGTAACTGATCGACTGACTTTTGTGACTCTAATTCGTAGTTGAACGTTTCTCATCAATATTACACTTCCAAAAAGACAGAATTTGCTGTGTAACTAGAGTACTTCAACTGATAATATTGTATGAGTAAAACATGCGTAAAAAGATTATCTGAAATTCGTCGGGGAAGAAGGGTAAAACAGTAAACTTTAGGCTGTTTAAAGACTTACGCTTGCAAATTTATTAGTATACAAACCAGTTTTCAATCGACAAACTTGTCCTTTGACTAGACAAACTAAATAAGCAGCTTCTGTGTAAAAAATACTCAGGTCGTTTTTCATGCTACGAATTGTAATGAACTGAACTGACAGCTAGTGCGACATAAACGCCTGAAAGTAGCGAACTAGTTGATTTTGAAAAAGATTTTGAAACAAAATATTAGGTGAAATACAAAACAAGTTGTAAAGTAAAAATTAGATATAAAAGCATCATAAACTTCACTAGAATCTAATCGTCAAAAACGACTATTTGTATTGAATATCTACGACAGAATGCATATCTAAAAGACATAATAAAAATCATTTATTTATTTAAACACAAACATTGGTACAAGGAGGCATCAAATAGATATGCATCACATAAACCATTCAATTTGTGTGAAGGCTGTGATACTACCCGGCTGCCCAAACCGAAGCAGGTGGTTTTCTTAGGGGACCACACCCCGAGCCTTCGACCCAAAGGTGTAATCCACAAGGCATTGGAGCAACTTTGTGAGATGCAGTCCCATGGTAGCCAGTGACCAACGATTGGTTCATATGCCACTTGTTCCTTCAGGATATTGGAGCCGATATGCACCATTGATTTGGAATGAGGGTTTTCCAACTCCCCTAGGTAGATCCTCCGTATCCACTGGTAGAAAATAATGCTGCTTATCGAAACACACCTTTGCACGATCACTACAATTCAGACATCTGTGAATAACCAGCAGACATATGACACCAATCCCGATTGCATTCTGAATGAAAAGTAAGTTAATTGCTTAAAGTAGTGCTTTATAATAGGAACAGGAAAACATCTTTCTTAAATACTCTGTACATACTCCCACAGAAACGAAACGACGCTTAATCTAAAGAACTAGATGGTCATTATGTAGTTTTCAATTCTCTACTGACTTAGTTATGATACCAGTCTAATCACACAAAGTTTGTTTAGTCTTCATTAAAATAGCCTGATAGAATGGTTCAGACTGTTGAATATTAATAACCGAATGCAACAACGTTATCTGCGTGTAGCTTACTTCTAAGTGATTATTATTCAGCCTTTCTAGGCATAAAATTTTATTTAAAAACCTTTGAAAGCACTTAGCTCCATGAGATAATATTAACTGACCATTTTGTAGTGAATTAGGTAGGTTCAAAATTTATTCTGGGTTTCGATAAAGTAAGTGTTATGAAGCACTACAGGCTAGGTTCAGAAGCTGAAGTCAATAAAAATGAATAAGAGCTTTTTCGGTAATTTTTGAATTTTACGAATGGTTTAAATAGCACACGGTGAGTATTCAGCCAAATAGCTAGAATCTTAGTTATCCGAATGTCTAATTCAGTCGACCACTTTGGTAGACCAGAACCGTAGCAATGGTCTTAAAATGTACGGTACACAAGTAATATTCACGAGGATTAAGTATTAGACACTCATTAAGAGGGTCGGATTCTTGAACATAGATTTGAGTTCACCAGTTTGAGCAGCGTATGCTGGTATTAATGGTAGTGGCTGCAAAGTGCAGTAACTTTATGGTGCGACCAACGACCTACTCATGTACTTGGAATACTAATGTCACTAACCACGCATGTCTTTCAATAAAATCAATAAAATCAATAAAATCAGGTCATTAAATAATCAAGGAGTTTACATGACAACCACATGGACAATGTCTAAATGACCTTGAGGACAAATACCCTCCGCCTGTAACTCCAGACTTCAGTGATTTGTAAACAAATTGTAGGTTAGTGGACCTGTGTTAATCCTGACATTTTTGTCTTTCAGTTAGGGCCCATCTCCTCGAAGAAACTTACTGATGAACCAGTTGTAGCGGTAAATAAATCCCCAAACTAAATAGCTCTGTAGGTTTTCGACATTGGATGCTGACCATATGTTTTAGTGGACTCATCTAGCTGAAGGCACTCGGTCATACATCTGCACCAGATAACGCTGTGCTCAACACCTACCGCAATCGCTAGCCAGATTAGATCGGAGAATTCCGATATATTGGTAATCGTCAAATACACTCTTCCGATCTCCTTGACTCTGTCTTTTGATTTCTTTCGGTGGGTAAAAATTATATTAGAATGTGTTGCTGGTAAAAGCGTTGTCAAACACTGAATACCCGTGCCATCTTCACAGTCATCGACCAATCGATGGGAAAAACGGAACACCACTCTAAGTTTATTAGGTCGTGGTTTGTGAACCTTCTTGCTATGACCTCGGAGATTATAAATACTGGAGGGAGTGAAAAAATAGAACGCATTAACACCCAAATCCTAATTAAAAATACGAGATGCCAGTATAAGGTCACCCCACGTCCTACGATACGACAAGGGGAAAAGGTTTAGATATTTTAAGCGCTCATCGTAAGAGAGCTTAGAAAGGCCCTTCACTTATTTTATTCACACACACTGAACACGCTCAAGTGAGATTGCTCGTATATCCAACGTCCTTCTAACTGATGCGATCGCAGACCAATTTTGACGCCATACTCTCTATCATGTCTGTACTTATGGGCTGCAATTAAACGCAACTCAATTTCGTAAATGTGCTCTTCAGCTTAGCAACCAATCAGAATGTGGCGGGAATTATTATATCAGCCATCTTTGTACGTAATGGCGGCCGGCTTTCTTCGTTCTGTGCTTCTTTTAGCTATTTCTTTTGTGTAGCTATGTAATTAATGTTTCAATGTGCTAAAATGCCACAGTTAGTGTAATGTTCTACATGTTGGTGTGAAATTTAATTCGAATCAGCATTGTTTTTTGGTTTTTTGCTGCTTCTACTCAAGTCAATGTATTTCTTCAGTCAAGCTGGTTAGTCTTATGTTTTAAAATGGAAATCGGTTTTGTTTTGACTTGTTTTCTAAATATCCAAAGCCGAAGTTCGTTTTTTCTTAGCTGAAATAACTGTTGCTGCCTCCTGTGACTAACTGTCCGCATGTTCATTCCTAACTGTCCTTTATGATGTTATCTGCAAAATGAAAGGAAACAATTTCCAGGTTTTAATTTTCTTCAGTATTGCGGACAAAAATATCCCACAACGAGTCAAACTAATACTTAGTGCCTAACAGTAGGGGATGTCAGTATTGTTTTCGAAAGTACCCAGGCTTCCGACAACCATAGACGAAGTCATAGATGCTACCAATCTATTGCAGAGGGTTTGTTATGAAAAAATATGCCACATAGCAGTAATGGAGGGTTTATACGCATTACGTAGTGCGTTAAAGCAAGCTTAACATTGAAAAGCCGGAAATCTGCTATCAGTGTGTAGTGTATGTTTGGTGTTTTGGCCACAAAAGGAAGCCGAAGGGTCATGATCAGGGAGTAAAAAGGTAACTAACTTTTATTAAGCTCACCTTTTTATAGACCATAATTCACCACTCGCAAATTTGTTTTTTACGGTATGATGTCAACCGTTATCTAATATGTTCACCCTTACGATGAAAAGTACCTGCAAATTCTCACCCTCATATTCGAATTATTTTGGGACAACTGTCTTCCAGTTTGAGTGCTTCGTACGCCCTGGGAGACTAGATTCCTACATTATTCACAGTTCCAGTATAACTTTCACGCAGTAAGTTCAAAGTAAACGCTAGTCTTACTAGATAAGCATATTAAACTAATATCCGTATTCTCTATTTCAGTTGATCGATGAAGACCACGTACATCTGCTGTATATTGCTATTTTACTCCAATTCTGTTATATATCTTCTGAAAAATAAAATTGCTATATGCAGCAAATACAGACTTATTGTTTTGATGGTGGTAAGTGGGTTCATGGGATATTTAGCAGGACTGTAGTAATATTCTCAATAAATAGCTAAGTGAGTGCGTAAACCAATCTAAAGTACCATACAGGGTGCCTTTGAATTACTCGTGTTCCATTAGTGTTGGTAGAAGCATTACTTGCTTATCATATGACATTTGAATAAGAAGCTATGAGATTAGACGCAGGGACGGTTAGGATGTGTAACGCGTGTCCATCCATCAGTTTTCGTGGCAACTCATGGTGGCTAGAATTAGTTGTGTGAGGACCCGAGCCTGTAGGTTTCCCAAGAAAATGACGGATATATGCACCAAATCACCTTATGAAGAGCGCCTCCAATCACTTAACCTCTACTCATTAAAGTATAAACGTCTTAGAGGTGACCTATTTACTTACAGGATCCTTAACACTTCTGGACATTCTCTTAAACACCTACTTGAGCTTGGTCCCAGAAACTAGAAACACGACATAGCAGAGTGGACTGTAGGTGCAACTTCTACTCCTTAAGAGTTGTCGGATGCTGGAATTCGCTGCCCGCCGAACTAGTCCAAGCGACTTCCCAGGAGTCCTTTGGGAGGTGACTGGATCTTTTATTGTTAACATACCTAGGTTCCTGCTTGGAGGTATTAGTGATCCCCTGCTACTAGACACGGAAGTCTGGACACATGAATTAGGTGATGAGAGGCTCGATTATCACAAGTTTCTTGCAACGATTAAGTAGATAAAACAAAGTAGCATTAGGTTCAAAAATTTATTCGTGAACTTTCATTAAGAATCGAATATGAGAAAAAGGTTTAAACCAAGTTCCAGTCCAAAAGTTGCATTTGTAATGTTAAGCTGCAGTTTTTGTTGTTTTTCCAAACGAAAGGGTAAAAGAAGTAACTCAAAAAGTACTGGAAGTGGTTGTGAGATTAAAATGAACATCTAGCATCCTTTTTATAATCTGCTGTTAGTTGGGTCTCCCGTAAACAGATCCATAGGGCCATAGTTCTAAGGGCGAAACAGTTCTTAGGATCTGTGAAGACTCAGTCCTGTTGCATTCTAAATGAGAAAATAGTAGTGAATTTAGTCAGAAATGTGGAATATATAAATAACCAAATTACATGTTTTTTAGCAAAGAATTTATGCAGTTGTGATTTACCTTTAGTTCATGAATATTAGGTCAGGTCAGCTATTACTTGTGCAAAGCATAACATGGACTTAATACCGTATCTCAATGCTTTTATTATTTTGCTCTCATTTAAGTATTACCATGTATCTGCATCTAGTTTAACAGGGAGACATACAAGCAGAGTTAGTGTTTGATGAACTAAAAGTCCTAGTTGTCAAAAAGATTCTTAACATTTGTCCACAGCCAACTGCATTTAATTGAGATACAGAACACTCATCTTCTAAGACTGTATACTGCTCTTCTGTGGGCAAATAAAAGCTCACACACTTAGCTATCCTGCTACCGATGTTATTGCTGGGGAAATTGTTTAATGACAGTGATCATGAAATATGGTCAGTGATAGATGTACAATCTAGAAATAAACACCAAACATACTTATCGCTATCTTATAATGTATGACAGCAACAGTACCAAAAGCACTTTTTCTTATTTTTAATCAGACTGATTTGAATTAGTATACTCATCAGAAACAGGCAACTCTACTTACTAGACTGATCTGTTTCGTTACAGACTTCAAGCACTATACTTAAGTATACCATAATTCTTTCAACTAAACTGAATTATACGACAACCAAGAATACTAAACTAAGTAAGTGTCATAGTTATTGTTTCATTTGCACAGGCATATTGCTTAAAGTAGTTAAATGGACATAATTAAAACTATAAAACAAAAACACGAAATATAGGCCAATTGAACTTACCGAACGGAAGACAAAGAATACATATATTGCTTTCCGACTGAAGACAACATGCAGTTGTTCATAAAAACATAGTTTATAGTACAATAAACCTTTCTACAGTAAAATCATGCACTGACAGTCTATCTGGAAACAATCAACTATGTGAATAAACTCACTATAACTTGAGATATCACCCCAGCATGCAATGGACGTGCAATGTAACGCAGTCGGACGTGGCAAATAAAATTATAAAAAAAGATCAAAATTAGCTATATAATCTAGTTATTTAAATAAAAATACATTATGAAATGACAGAATCTGTGGTTACTTGAACGCACAGATGACCGATACATTAAGTTTACATGGTTGCGTTGCGGATAAGATCACCCTACTTATGGTTTACAAACTACCAGCTAAAGCCGCCGTCAACTCCAGGCGCTGACAAAGATAAACGTGAA